CTTGACACCGTGTAGCCACCCTGCGCAAAATAAATGTATCATTAGTAAGACAAAATATATGAGTAGATTATCCATTTTCCAACACTGACGTCGACTGGATGTATTATTAACCTCGTCGTCCGCCTCCTTTGTACTACTACCGTCATTTTTGATTGTGGCAGTGTCGTGCAAGCACTCCTCTCCGAAGACGTAGATGAAGACACTCTGCCTACTGTGTTATGCTGCTGTTTGAAAATTAAGAAAGGTGAGCCTTTGAGTAGAAGCCGAGACAAGGGACGAGTGGCTCGGTTCGACTTCACAGTCGCCGACGGGTATGCTGTGCTACGGGCGAAGGTCGCATCGAAGTTTGGAATTACCATTCGGAAGGCACTCGAGCCTACAGCAATAGTGTATTTGAAGCCCAGCAACTCGCGCTCTGGGCACCCGCTACGCGGGCGGTTTGACCACGGGTTGCTGGAATAGCATAGCTTAAAAGTATATGCATCATTTTGATTTCCATAACAATAATGTGCGGATACAGTTGACACATATTCGTTGCTATAACTTCGAGTTTTAGTAGCAAATGAGTAGGAATACATTTTCCTATTAAGCTCATTACCAAATGTCGCTCACGATGCAAAGTTGAGTACCTAAACATCGAGTGAGCTGAATATCGTTGCCGTTGTATTATTGATCACCCGTTTCTGCGAGGCGAGCTACATTGTCACGGACATGCCTTACTACAGTGTAGTGACCTGCGTGTTTACTTACTTTGAAGTAATATCTAAAGTATTGAAACTATGATTGGGTGTGGTTTATACTGCGTTGCACACTGGTAGCTGTCGTCGATACCGTACTCTAGTGTTGCTACTAGGTAGCACTGAAAGACTGCAACTTTGCCAGCATGAATTTACGCACTGGACCGCGCTACATGTAGTAATGCTGGTTTGCGCGATAACAGTTCAAATAGACATAGCAAATTTAGCTCAACTCAATACGGATCGGTAGCGAATGTGCGTCTTCGATACGATATCTACATGTACATGTCGGAAGCCACAGCAGCAGCAACGATAAATCGTCTTTGAGTAAAACAAAATTATCGCAATTGATTAATGGTAGTGAGTGCAGACTGTTTGTTGTGCGTCGATTTCGAAGCGAGGAGAGCTAAACGGCATGAAAATCAATATAGCAGTTCTACAAAAGCAAGTTTCAGGTGTCACATTTGGAAATACAGCCCGAATAGCCCCAGCAAAATAAACACATTATACATTCAACATGAACCGAAGTTCAGTCTGGCAGCTTGAAGCTGTGCAGTATGCAGCATGAATACATGTAGCAGTAGTGTGAGTTCACGTATATAATAGATCCACCACGACAGATCGAGCAGCGTAAGCGACCCAGCAAATATACGCATGATACTTCACAGAACAAAAATAAGAGCCTGTGCTAAAATTCAAGAACGTCTTCATGCAGCGTTCTTTTATGGCAAGCGTAGCGCTACTACATAGTACTACCAGTAGTAACTAAAGTTTTCTACCGTGCAGGTTTTGGAACACAGTAAAAAAAGACCGAACTGCTAATACCGCGGGCCAAAGCCCGCAAACCAGTGACTTGTTCAAGTTGGGGTCCATCGCTGATCGGTCCCCACTTGAATACTTGGTCGTCGTAGATCCCTGAAATCCGTCGTCGATCTTGGCTCAGGTAACCGCCGATATCGCGCCACTAATATGTGCTGCCTGTCGCCCGATCGATGATCCTACATTATTTTCTGTCGATTGACCCGGCCGCCTTTCTCATTGTTCGAGAAGGATTTCTTATTCAGCGCTTCTCCAGAAGCACATCCAGGCTTTACGGTCGATGCCGTACCTGACGAATGCTGGGGAACTCCGGCAGTTCTTGTGCTCTACGAACTGGATGAGAGACAGTATCGTAGAGTATGCGCGATTAGCATGTCCTGATGTCCTCTACATGACAAGGCGATAATACAGGCGCCAAGCCGAACGAAGCGTGCGGATTCGGGTATATCGATCGTTACCGAGCAGGAATGCGCGGCGTACGCGGTGAAACAGGATCTGGCTGATGCAACCACCCTCGCGTTCCCAAAGCCGGATGCAGAGAATTTTGCTGACGGGCGCCTCAGACGTTGGGTGGTCAGTGATCGTGATGCAAGTGCCCAGTTGGAAGAGTGATACAGACATCCAGGACCAGCAGCATAATGTGCTTATCTACCTTGGTGGTACTATTACTGAAGCACCAAAGAACAAGGCCGTGCTCTGCCCGGACAGCTCTGGATTTTACGCCGCTCTAACATGTAGGCATATAAGTTTAGTGTACCGCGGCACTTTGTTTCTACGTGCCAATGACAGAAAGAAGTAGAGATATGGTAATGGTTGAAGGTAACCACTATTCCGCTATTAGTTTTATTTACGGATTTTTTTACGAATATTGACCGGTCTTGAAATTGCTAGAGGTTTGGCATTTTTTTAACTACTTCACTTCTTCTTATTTTTTAAATAATACTATAAAATACAATTTAGAAAAACTGGAGGAAGGAACAACATAGTCTACTTTATGATTTTGAAATAGCCCTATCTGGCTATTGGAGAGATTCCCGTAGGTTTTAGAATCCAAAAACCATCTCAAAAGTGCGAAGAAGGGCAGGATAAATCTTGGCGACCAATCACAGATCTGGAAGAGGGGGGGGGTACCCCCTCTTTCAGATTTTGAACACGTACTTTCTGGAATAAAAATAAGATTAAAAACGCTGCGGGAATCGCTCCATTTCCGACGCAAAAAGTATCTAGTTCGAAATTCAAAATGACAACCCCAAACAAGTTTTCAACTAGCTACTTTTCAGTTTGCCTGGTTTTAACCCCGCGTGCTACGCACGCGGATCTTAAACCACGGGAAGCGTTCCAGCTTGAACATTAAGTCGTATTGATATTGAAACTGCATCCTGATTCCTAAGACCCCCTTTCCCCTTGGGGCACAAAACCCTAGACCCTCCTCTACCTCCCCCGGAGGGGGAGCACCTCGCTTCGCTCGGGAGTCGGCGACACCAAGTCGCAAGGCTATTTGGTTAATCAATTTCAGAAGTAGCTACCAGTAGTCGGCAATCCAAAAGTAGCTACTTCTCAATAAACACCCTTCTCCCTTTAGCCACAAGCGAAATGAGCACGTATTCGCAGAGATAGAGGTGTTCATTACCGGACTTACCGCCGCGACCCTAGGGCATCGCGACGGCTTGGACAGCTAAATAACAGTACTTTGTGTTTCAGAAAGCCAGTGCGCATACCTACCATGCAGTAGTCGAAAAACAAGACTAAAGCATTACTCAAGTCACCGCTTACTGATTCTCTTGTCCACCATATCATCGTCCATTATAAACCAGAACCTTTTCAACATGAATTCAATCAACTGAGCTCCGTAAGGCGGGATCCCGTCGGCATGTTGTTCGAGCGAAAACAAATCGATGGATTTCGCTTGAGTGGCAGATAAACTAGATGTCACAGGTATACATACTTGATGAAAGGGTATAGGGTTTTTGTCTTAATCTCAACCGGATGGGTTAACATCGCATCATAATTTCATTGAATCGCAGGCTATTTACTATAACAGGTATTTCAACTGCAAAAATTACGAGCACTCATAACCATATTTAGCAGGTATTTGATGTGAGAATAATGGCACCTCAGTGGCATCCGCCCATGGACTTTGGATAAAATCTGGAGAATTGAAGCGTTATCGAAAAAAGGCCTACCATGACGGCGCCAAGCTGAGCTAGTTGTTGTTGTGGCCGGGTGGCTTTCGCATGTACTGTGACCACCGCCACCTGATTCAAGTTTTCGTGGCGGGTCGTGAGGTGAAGAAGCATGTCCATGGCAAGCTGTTGAGATGGTCAATGAAATTGATGGTCTTTCGGTATACGATTGAGCATATCGACGGAACACACAACGTGGGCTCATATGGTGTCTTGGTGGACAGGTACACGACCCGCACCAAGTGTGACAGTGAAGTCCTTCACACTGCGCTATCATCATGATGAGGACCAGTCTGGTGGCTCAACTAGTCAGCCGAGCGACCGCGAACTTGGCCGTTCAGGAATGGAAACTTTGAATGACCAATAGTTGAAGAGCAGCAGCGGCACATTGTCGACCGACCACAAGGACTGACACGGAGTCGTGCTGGTTTATGGTGTGGTAATGAACGGATTTGGGTCCCCTCTGCCGCGGCAAATCTGGTGCGAAGACTTTTAGTAATCGCCCACAGTGGGGCACAAGGTCATATAAGCCGCGAAGCGCTGATGAACGTGGTTAACCGCAGGTTCCTTATACGGAATCGTTCCGCCCTAGTCAAGAATTGCCTTGCTGGCTGCCTCATGTGTCAGTATGTAAGATGGGGGAAGGTGGTGATGAGACCATGGGCAGAGACACTCCGATGCAGCGAACGAAATGGATCTTTCCATTGGTACTACCTACATATTGGTGGATCGTTTGGCGGCATACAGTATCTACTGGTGCTAAAGAATGATGAGACCCATTTTTGTGAGCTAATACCGTGTGTTGTTGTACCTACATCAGCGGTTACAGCTGAAGCAATCCTTGACTTGCACAGTCGCTACGGAATCCCCCGGGTTTGGATAGGCGACCAAGGCACCCACTTCAAGAACCAACTGGTAGCTGAGGTGGCGAGAGGTCTCACCTGCGGACAGCAGTTCACGCTGGCGTACACAATGAATCAATCGATAGGGTAAACAGGGATAATTTCCAGGCCCTCCGTGCTATGTAGCACGAAGCCAAGGTGGGGATTCGTGGTTGCTTTTATTCCGGTGGTACAGTCAAGCTTAACAATCCGGGTCCTTCGCTTGCCAATAAAGAACCGGTGGGGCTATTTTGTGTCCTACCGACTCATCCCCGCTGGACGTTGAGCTCAACGGTGAGGACAACGCATTCCTAGAGCTCGGTACAGCTAGCAGCAAGATAGAGGCAAAGCTGGCGCGGGGTGCAAGAGATGCACAAGTGGCAAGGGCGGAACAAACAAGACGAAATCAGAAAACGCAAAGAGCAGCCATAATAGTGAATTTCGATTTCGGTGACTACGTGTTGCGGTCTCAAGTGGACCAAAAACACAATGACAAGCTGCTTATCACTTGGATAGGCCAATATCAGATCGTTGGTGCAGACGAACACTATTCTGCGTGCAGCACCTAGTGGCGGCTCGGAATCAGACGTACGTGCCTCACACCTTCAGTTTTACGCGGACGCGCCTTTCGAGGTAACAGAGAAGATCTGTGAGCACGTGGCTGATCAAGGTTAGTACTGACGGTTGCCGAGCTGAAGGATCACCGGTGGGACTCGGCGAATAGGTGCATATACGCTGTCACGTCACGGATGATTCCCACGACACGAGCTCTTGAATCGGGGGATAAACTTGCTGCAATTTGGGCGCCCATACATTCTACTACTGCCACCGAACGTGACACAACTCGGCTAACGTCGTTCGCTCGGACTACGTGCGCAAGCGCTATCACTTCTGTTACGAGATACTTGTTGGGTGGAAGGGACTGGGGCCAACTGAGAACTCGTGGGAGTCGCTCTGTTAACTGTACAAGGATATCCCAGTGGTGGTGAAGCAGTACGTAGCTGCGACGAGTGAAATCCAACTACATCACAGCTTCCACCTTGGCGATGTTGTCGAATCGTTGAGGGATCAACTGCCGGGCCAGCGCATCATCGTTACAAGTGTCGAGGAAACGCTTGACGTGCCTGGCGCCGACGGTGCCGCCCGCTTTATACGCGATTTTCGCCGAGTGATCGTACCCTTTCAGGCGCAGCAGGTAGTCGCAGATGTGCTCCCCCTCGTCCCGCGTTGCGGTGCAATATCGGTCGTCGGCAGATTTGTCGTGCTTCGAGCAGTAGTACGCCATGAACGCCTCGCATAGCAAGGACCACTTGTTGCGCGTCTTCTTCGAGATCTGGCGAACCCGGTTGCTGGCTCCACTCTCCATCAGGAGTTGGAACGGGTCGCACCAGCGGTCTTGCGGGTGTGTGTTTTTCTCCATCTCGTAGATGAAATTTTTGAGCCACCGCAGCGATCGCTCACTGCGGCTTCGAGTCCTAGAGAACTTCGTCAACTTGTTCAGCGAGATGTGATGCATCAGCTTAACTCGCTGAGCTCCGTCTTCGTCTTTGCGCTGGTAAAATTGTCGGATCTGCGCCATCAAGTCTTCACACGGGCCAACGAAGCCGTGGCCCGTGTCATCGTCATCGTCATCGTCATCTCCCGCGAGCGCAGGAGGGTTAAATAGCCGACCTTCGCTATTCTTCTTCGGCGTCATCATGTGCGAGTCCCCGATGTTTGGCGAGTCGGGCGTCTTACTGAAGACCTACTTGGCATCCGGCGTCTGCATCTGGAAGCCTACGGAGGCCTTCCGCGGCCTGGTCGGCAGCGGCACCAGCCTGGAGTCAACGTCGTTCAGCTTCAGCACGGACATCATTCCACGCACCCCGAACGAATTCTTCAGCTTGCGCTTCCACTTGGTCAGCTCGGCGCTTACCTCAGCGAGCTCCCATATTTCCAGAACCACCATCGTCGGGAGGCTGGTACACTCGAAGCCCATCGCCACCAGCAGACGTTTGGTCTGCTCGCTGAGTTGGAACAGGCTGGAGCCGTCGATCGGAGACGCCAGGTCTCTCTCGAGCGTCACCCACTTGGTACCGCGGACTTCCTTCGGCGCGAACATTATCACCCACGCGCTTGTTGCGACCATCGATCGGCCGACTTGTCCCAGTATCTTGTATGCATTCGAAGTATCTCCACTAGCCGGCGGCTGCCTTCCCATGGTCTGTCGCTCGTCGGGCACCAGAACCTTAGCTGGAGTAACTTCACCGAGTTCTGCATCAAGCCGGCGATCGATCGGGCGCGGAGCACCCGACTTCCCGACGACAACCGTTAGCTCGTCGACCGCTTCATCCTCCAGCATCGGCGCTGGGCCCTTCATCCCCACTTCATCTTCACTTCCATCATCGTCAGCCCCACTTCCATGATCGCGATCGCCGACCCGGTTGAACGCGGCGTGCTGGTCGTCGCCTTCGTCGCCGCGTCCGCGCTTCGCGAACTTGTCGGTGTCTTGACCATCTTCACTTGCCTGTTCGTCGACTTGAAAGGTACCTAGGTGCCACAACCACCCTGTTCCCGGGTCGCGGCACCAGTTGCGGTGTAGCAGACGTGCCAAAACTCGTTAGCTTCGCACTCCCCCACCAACAACACCTAAACTAACGGGAGCGCAGGCTTGTCGGGTGACCCGAAAATCACCCAGTCCGCTTACAGCGGTGCACTGGTTACCCGGGCACCTGCCAAGTCGTCCCAGGAGCCATGCCACGAACACACAGCACGCTCCGCTTCCTTCGCCGACCTCTCGTGTCGCTTCTCCCCCTCCGTCTCCTTCTCTCCGTGACCCGTCCTCTCCACCAAAGGCTGTCGCTTTTTAAATGACGCCGATGCAAAAACGCACCGGCTAAGTCGGGGGAGGGCCGAAAACCCGCGCGCGTACGCTCGACGAGCTCTTCGCCAGGGGCGGAATCCAGATAACCTCTACACGCACTTGCTCTTGGACTCGCCGGGCGGCTGAGAACACTTCCGTTACTTCGGATAGCGGATTGTAGCGGTGGTCATGATCTAGTCCCACGGGGGCGGCCGTACCTTGAAGCGACGCCGCGTGCCGCTTGTGAAGGACCTCGAAAATTCCACTCTGTATTAATCTTTGCTTTGCTGGGCTCAAAGGCCGTTCCGTTGGGTTCCTATACAACTATCTAATGAAAATGGGCTGTTACGGCCCTCCAATACTAAAACCAAGGCTGCTCGCTCGCCAATTGTTCGCTCGGCGACCCTTGAGATCTTTGAGATCCTGCGTCGGCGAAACTCCTTCAGTCGGTGTTTGGTGTACACACTCGCGCCAGACCGGCTGCAACCGCCGACCTCCGGACGTAGAAATCGCTATACCACATTAGTCATGTACTGCAGTTGAAGGTGAGCTTAGTGGCTTGCCAATCACATCTAATGGCTAGTTAGCCTTCGCATTCAATTCTAGTCTACTACAATGCCTCCCAGTCTCACCAGGAACGCTGCTATCTTGCGTTTAAACGACTGGTACCAGCATTCATCGTCGATTTCTTCCTTGAAATTAGGCACACCCAGCAAACTTAAATCAGGTATTTTGGTCCGTTTATGTAAAATTGCCTAATTGGTAGCAGCATGCCAATGTGGCAGGAAGACCGCTGCCACATGTAGAATCTCAAATGGGTCGTATACAGAACAAACCTGGTATTTTATATGATTGGTCAGAAGAAAACACATGTTATAGCGGAAGCAGTTGCGAGGTCGCGTCGCCGCAGCAAACCCGCGCGGGGTGCCCGTGAAGTAGAGGCAGGCCCAGTGCCGAGCATTCCAGCGAGTGGGCACGTTGACGCAACTCGGAGTTCGTGTTCTTTATGTGGGGGTCTGGGGGTGCAACCCCCATAATGCCTATAATGAATGAAACCTGACCAAAGATCAGGTCCGTTCTGTATCTGACTACAACGATAGGTTCCCTACCGCCGTACCAGATAAGTGTCTAGATTGTCATGGAGACACAGGACGATAGAGAAGACGAATTAGCTCTACCGACCTTAAGCTACGTCCTACGTAGGTCATAGAACAGTACTCGAATACATTTGGTCATACATGGGTACCGGCAGTTTCGGGGCCGATGGGTACCCGTGTTCCCGCCGATTGTTTCACATGAGAGGTTACCGAATTCTCCCAAAATGCAAAGTCCATCCTTGGTATCCTTCTCACAACCGCACATCGCCGTCGACGCGTTCTGACGAAGTCGTCTCGACTGGTAAAATCACTTGATCGTATATCCGTTGAACAAGCTTTCAGGGTTAGTATAAAGGTGGGCAGGCCGGTCTTGCAAGCGCAAGGACCAGGTGCGCCATCGCCAATCCACACTCAGCAGGCAACTTATTGTGGCGGTCGCTTCGACGGACGTCAAAAAGAACAGACAAGATTCCAATTTAACCCACTCGTCTTCGTGCAACCTTCATTGGTGATTGGATTTTGATGTTCCCCTAGCCGACACAAGCAGCATTCAAGTGGATGTTTTAGGCGTGCAAAGGCTATTAGATATAAGTGTTTATCAGCTACGATTTTCTATTGAGTAAAGAATAGCAAGTTTACATTCATAGCCATCAAATCAAGTTTGTAGAGGACCGAAGGCGGTTTCGGCTAAGAAAAGCCAATAACGGTTCTGCGGTAACAGGTCAATAAAGTAATAGAGTTAAAAAGATACAGTACCGTTAGTTCATATTTGATTATTCAAGTATTTTGAATTAAAGTATGTAGAAACTCTGGATTAAAATCCAGAGAATAGAGTATACTTTGCCTATTGGCTAGCTGTGCTGCGTACCAACCAATGAGCCGTGTATAATTGTACGAAGCTAGCCTGGTCTCTTCTCGTGCAGTTTTGAACTTACCTTTTGCAGAATTGAACTTTGAATTTGCGGTTTTGAAGTTGAAAAGGTGTAGACCGGGTTAGTCCGATTTAGTGAATGGTTCCCACCTCCGGGTTACCTGTCCCCTGTCCTGCGTAGCTTGGCACGTTTATCCATCCTCCGGCGAGATCTTGAACGTGAGGGGGTTGCCTGGACCATCGCATCTCAGTCTTACTTGGTGTAGTGTACAAGTAGCTGCTGATATTCTTGGTGGCAGTCACTAAGCACGGTGCTGGGGGTCGCACTTGGTTCTGTCCGAGCAAAGGATGTCAAGCTGGAGAGCATTGTGACGTATAAGGTGCAATACGACACCAAAAAATCGACAGAGACGGCGCTGAAGGTGGTGGCTTCGATCAACGACGGGTGTGTAGGCTCAGTGGTGTGTGGGGCTGCCGGCGGAGTGTACCCCGCCACCCAGTGTATTACGAGCGACAGAACGAGCGGCGGCGTCTTCTACTCCACGGTCTTGCCTGCCGTCTTTGGTGACGCGCCGTACGTGGTTCTGCAGAAGTACACGAACACAGCGACCTGCGCTGATCCAGCGGATATTGAGACTCTTACGGCATACCTGCCAGATGGTATCTGTCACAACACGGGGACGGTGGGTAGTTTCAAGGCGATCCGGGCGGCAGATGGTGCTGCAAAGATTCTCACCTACGGAATGGCAGCCTGTAGTGGGGCTACAAGCGACGAGGTGATCATCAGTGCACAACAGGCCAGTGTTAACTCGTGCGCAACGGGCAATGGGTGCAGACGGCATTGCTGACACGAAGATTTTTGGGAGCTCCACCGCGACCACTGTGTATATAGAAATGACTGGTATATTCAACACGGACATCGGTGACTGCAAGACCGATGTCGTGCCAGTAATACTCACGTCGAGTGATTTCCTCTATGAGGACTCGTTTGTAGACTCTACAGAGTGTACCGGTACTAAGTTTCCGTACACCGGCACCAGATGCACCACTACGGCGTCGTATCGTGAAGAATTGGAGAATTTGTTTGGCTCGACACCGTTCGTGATTGTGGAAAGTTACGCCACGGGGGAGTCTTCCGCTGGCATGGCCCTCCAAAGTATAGCAGTGTACGTCGCCGACGGCAAGTGTCACAAGACGGGCAGCGCAGCTAGCTATTTCGCCACCTAGGCGGATACAGGTGTATCCACTGTGACGACGTACACAAGGGCTGGTAAAACCTGTTGCTTTTTCAAAATGAATTAGGTTTTTGGTTTTACCTTGGTTTAAACCAATCTAACCTAGTTTTTATTTCTTGACTGAGCTTTGCTACTACATTCTTGGTAGTCCCTCCTGTTTTGGTTCTTGTTGATGTAGATGCCTATGCAAAGCGCATTCCGAGCTTGATGCACAAAGGGAGGAGGATACTGAGAGGCCGAATACCTAATAGGTCACGTCGACTGACTCTGAAATACTACCTTGTCAGCGAGGAATGACAGTAGTGGTGAAAGTATGAGTGTAGTTAAGGTCAGCTTTATGGTGGTTTCGCCTCATGGGTATGCTTTGTAGGGCTTTGGCTTAAGATTGGTGCTGTAATTATCTTTGTGTTCTTCAGAATCGAGCTTCTTTAACCGACCGGTGACAGTTATCCCGATTTTGATGGGATAAGAAAAACCTCGGGGGAAAGTGCCGGTTAAACCATACAAGTGGTTAGGGTAACTGCGACTCTTCGAGGTCCCGTCGAGAGCGTTTTGGTCAATGCGATCTGTTTGCGGATTTCTCACCTTAAAAGGTAGATGGACATGGGTGCCGGGCTTCCGCGCCATCATTGGCCACCGCACAAGCATTTTCACCTGCATATTGCCAGGTACCCGCGAAGGGTTAGCACTTTTCCACTATGGTAAAATTCTGAGTTGATAGGATGCACCGCTCACCTATGTTAACTTTCTTTACCCTTGTATCATTGCCTTCCATAGATGCCTTCACACGCGCGAGGTACGCTGGTCGAGGAGCTACGAGTACGGCTCTGCCGGTGCCACTGCGAAGCCCGAGTTGTTTCAATTGAGACCTGGACGCTCCTGTTCGTGGAGGAGCCCGACGGCTACTTTAGCAATGTACGTGAGGCGTCAGGGCTACTGGAACTTTAGCAGAAGGGAGGCTGACGCTGAGAGATGTTGTGGACTCGGTAGGTGTGCGAGCTGGACACAATCTTCAACCCCCACAAGGTAAGGCGGCGTCTTGGCAGCTTTGGCGTTCATATCTAGGGGCTCATGCTTGTGGTGTTGTTGTCGACAGGCGTATTACATTCAGGACGAGCTGTTCACCGGCTACTCTCGGCAGGAGTTGAGCAAGGAGGCGATCTTGGGCATCTGCGCCCACCTAAGCTACGTGTCCCCACCGCTGGCGAAACCATGCGGGTGCTGACACTTCACCCTAACGCGAGTCGACTCCACAGCGAATGTCCAAGCGCGATGCCGAAGGCACAACGGTGGAAACAAGCGGCAGGGAGGACGTCAAGAGCACAACAGGGGCAGCGGGGAGTGGCAAGACTCCAAGAACGACAGATACAACGGCGGCTTGAAGCATGGAGTCTTCACGGTCAGCTGGGGTCTGGTTACGGAGCCCACGATGCCGTACGTCGACTCAAGTAAGCTCGTCCGCTACGAACACTTCATCTTGTATTGGTTCTCTAGACCTCATATAACAGCTGATGGGGTGACAGCGGCTTCATTACGCTGTCAAACTCAACTGCAGGTCGAAGTTGATTAGAGTTGTGATTGATTTTCATGCAATTAATACATAGTTGTTGGTTTGACCCTCGTCGGCAATGTTAGAGTAGTGATCGTAGTTACTGCATCGACCATCTTGGCTCAGCTGCGTACAGGTCTAAATCCCGAAGGGAGCTGCTGTATCGGAACCTGAATTGTTTTCAGTAACTTCCACCGTTTGCAAAACGAATTTCGGCACGTATTACGATGCCGCGGACGCACTCGTGTTGCCAGCGCCACCAGACGTAGATGAGGTAGCTTCATGCACAAAGCACGCATTGCCAAAACCACATCTTCTTCGGACACAGTGTCGTGGCAAAAAAAGGCGGCGGAGTTGATAAGGGAGCTGGGTTGAGCCAACTTCGAGTCTGGATCAGCACTGATAACAGTATCGCTGCCTTCAGCAATATTGCGGATGTCTGCGGTGACGATGCTGATCTTGAGCAAGTGTGGGAAGCGCGATGCCCTAGACGCAATCAGCTCCATACCTCGATACCAACCACACGAAATGCTTGCGTTTGCAGAGCGATTTGAGCGAGAACATTTCCCACGCCGGATCCAGCATCCGGAAACACGTCATTCACTTGAGTATTCGCTTCTTCGATCAGCATGGACACCCCAGCCATTGTAATCTCCCCGGTATTTAGCTGACGTTCACTCGCGCGCACATCACGCCTGGTGAGTAGGCAGAATAGTCCTTCAGTGGCGTTGTAGGTTTCTTGCGGTGATAGGATCGAAATGGTATGTGGTGAAGGCGAAAACCGTAGAGGAGATGCGGCTTTGGCTTCCAAATGCAGTCCTGCTCGGTCTGGTGGCGGGCGGAAATAGCGTGGGGGAAACTCAGCACGTTATTGCCATATCGTCTCTTTAGCGTCTTGATTTGCTGTTGCAGTTTGGTTGCACTCCATGTTGACGGGTTCATGTCTTTCTCCACTGACACCCAGTCGATTCGTCTTCCCGCTTGCTCGTACACTGCCGCAAGCTGAACGAGTTGGCAATCCTCTTCATCTGAAAAGTCGGCCATTTTTCGCTTCGGTCGCTGTCTAAACAAACTCAAGTAAAACGACCCTGTGTGGTTGATACTGAAACCAAGTTTATTTTTTTGGATTTGTAAGTCAACGTTGGGTAGCTGCCGACCGAGTCAACGTGGACTCGTTCAGAGTCGACGTTGACTTCGCTATTACTGAAACTAGTACGTTTGAGTCAATGTCGACTTGGTTTAAGTCCATGTTGACTTCACGATCAATAAAACAAGCGTATTCGAGTCACAATTGACTCGCTCTAAGTCATCGGTGACTTGGAAATGTGTATTCATTCATCGTTACGCAGCAGCGCACACAACGAGAGCAAACTAATCATTATTGGTTTTCTCCAACACGCCCAATGCTTCCATAATCTCCGTGCATACATACGCGTATCTGCCGTGGTCCATCGCGTGGATGACGGTACCTGTCTTGTCGTGGACCAACTCATTTCTTTTCTCCCAGAACTCGACCGCAAGCGTCTTGAACTCTTCAGCGTCCGCCGTCTTCGATCCAAACGCCTCCTTCATTTTGCCCAGAATGAAGTCGCGCTTCTTCTGCATTGTGCACGTGTTACCTACATTTTTCAGTCCAGACACCATGGAAGCCAATACAATGTCAAACCACACAGAAGCATAAACCCAAGCAGCTTACCATCTCGGATGACGGCGTTCCATTCCGTGAACTCATCGATAGCTTCCTCGGTCACCGCGCTATGCTTGAACATACTCAAGTACAGCTCTAGCCTCGCGATGGTGTCTTGCAGTCCGCTGTTCTCCGTTTTCACCGCCTCTAGTGCAGCCTTCATCGATTCTAACTGCGTTCTCACACCATTCCGTTCTGCTTGCATCGCCGCCCTCTCTTCCTCGATCCGGTTGCGGTTGGCTTCGAGCTCTTTAAACACAGCTGGGCACCCGTTGTTCTTGAACTGCTCTTCCAGGAGCCGGGCCTGGCGCTTCATTTCATTCCAAATCTTCGCCTGCCTCAGCGATATTCGCTTCTATGGACTCGGCTTATCTCGTTTCTTTTTATCCGCGTCCAACCACTCCCGCTCCCGTTGCAGGTGATGCGTTACGTTCTGGAGACGCCGGCCCTCCTCTTTGAGCTTGGCCTCATGAGATTGCAGCTCCTCGGCTATGACTTGTAGTTCTTCCTCCTTGTTCTCACGTTCACTTCATCAGCAAGCATCTCCGCACCTCTTTTCGATTTCTTCCCAGATACTCGACTCCCGGGAGACGAAAGAGTACGTCGATTTTGCGAGGGTGTTGCGTTTGTTTCTGCTGTCTGTCGGGGCGATTTTCTTTCTCTGGGAGCCTTGCCTGACCCTCTGGAATCTGCTCGCGGTACTAGCGTAGCATCCGCATTCCTTCCATCGGTATTAAGGTTGTTTGAGATCCCGTCACTCCAAGGCTCAACACCACCACCTGCATTTGAGATCGCCTCTTCCTCGGTAGTCTCAGGAAAGTAATCCGGGTAATCGTACTCGTAGTCATTTTCGGTTCGATCATCGGTTTGCCGGCTCTCGGTAGGCACATTGTCAGCATCATTGGTTATTCCTACTCCATTATTTTCTGGAATCAATGCTATGCTTGCTTGGCGAGCTGTAGATCCACCGCTGGGTTTCTCGTTCTCATCGGTATCTTTCCGAGGGCTGTCATGGCCTACCGTCCCGGTAGCATCGGTGACTTCAGCTGGAGCTGGGTTTTCGAGCATAGCTTGACGTGCTGCTTTCTGGCGACGCCTAAACTTCTCCCATTTGTCAGGGCAGTTCAGATTGGAGGCAGGCTCCCAGATCGTTTGGGAATATCCCTTCCATTTCACCTCAAAGTAAGACAAGCCAAAACGAAAAGTTTCACGAAGAATTTTTTCCACTTCGTACACTTCCTCCGAACCTGGGCATCATTATTACAGTTAGTACATTTTCCCCCAAAACCAACATTAGAACATGTGACAAACAAATGTTGCTTGTTACCTTCAGAATCCTCTTGGTGTTTTGCAGGAATTTTAGCCGTCACGTGGCTACCTCGGTCAGGCAAGTCCGCTTTTCGGGTTGCATTTTTCTTCAACGCGCGTGCCTCGTGAAGTTGTGCTGCATTGAATTTGTTGGGGAGCTCAGGACAATGCAATTTGATTCTGGCTCTCACGGCGTCTCGTCGTAACCCTTCCACTTCACATGGTACTTGGGCTCTCCACGCACGAACTTCATCTCGATGATCTTCTCGACTTCAAACTCGTCGTCTGCGGCATTATGAACGTCTATTATAAGATCGCTACGACGCTTTGCTAGTGAAAGATGCGCTTTGCTTACCAGATGCCTCGGAGTTCACTGTCCTCGCTGCTTGTAATATCTCGATGTTGAGTTGCAAGTGCCAATGTTGACATCGCAGGTGAATTGCTTAGCAGATTCCTTTTGCAATAACAAATAGACTGGTACTGCTAGATGTCCTAAACTGCTTCTAGAGCTCCTCAACATTGTTTTCCCAGTGATAAATACACGCTCGGCGTCGCACTCACCGTGCACGTAACCCACTACTTGGCAACGGGCATCACGACCGAGCTCGCGAGAAGCGAAACGACGGGCATGACGGCCGCACACCCACCCACGTGCATGCAAAGGAGAGGGATTCAACGTTGGGCTGGGGAATGTCAACATTGACGTTGTGAGGCGCTGCAACTCCAGATCAGCGAGGCATCGAAGCTCAACAGAAAACTTGACGGCAAGCATAGCGGCACCCGGAGCAGCAACTGCTGCACGGCGAGAATAGCTGCGGCAAGCATAGTGGGGGCGTAGGCGAGAGATGAACAGCGAGCATGGCGACGGCGGCGAGTGGGACCGTCGGCCAGCTTTTCGGCCAGCCCGGCCACAGCGTCACGGCGAGCGTAGCGGTAGCGGGGACAGCGAGAGCAGCATGACGAGCATGGCGGCGGCGGCATGGGTGACAGCAGCACGGCGAGCATAGCGGCGGCCAGAGTAAGGATCAGCAGCATGGCGAGCGTGATGGCGGCCTTGGCGGCGACGGTCGATGCGAGCCGGGCGACGGCATAGTTGGGGAAGCGCGCTGGAGCAGTAGCTGGAGATTTCGGAAATGAGGTTTGGGATTGAGCACGCGGAAACGATCTTCTGGCAAGGATCGCAGCGCGAACGTGATTGGCCGCGAAATGACTGGCTAATTACACGTCGCAAATTCAAACGATGGGGGCGCTGATTGGCGTAGATACCGGAGCGAACCCACGGGCGAAAATCTGCGTGTTGCGCGAACTCAAAGCGCAAGTTGGAAAAGCGCGCGAAAAGCTGTATGTTGCGCGAAGCTTGATGGCTGAAGCCAGGCTGATACCACTTCGTGTGACCTTTGGATTGAGCCAATGCTGATTGGCTTATTAGCTTCAACTTCAACCCTCGATAAGCACTCCGAATTATAGTAGTTCTTGATTTAGTGACTACCTAGTACGAGGGCATTTATTTTGCAGTTCTATAGTAACTTACTTTTGCAAGTTCTTCTGCAACATAAATGGCGGCAAACGGTGCCTGAACGTCGCTCGCCTCGCAACCTAGGCCAGTGTGGTGTCCTCACAAAACGAGGTACCCGTAGATATGAAATACCAACCAATGCGTGAACACGGTTTCTATAGGTGCGCGCTAGCACCATTGATCTTGTTCGTCGAAAAAGCCTCTGCTTATGGGTGGTCAAAAGGTCACGAGACAGCACACTAATTCCCTCCTGTTCCTCGACAACACTGATACGAATAGACGCCAGTGACTTCAGCGAGGAATACGCCGCGCTAGCTAAGAACACGGATGCCCCCCCTCCTTTATTTTACTGCAATTTACTACACATAGGAGCCCACACACCGCTTGACCTCCGAAGTCACTGGCGTCTATTCGTATCAGTGTTGTCGAGGAACAGGAGGGAATTAGTGTGCTGTCTCGTGACCTTTTGACCACCCATAAGCAGAGGCTTTTTCGACGAACAAGATCAATGGTGCTAGCGCGCACCTATAGAAACCGTGTGCACGCATTGGTTGGTATTTCATATCTACGGGTACCTCGTTTTGTGAGGACACCACACTGGCCTAGGTTGCGAGGCGAGCGACGTTCAGGCACCGTTTGCCGCCATTTATGTTGCAGAAGAACTTGCAAAAGTAAGTTACTATAGAACTGCAAAATAAATGCCCTCGTACTAGGTAGTCACTAAATCAAGAACTACTATAATTCGGAGTGCTTATCGAGGGTTGAAGTTGAAGCTAATAAGCCAATCAGCATTGGCTCAATCCAAAGGTCACACGAAGTGGTATCAGCCTGGCTTCAGCCATCAAGCTTCGCGCAACATACAGCTTTTCGCGCGCTTTTCCAACTTGCGCTTTGAGTTCGCGCAACACGCAGATTTTCGCCCGTGGGTTCGCTCCGGTATCTACGCCAATCAGCGCCCCCATCGTTTGAATTTGCGACGTGTAATTAGCCAGTCATTTCGCGGCCAATCACGTTCGCGCTGCGATCCTTGCCAGAAGATCGTTTCCGCGTGCTCAATCCCAAACCTCATTTCCGAAATCTCCAGCTACTGCTCCAGCGCGCTTCCCCAACTATGCCGTCGCCCGGCTCGCATCGACCGTCGCCGCCAAGGCCGCCATCACGCTCGCCATGCTGCTGATCCTTACTCTGGCCGCCGCTATGCTCGCCGTGCTGCTGTCACCCATGCCGCCGCCGCCATGCTCGTCATGCTGCTCTCGCTGTCCCCGCTACCGCTACGCTCGCCGTGACGCTGTGGCCGGGCTGGCCGAAAAGCTGGCCGACGGTCTCCCACGCCGCTGAGATCGTCCAAGAGCGCAACTGGTCCGGCGAAGATGTCAATGTGGACTATCCCAGGTCAATGTTGACTTATGTTATGTGTGTTCACACATGGTCGGCGATATGTGTGGTCAACATCAGAAGCAGCGGAATCTTGGAGGTTCGAAGACATCCGACGTGTGAGAAATGGAGTTCAAAGTCCGACAAATTGTTGACGACTACCGGGCGTATTGGGAGGACTGCCGCGCGTATATGCAGTACCCGCCCCGGCTCTTCGTGATCATGAGAGGCCTCCCGGGCAGTGGCATGACAACGTTTGCTCAAGAGGTCGCTCGTTAAGCAGCAACGGTTGATTTCCGCGCATCGATTTGCTCAGCTGACCTCTTCTTCCAGCATGGAGGATCCTATGTGTTCGACGCAAGTCGGCCTTGGGAGGCGCATCGAAGCTGCTACGAACAATGCAGAGAACTCCTGTGGCGCAACCCCGACCGTGGCGTGGATATCGTTATCGTCGACGACTGCAACCTTCGGATGGATGATTTTGAGCGCTATCAGGATCTGGACATTCCCTCGGACAAGCTTGCGGTTGCTGCGTTCGAATGCCCCCCCCACTGGCATAGCGGAAGCAACACAGCTCTTAGAACGAGCTAATCGTGTTGGCCACGCTATCCTTGGTCGCACTTTCGTGGAGTACTTCAACATCTGGAGATACAACGATCCGGGGGAGCCGCGCCCCGACAACGAGGTGGAGACCGTCGATGAGCTGCAGATCGATAACGAGCTGACCACCGTCAATATACAGCGCGCCTACATCATCACGCTGGAAGAGTTTATGCGTGATCGCTAACATGCTCCGGCAATGCCGAAGAGGTGACTGGTAGCTTCAGTAAATCTCTAATTTGACGTATCTACTCTTGTGTTGGCGCTTATCTCACCACTTCTGCATCTTTTTGTAAAGACAACCATGTGCATCTACTCGTACATCTCTCATTGAGTCACCAAGTCGAGTACGACTTGGAACGTGTCTACGCTGGGTTAGACACTTGTTACTGAAGCCAGCTCAACAACGACTTATACCAAGTCAAGGTTGACTTACAGTCCTCTTGATTCTAAATCGAATTGGTCCACATCAATTTATTTCAACTGTAGGATTTGCGGTTTCACTTTCTCAAAGAACCTTGACTGCAGCAAAGTGCTGATGGCGAAGCGAGCGAAGGAACTGCTGTCGGTGCTGCTCGCCAGGCGCCCATGATGAGGAGCAAGAAAGCTGCAAAGGCGACGGACAAGCCAGCGACAAAGCCGACGAGCGTGCCCACTGACAAGTCAGCAAACGCTACCAAGACCACGCCGGCCACCGGCAATACCAAGCAGAAGCGGAAGAAGGGGGAGGGGCCAGACACTTCGCCAACCCCCCGTAAGTAGAGGAAGACTGCCAAGAAGACTGGCGAAGGATCCAACGGGACGACGCGCCAGTTGGGCGCCGCGAGTGCATCGGAGGACGAGGTGACGACTCGCGATGAAGAGACGACTCCCCTGGTACCCAAGCACGCGCTCCGGTCCACGTGCTTGGCTCTACAAAAGAAGATCGCAGACGAAAAGGGCGAGCACCGGCAAGGCCCACGGCGCAAGGCAGGTGATTACTACAAGATGGCAGACTACCAGAAGCGTGTGAGGGCGGAGAAATACACAGCTGCTAGGAACAGCGGCAACGACTTGGACTACGAGGCTTTGAGCAAGTTGACTCAATTCAAGGCGTTCAAAAACAACCCAGAAGAGCTCCAGCGTCACGAGCCTGCGCTGCTGAAAGAGTTCTACGAGGTTTACTTAGCGGACGAAGCCCTGAAAGCAGACGCACACGCGCCGACCGCTGGATCTGGTTCGTCGAAGCTATCGCAACGTGGCGGAGCCGAGCACCTGGCGATCGAGCAATGCGACATCTAGGCGGCTCAGCAGCTTACCGCAGCCAGAAACCAAGCATCGCTAGCGTAAGACCAAGCTCCAGGGCCTCCAATCTCGCAGACACCAGTGGTCGTGCAGAAGGAAGGTGCCCCAGCTCGGAGCCTGCAAACCCACCCTTTGCGAGGGGGGTATGCGCATCTTAGAAATATCATTTAGCGAGCACTGCAGCAGTTCCGAGAGAAGCTGGATGAACAGCAGCAGAAAGGGGCTCGACAGCTGGAGGAGGAACAAGCACGCTCAAGGAAATTAGAGGAGCAGTTAGCAGCCGCTGCGAATGAGCTGGCCGAACTCAGGAAAGATGGCAGTGGTGACGACAGATGTACCGTGATAGCGCATGTGTGGAAGAAGACAGCTGCAAAACTAGCCGAAGAGAAGGCGATTTCAAGTGGCTTGCGCAACAAACTTGCCCATGTGGAAACTGAGTTGAATTTGTCGAAGCAATCCGTCACCACGCACGCAGATAATCTACTTAAGGCGCAGGCTAGCCATGTTAAAAACTCCAGGATGTGCACTAAGACATGAACAACCTCACGAGAGAGGTGGACGAGCGCAAGAAAAAAACTGGAGGACCGGAAGCACGAGGTGGCTACGCTAGGTATTGATGACGATCACGAGGTGCTGGAATCGGATGGCTGTTCTGGCGAGAGTGCCGACGACGATTCTGAAGATGAGTTTGCAGATGAGCTTGCAGATGAGCTTTATATTACAGGTGATACCGGACACGAAAGTTTTAGTGTCGAAACAGCAGAGGAAATTCGCGCGGGTGCCGGCCCCCAGGACTACATAACAGATGAAATGCTTCGACGCATGTCTGACACTGGTTAGGAGTTGCTACCGGTAACCGACGAACGAACCTGTCCGGCGCTACGGATGTGTTTACGGACCCTCCTGAACTTACTGCATCGGCTATAGAGGCAGAGAAAATGATGAAACCTTCTGATCTTGTTTTTACTTCATGCCGAAGACTCTCTGGACGGAGATTGCCGAGAAAACTAATCGTTACGAGCGTCAGACACGACCGGAAAGACTTCGACAGGCGAAGTTGTATATTGAAAAGAAGACGGACGACATCCACAAACGCAAGGAAATGTTTCAAGCAAAGAAAAAGGAGCTGGACGCGTTCAAAGACGTACGTGCCGCGGAGATCATACATTTTCTGGCCCTAGTAATATCCTGGGCTATTTGCCCAATAAAATTTCAACTAGAAGATCATTGGAAGCCGCGAGCCCGTGGAGCGATCCCAGCTGGTACTTGGTCGCGATTTATGGTTCGCAAGCATCTCAAGGAGATTAACAGGTACTGTGACTTCCACGTTATTTTAATAAAGGGCCCACTAACACGTCCTTCGCCAGATTTCTCCGCTTTACGAACAACTAGGCCCCCAGGCTAAGACGGACCGGGCATGGAAGATTCGCAACGTCATAAACAAGTCACATACTACTTTCAAGGGTGGAATGGAACTAGGGCGCTGGGTTGCATTTGACGAGATGGTTATCCCTTCAAGAAGTTCGCGGAACAAAAGTCAAGTTTTTACACCCGAAGTGGACCAGCTGCTGTGGTTCGAAACCTTAAAGCCTTGTGGGAACAACGTCGGGTGGATCGATCCAAGTAGCCAATCATCATCACTGATCGCGAGTATTCTTCGGTAACGTTGGGATTTTGTTTGATGGACATGGGGTACTACAATATCGGGACGGTTTCTACGACGCGTCTTGGCTTCCCCGAAGACTTGAAGACCGACAAAAATCAGCTTTGACAGGGATGCCGCGCGGCTCATACATTCTTGATCGGAACAATACGAATCGTCAAATGTACTCGACGCGATGGGTTGACTCGAAAATTTGCTACTTTGTGGCAACTGCGGCCTCCGCTAGACGTGCGATTGTGCGGAGGAAGCAAAAGGACGGCTGATAGCCAAACATTCCGTGTCCGGAGTTTGTGGTATTGTACAACAAGTACATGGGGGGGGGTTGACAGTCACGACCAGTTACGTCTGCAAAGGTACGTGTTGCTCTGTTGCGGTTCTGCCGCCCATCACTTACGCCGAAAATGCTTTTGACTAGGTACTCCATCCAAAGAGGCATGCGACCGAAGAAATACTACAAGACTGTTTTCTACGGGCTTCCCGACATAGCTGTTATTAACACGTTTATCACCCACCGTGAGTACGCGAAGTCGGTGGGGGAAAACCCTCTTTCACACGCGGATTTTCTCATTCAGCTACACGAGGAGCTACTCGCTCTCGGAGATGATGACTTCCTGGAAACGGTGCCAGTCGTCGAAACCGCTGTTACCGAGGTGGGGCCAAGATCTAACCAGACACCAGTTTCGACGGCGTGCTCGCTAGCAAGCTCGAAGCATCAATTGATGGTGTCGACGGACAAGACAGCGAAGGGCAAGTTCAAGTTTCGCGTGTGCAAAGTTTGTTCGGTACTGCGTGGTGCTGGCAGTCCTGGATCGAATCGACCTCCCGGCACAACGCGTCATTACTGCAAGCAGTGCTCCACTGATCGAGGAAGACTGTTCTTGAGTTCCAAGGCGCGACACGTATCCGATGGTAATTCTGTATCGTGCTTTAACATTTGGCACTCGAAATGGAAGAACGGAGATCAACTTCCGCACTCTGAAAATGTCGGACGGATCCGAATGCGTCGGTCGAAGGAGGAGTTACGCGCGGAAACGATGGATACAGCTTCCTCGGATGCTGTACTGCCAAGGCAATACGAGACCGGTGTTCCGAATGCCGATAGGGCTGCTTCGGTGTCATCTTCGCAGTTAGCGGTCCCAAGTGTCACGCGAAACGTAGAGGTACAAGTGCATCAGCCAGAGCGGCCAGGCGCAGATACAGCAGGACAGGATGAAGAACGAGTAACTGCGACTGAGAGGCCCCCAGATGAGAGCGAGCGGGAGGCCGTGGCAGAAGTACTGGCGGAGCTGCTTGGCGCGGTGGGATGTACGCTCAGCGGGGCCGAGCAGCAGAATGAGTCGGATAATAAGGTAGGAGTCAATATGTCATTGCGAAGTCGATCTTGATAAAATACGTCTGTAAGAGAGAGCGAAGCCAGCTTTGACTCGACGGCGGTCTAGCTGGTTGTCAACGTTGAGATCTATGTTTCACTGCGAAGTCAATCTTGACATATGCCATACACACTTAAATACAAATACGCCTGTGAGGGAGAGCGAAGCCAACCTTGGCATCGACAGCGCCCAAGCTGGTTATCAACGTTGAGATCAATGCTACAATAAGAAAGCGATGACGGAATATATGTAAGCATGGGCTTCTTCATTACAACTCAGCATCGCTAACAAAATATGTATGCTTCTGTGAAGCTGGGCTAAGCACTTTCCGACGTACTAGTGTCTCAACGATACCCCAAGACGAGGAAACATCACTTCGGTTTGATACCTCCAGACAGCAAGCCACTCGAGCGCAGCGGCTTCTTGGACTCGAGCTTTATACTCGAGCTCTTTGAAAAAACCCTTCTTGGTATGCTCCTGGATAGTATTCTCGTCGTACGATTCATCTGCCTACATGGCGATATGGTGTTCAACATGGGAATCGAGAAAAGCTTCTAAGCGTTCAATGTCCCACTTGCACAGGCGCTGTCGACGATTTATCATAGACAGCGTTATCTACACAGATGTCAATGGCACGTTAGCGTTGGGAGTACACCTGGCACCACAGAACGCGTGAAGTACCTTCGAGGCTTTCAGGGACGCTTGCAACCACGCGTAGATGTGACGCGAGTCTTCGTCGTTCTGAAACTGCGCATAAATCTCGCAGAGCGGAAGGGCGGCTAGAAATGCGTCTACATGGTTGGTAGACCTGAATCTAGGCTCGTAAACCTGTTCCATAATAACATTTGTTAGACTTGACACGAGGCGGTCCCCAGAAAATTGCCGACGATGTGCCGTCACCTCTGTGACTTGGAGTTTGTATCGGATGCTGATTGGTGGATGACTTGGATACGGCGCGGCTGTACCCGTGTGACATGGATGGCGACTGTGAGAGAGAAGTGATTTCTCGGGATGAATCCAGCGCCTGACCGCAGATGGGCCCAACTGGCTGGAAGTGTGAATCCTGGGAGTGCACGCCCAGGATTTCAGAGAACACTCAGTCCAGCCGCGGACTTTCCCTTACGATGAGTGCCTAAAGTCTGGCGGAAAGTGTCTCTGGCGAATGTATCCCAGAGTACACCTCATCTTTCTGTGGCTCAGAGTGCCCCAGAGGATCAAATTACCCTGAGAATCAACCCACTACCACCATGATCATGCGCAGGAGGCCGCTAAACCCGCTAAAGGTGTGGCTTTGTGGAGATACACGCGAGCCTGCAATGCAGCAGACTTGTTACCCAGAGTGCCGCACGGAAACCCAGAGTGCCGCACGATGACCCAGAGTTCACCTCCCTGAGTGCAGGTGACCCAGAGTTCCAAAGATGATTCTCTGGGTTTGGACCATAAATCCAGACTCTCTATACTGAACTTAAGTGTCTCCCAAGCCAACACCCAAGAATCCCCACAGTTCCCCCAGATTCCTCAGAATCCCCAGGATTTCAGAAGATGACCCTGAGTGCCACCTGACTTTCAGGGATGCGAGTCAGTTTGAAGTCAGTCTGCAATCAAAGTGATGCGTGACCTTGAAGAACCGTTGTGGATGCACAGACTGGATACTTTCAAGGAGTCGAGAGGGAGTCCTGCACCATACTAAACCAAGTCTAAGGACCCACAATTGGCACTTTCGACGCCGTGCGACAATAGATTCGCAAGCCGATCGCAAGTTTGGACCGCTGAACCCAAGGTATACTCAAGACAAGACATTTGACCCCAAGCATAGTGAGCAGAAGATGTTTGCCCGAAGAAGAGAGAGAGAGAGAAGTAGCTGATAAAAACCAAACAGAGTTCCTTTTTCCCTGTCGTACGCAAGTTACCTTGCAGCTGCCTACCAGAAGAGAGATGCCTGGGGGGCCACGGGACTAACGCGGACATCCACGATGCGGGTTACCATGGGGCGGCTCACCAGAAGAAAGATGCCTGGCGGGACCATGGGACTGATGCTGAAATCCTGAATGTGCGTTACCATGGAATTGCTCACAGGAAGATGTTGCCCTGGGGACCATGGGACGAACGCTGGGAGTCGTGGACGGAAGATGGGTACAAGCTCTCACCACCCTGAAGTTGTTGAAGAATTTGAAGACTGTTGAAGAAAATCCTGGGAAGTGACCTGTTGAGGTCGGCCTGTTGAGGTCTAATAATTGGTATTCTGGCCTGTTGAGGCCTAGTCTGTTGAGATTAATAAAGAGTTCCTTTTACCCTGTACTGCGCAAGTGACTTCGGCCAAGCCTGCCGACGGAAATCCGGAGGACCCGAGACTATGACCGCGGGGCGCTAAGGGCACATCAACGGCGAAGGACAGCCATCTGTGTGGACTCCATCAACTCAAGTTCAGTTAGGTGGTGACCAGCGACGGCCTTGAGCTTCCTGGGGTGATCCATCTATTCCATATCCTAGTTGGGTCACTTGCTATGCTCGTGGTAGCCCATTTCATATTATTCCAGATGGTATTCTGGGGTGCTAGGTAGTCGCCTCCAGGATTTTGTATTGACTGCTTGTGTGAAGGGAAGGTAACTGATAGGGATTGTATTTTCCTCCTTTATTGGAGGTGGTGCGCGTTTGTGTGAGTCTCAGGGGAGCTAGGCCCATGAATTTCAGACTCGAGTGAGCCTAGTGTGTGTGTGACCCACCGTCCAAGGGTCCAAAAGAATAAGTGACGGCTAGTTGTAGTGTTTGTATACTCTGTATTTGTTGGTTTTATCGAGCTAGGAGGGCATTTGGGTAAGGTGTCTTCTGAGTTCCAAGTCCCGGAGTTGACTGAAATCCTGGACCCTGAATTCGTGATATTCTGGGTTTCGGGGGACCTGATTCTCTGAGTTTGCCTTTTGGTGTGGAGGTGCGTTCTGAAGTAGACGTGCGCTCCCGCACTTCTTCGAGGCTACATTTTCAACCGGTGGAGTGCCGTTCCGTCGAAGACAAACGAGCCGACAGGGATTACACAAGGTACCCACGCCAACCAAGAAGTGTGATTCTCAGGGTTTAAAGCTTTGCGGCTGCGAATCTATGGGTCTATCTTCTTGCTGTTGACTCTCAAGTCGATTCTCTGGGTCTACACCCTGGGGAACAGTCTTCGGCTGCGCTATACGAACCCCCCTGGGCGATAAAGGTTTCATCGGCGTCGCCTCAGCTGGTGCGCGTGCCCGGATTCGATTGTCGAGGATTTCGCCGGAATCAAGTGTTGAAGAAGTGCTGAGTGCCCGTCAACTTCAAGCTACCAAGATGCCTGGAGGCCGAGGGGCGAAGAAGAGTGGACGCGGTGACGGAGGACGCGGTGAGGCGTCACGTCAGTCGCGTCGTGTTCAAGGTATGGAGCCTGAGGAGCACAAGGACCTGGAAACAGTCGTCCGCGACGTTCGGAAGGCGAATAAGGCTGCTCGCGAGAGCGAGGCAGTGTGAGGTGGGGACGTCGAGGCGTCTGCAGTCCAAATGGTGGTGCTCAGGCGTCTGAGGGGGGCGCCAATGCGGTTGGGCCCCCGGAGGTGATTGACTTGGTTTTATCTTCGGACGAGTCTGTTGTGGAAGTGAAGTCGGAGCCCGTGCGAGCGAAGGAGGAAGCGAAGACTCAGTGTTCCAAGGTGAATTCTGGGTTCGCACCACCTGAACCCAGAGTTTCAGCGCCAAGTTCTCAAGTGGCACCCAGGAAGACGCCTGAAAGCGACATCCGGGAAGCTGCTGCGCCTGCTCCGGAATCGGGAGCAGCGGCGTTGGACACTGAGAGCATGGTGCTGTACGTCCGACGTGAAGTTCGACGCTGGGAATGGTGAACCCTGGGAAGGTGACGCCCCCGAGTGTCGTCTATGAGTGGCCGACTCCGAAACCGGACGCTAACTCGTACTTCGCGGCCGCGTACGCAACGGGAGACTATTTCAAGTGGCGTTTGTCTCTGGCGAACCAAGGTGAAGCCTGGATCTCTGAGTTTCACCTCGCTCGGTGGGGTGTCGGAACTACCCAGACTCTCATGGCGACTACGATTCCCCAGAATATCATGACCGCACGCGAGTGCGCGCCATTCTGCAGACTCTGTTCTTTGAAGCTGGATTCGAGTTTGTCAACTTGATCCCTGGCTGGTCTTCGATGCGTGCTTCTAGGATTCCAGAAAGTCTGGTGCGCTCTGTCATGGAGGAAACCCAGAATTTTATCGCCGTGGAACTGGTCGAATGGAGACTGGTGGTCGCTGGGGTGCCTTTCAAGGTGAACTCTGAAGACCAACATGCACCAAGCGTCAAGATCAAGCGCCAATACTGGACTACCACAAGATAGATGGAGACGGTGATCAATTGATGACGGACTACGGTGCGGATGACAGTTTGGCCTGAGATTCAGAGTCACTGGACTCAGGATTTCACGGAGCCCACGAGGGTCGAGTGATGGTGAGCCGCGATCCAAGCGCACTCAGCATGGATCGCCTCGCCCGCAAGTCCCGTCAACGCCATCCGCGCTGTCTACACCGTCGCTGTCCTCTCTTCCAGCGTACAAGTCTTCGACTGGTGCCTCGCTTCAGAATTCCACCCCCTGAATTCCATGTCCAATGGACGTGATTCTCTGGAGGCGGAAGCCAAGGACGCTGCCCCAGGCGCGGTGCCAAGCGTCATCGGTACTTCGCGCGCTTCGGATGAGAGTACTGCCTCGGGCGTTCAAACGTCTTATGGTAGCTCTTCGTCTTCGTCGATGATGTCGCTTGGACAACGAGTTGGAGCTCCAGCGCTTGTGGCCCAGAGTGCCGGTGGCTTCGCAGCTGCCGGTGATCTTGGATTTCAGGTCACCCGGACGGTCACCCCGCCTCGTCTCGTGTCAGTCGACCAAGATGACGTTGAGATGGCATCGTCGGTGCACTCTGACCCAGAGATCGCACCAAGGAAGACCGGTCTCCCCAGGATTTCAGCGACGATTGCTGAGCCGAAACTCAGGGTTTCTGCCCCGATTTCCGAATTTGGTGGTCCGAGGGATGTCAGCGCCGATCAACAGAGTCAACACCCGACCTCTAAGAGCGAGGTGCGCTCTCGACGCTCGACGACGTCCAGGAGATCTGCTGCGTCGAGCCGCTCGAGTGGATCCAGGAATCTTGGGTCAGCTTCGTCCGTGTCCGCGAGGTCTGGGCCCGCCCAAATCAAGCTGAATATCTTGCGACAACAGCAGGAGTGGCAGGCCTGCATGGAGCAGGACCAACGCGAGTTTCTCGCCAGAGAACGCCTGTATGCCTTGGAGCGCGAGCGTCTCAGGGAACAACGTGACCTGGACGCGCGCCGCCAGATCCAGGAACTCACGGATCGCTTGGTCCACGCTGAAATCGCCCGAGGAGAAGCGGAACGGCGTGCGCAGGCCGTGGAGACTCGCCAGACCCAGAGTTCCACTGAAACTCAGGGGATGACTCAGAGTATCATGGAAGCTGTACGTCTTGAGCGTGAGCGCCTGGATGCCGCCTACGCCGAGCGCTGGCAACAGCGCGAAGCCGAAGCCGACTCGGAGCGCGCGCGCTGGGTTCCCGAGACCTACGCTGGTTGGAAGGAACAAATGTCAACTATGGAGCAGAAGGTCCATGAACTTGAGGCGGAGAAAGAGCGAGAGCGGGAGTCTTCCGAGAATATCCAGCGCTTCCACGCCGGCCAAGTGCGCGACCTTCGCGCAACATTGGCCCAAGTTCAAGCGCGTCGCGCAACCGTCGCCCCTGATTTGGTAACAAATGTGACGTCGTCAGTGGCTCAGAACCCTGAAGTTGCAACCCGACCCCAAGAATCCAGTGGCGTAATCAACGGAAACACAAGTGTCACAGGCCAGAGACGGGAGACAGCTGATCCGAAGAACACTTCCGAAGTCGCCGCCTCCCAGCTATGAGCGACCCTCGCGCAGACTTCCGCCGACAATTCCGGCAGAACCGCGCGCGTCAAGCGGGGACATGGCGCTACGGAGACCAAGGTGACGCAGGATGTCAAGCTCGAGCCTGTGTCTCTGGGGAAGACGTCGGATCCCAGGAGAACAGCGACCTCTAAGGCCTCGCAGGACTCTAAAACAGACTCCAAGCGCTCTGCACCCAAGAAACACCGGCAGAAGAAGAAGAAGCGTCAGGATGTCAATCCACCCTCGGAATCAGACCCAAGCTCCGATTCCAGCGATGATGACTCGTCCTCTGAGAGTTCGGATGACAGTTCGGACGGGAACCCTGGGGTTAACCTGACGACGGCCTCTACGGCTCAAGCTGGCACTACGCTCCTGACGTTCAGACCGTACATCAACTCGAATACTCTGGGTGAGTTCGATACTAAGGCGTCACTCAGGGAACGCGTGCATTGGTGGGAGCGTTTTGCGAACATGGCGGCTCAGGGAGGTTGGTCTACGAAGATGCGAATTCAGGAACTCAAGTTGAAACTCTCGGGAGCTGCGCGTGACTGGTTCAACCAGTTGCCCAAACACACTCAGCGTGACTGGAAGGAGTTGGCGTCTGCATTCAGGAAGAAGTACTGCAAAGCGCGCTCGTCGTACTCTGAACGCTACCTCACGATGGAGATGAAGAACTCAGAGAGCGCCCTGGATTTCGTCTATCGTCTGAATTCCGCCGCTGGGAAGGCTGACATTGATTTTCGCAAGTCTTCGAAGCGTCTGGAGAAGCATATCCAGAGGTTCATCACGAAAATCAGGGACACGCGCCTCAAGCCGCCGCTGCAAGGTGAGAGATTCAGAAGTATCGCTGATCTGGAGTATGCTTTGGAGCAGGACGAAGATGTCTGGAGTCGCAGTGGCCAGGATGCTCCACCACCCAGAGTTCGTGACTTTCGTGCCGACAACATTCCTCAGGGACGTTTCAAGCCGAAGCGACAAGGACGTGCGTACGTGACTAGGGGTGATGTCTCTGACTCTGAGTCGGACGAAGACCCTGAAATTCACGCGCGTTTCCAGGAAATCACGGACGAACCCAGAGTTTCAGCCCGAAGTGCGAGCGCGAATTCAGGGTCAACTCGTGAGGTGTCAAGCGCTGGGAGCCTGGCGAGTATGAAGGGTGCCGAGTGGACCCAGACGCTGACGAACGAGGTCTATCGCGTGATGGATAACATGGGATGGCGTCCACCGAACGCCCAACCAGGACCGAACTCGAACTCTGGATTCCGTTCCCCTCGCCGCGAAAACCCGAATTGGGACAAGTTCTGCGAGAAGGGCGGCAAGTGGGGGCACCCAGAGGAAAACTGCTGCAAAGACGTGAAGTGTGATCGCAGCCTGGAAGTGGGTCATCCTACTCACTTGTGTCGCGCGCAACAGTGCGAGAACTGTGGCAAACTGCATCTCGGGAAACCGTGTGAAGACTGGAAGTCACTGGAAACTGTGAAGAATCTCGCCCGCCAAGGTGCACTGAAGGACATGCCGAGCCAAATCCTGGATAAACTCCTGGATGGCGAAGTAAACTCTGGGAGGCCGTCAAACCAATAAGGCCGCTGGGTGGGGACCCAGTACGCGCCGGGCTGAAGAAGGCCCCAGCGTTATGTGTTCTAGTGTATGTAGGCCCGGAGCTGAGAACAAGAACCCAAGATAACCAACAATGCATGACTACTTTGACTCAGGATTTCATGACTTCCCCTGAAAATCAGCATCCTGAACAAGCGAACGCTGGGTCGGTGAACTCTGAGGAAATTGTGGAGTACAAGCTGAACCCTGGAGAGCGTTACGGATGGTGGGAAAACAATGATCCTGACCCAAAGAAACGTGATGTGGCGATGGTGCATGGTGCTGTGAACGACTGCCGGACGAGAGTTCTCCTGGATACCGGTGCGACTGTGAATATTGTGAGCTTCGACTTAGCGCGTAAGCTCGGGCTCACACTCACGTCGCACAAACAGACCAAGGTGTCTGGCATGGGAGGCGTTCCGACGTACATCGGTGCCAGTGCTCAGGTGAAGATTACTCTCGGTTCAAGGGTGATATATCTCCTGGATGTCTGGATTGTTAACATCGGCGAAGGGGTCGAAGTACTTCTGGGTATGAGTTTCATGTTTGCAGCTGGAGTGAGCATCAGTGTTCGCGAAGGTCTCGTGACACTTCCGGATGAAGAGGCTATCATGATGTGTGGGTGGACTCCAGAGGATCGCCTGGGTGTCGACATGCCTGTGGAAACCACAGGTAGTTGGTACCTGGCCCCTGGGGAATCCAAGGTGGTGAAGATTTCGTATGGACCGACGAACCCACAGCGTGAAGTTGTGTGGGCAGGACGAGGTGACCGCTGGGTAACGCACCTGATTTACGCTGCGAGATACTGGCCGGTCGCTGTGAAGGTGGTCAACATCTCGGACAAGGACGTCTGGATTCACAACAGAACGCCAGTCGCCCGAATCGTGGAGTATGGCTTCTTCCCATGTGCCGGACGCTTCGAGCGCCCTGGTTCTTTTGCGTATCGGGAGCGGCAGACTCTTATTCTGGAGAGTGTTCAGTCGCGTAAGGGCAGACTTCGCGCGGAACGCCTGGCTGCGCTGGAGCCATCCTGTGTCGAGACCCCAGAGTATCAGTGGCCTACGAAGATTCTGCCGCGACCTGCAAAAGGCCCCAACATGGCACTGCTTGTCTCCATTCTCAGGAAACCGAAGACTCGTCGCGTGCGCTTCGCGGAAGACGCTGCAACTCAGACTGAAGAGGTGCCCCCCGAAGACCCTCATGAATTCCGAGATGTTGCTGTTGATACGAGTGACTTGGGTGACGTTCTGAAGGAGGCGGTGACCGATGTTGCCTCGCAGACTGTCGGAACCCCAGACGGCATGAGTCCTGAAGGTGATACGGCTGCTGAAACCCTGAGTTTACAGGTTGAAGTTGACAGTGATTCTCAGGGTCAGTGGTGCGACGAAGGTGATTCTCTGGGATTCGATGTGGATGACGACGATTCTCAGGGTGCTGTTGAAGATTACTGGGATATCCCGATCTCAAGGATGCCGGGAACTCCGTTGGAGAAGCTGGAGCAGGAATATGAGCGCTGCATGCGGCTTTTGACAGAGGACTTCGACTACGAGCCTGCGGTCTACATACGTGAAGGAAGTGAGTTGCTCTCTCAGTTGCGTGACCAGTTGGTTATGCTTCCTTAGATGCGTGAGTTGACCCCTGAGTGCAAGATCGAGGAGGCAGATGTTGGAGTCCCTGGGAAAACGACGCCCGAGATGGAAGACCAAGTGAGGCGAATTCTGGAATATCATCGGAAGATCTTCTTGGGAGACGGCAATGCAGCTCCCCCATCTGCCCGTGGAGTGGTTTGTGACCTGGATGTAGGCGACGCTAAACCTGTTGCCCAGCGTCCAAGGTCCATTGCACCACACCTGTGGACTAAGGTGTATGAACTTCTGAAGAAGCTTCTGGAGAACGGGCTGATCGAGACTTCTACGTCCCCCTGGGCATCTCCAATCGTGATCATCCTCAAGAAGAATGGCGTCGACATCCGGATGTGCATCGACTATCGCGTGGTGAATGGCTTCATCAAGCTCTCACACTATCCGCTGCCGCTTATTGATGATCTTTTGATTGGCTTTGAGTCGGCGATGTGGTTTATGAGCTTGAACATGGCGAGTGGTTTCTGGGCTATCAAGATGACGGAGAGAGAGCCAAGTTGATCTCTGCGTTCGTCTGTCCCTATGGGCACTACCAGTGGGTCAGGATGCCGTTTGGCCTCAAGAACGCGCCGCTGATCTACCAGGCAGTTCTCAATAACTGTCTGTGGGGATTTCTGCGGCTTTCCCCTGAGGATGAAGCTGAGGTTGACCAGGATATCTTGGACTTTTGGGGGTTGAACTCTGGGGAACCCAGAGTTTCAGGTGAAAATGCACCGCGACTTTCAGTGTTGACGGATGAGATGACTGTTTTTCAGCGTAACATCCCGGCTCCCTCTCAGATGGGCTCTGTCCTGGGTCGAAGCTCGTATATCGACGACATCGCCCACGGTGGGCCTACTTGGGAGCAGCTGTGTCAGGATCTGAACGCGCTGCTCTTCCGACTACGTTACTGGAATATCTCTGTGAGTCTTCCCAAGAGTGAATTCTGGAAGTTCTCCATTCCATATCTCTCTCACGAGATTAGTGCTGAGGGTATCCGAGCGACCCCTAAAATCGCGAAGGGGGTCCAAAACTTGCCGTTCCCGACGACACTGAAAGGCGTCCAGAGTTTCATGGGGAGTCTGAATTACTACAACAAGTTCATTGAAGATCTACCCGTGATCGCGGCCGTTCTGTACGAGCTGACTGAGGAACAAGTGAAATCCAGGAGAGACCTGTCGAGAGCCCAGGAAGCCTTTGAAATCCTGAAGCGCAAGATCGTTTCGACTCCGTTGCTCAGACATCAAGATCGTTCAAGGCCCTTCGTGATTATTCCCCACGCGAACCCGTGGGCAGCATCCGCTGTGTTGGGCCAGGAGTACGACGGGATTGTGCACCCGGTTCGATTCACAGGTCGCGTCTTGAATGACGCTGAGCTGCCGTATCACATTGCGGAAAAGGAGGTGATTGCTCTCCTGAGAGTCCTGGAGGTGTTTCGCACTTTGGTTGAAGGCAGCCCTAAGATCGTCGTCTACACGCGATATTCTGTGTTGAAGTGGTTGCTGACCTCGCAGTCGGCAGACGGTTGAACGGTGAAGTGGGGTCTGAAGTTGTCCCACTGGAACCTGGAGATACGCAGAGTTCAACGGGATGAAGACGGCTTGGCTGCAATTCTGGGTGCGGGTATTACCCCCAGAGAACACTTGGATGAGATCGCTGAAAACCTGATCCCAGCTAAGGGGCGCGTTAAACCTCCAGTGCCTATCAGTATGGAAATGGTGGAAGCGGACTACGAGGGGTGTATTCTGAGCTTCGATGGCGCCGCTAAGACTTCCACGAGACAAGGGAGCTGCGGCTGCATCCTATGGCATGTCCCCGGGTGGGAAATCCTGGATGCCCAGGGATTCACCCTGGAGGACGTGACTGTGAACGACGCTGAGTATCATGGACTTCTGAAGGGCCTCACTCTGGCGATTGAGCGTGGAATTCAGGACATCGTTGTAGTTGGGGACTCCAGGATTGCCATCCAGCAAGCCCAGGGTCTCATCAACTGCAATCAGCCAAATCTCCAGAGGACTCTGGCCGAGTATGAAGTGCTGAAGACGAAGTTAAAGTCTGTGCGGCTGGTGCATGTCAAGCGAGAGTTTAACCAGGCCGCAGACTACCTGACGTCTAACACCCTCGCGCTTGGTGAATCCTGGAAGGTGGAGGATGCTGACGAACGAACACATCTGCAGTTGGTGTCCAAGATTCACGAGAAGTTGGTAAGACCGAAGGTGTTATTGAACGGTGGAATTCAGGGGAGTGATTCTCAGGGTGTCGAAACTCTGGGTATCCCTGGACCTGAGTGCGCTCCGTTGCCTGTGGCGGCCAAAGTGTTTGCAGTAATGACTCGGGCGCGAACTCAGGAGATCGAAGCCCAACGCGAACCCATGGGACCTCTGGAGTACCAGGCGGAACGCTGGCGACGCATCAAAGTGCACCAGGACAAAGATGATCACCTGCTGCAACTCAAGGATTTTCTGAAAGGAGACACGACGAAGCTGTCGCACGCTCAACCCAGGAAACTCGCGAAGGTCGCTGATGATTTCGTGTTGGATTCCAGAGAAGTCCTGTACCGCTTGAGTCGGTCTACCAGAGATCGACCCTGAGACATGGTTGACGAACTCAGACTCGTGGTGCCGAAAGCTCCGCGACCGGATATCCTGCATTACGCTCACGAAGATTTTCAGGGTGGGCACCAGGGGATCACGAGGACGTACGAGAAGCTGCGCTCTGAGTTCTACTGGCACGGCATGTACGCTGATGTGGAAGTTTTCGTCAAAGAGTGTGTGGATTGCGCCAGCGGCAAGGGGCGCCCTCAGCATCCAGGGCCTTCCCCTGGAAACATCGAACCGAGGCGCCCTTTTGAAGTTGTGTCTATGGATTTCGCGACACACTTGCCTAAGTCGGACCGTGGGGACACGTTCCTGCTGCTTTTTCAGGATGCGTTCTCAGGATTCGTCATGTGTAAACCCATGAGTTCCGCCACGGCGCAAGATGTCGCTGAAGTGTACGAAGAGCAGGTCTTCAGGAGATTCGGCGCGAGCTCGATGCTGAGGCACGACCAAGACCCAAGGTTCATGAGTGAGGTGTTCACGCGCTTCCGTGAACTTTTGGGTAGCAAGCAGCGAGCCACTCTGGCGTATCGCCCCCAAGCGAACGGACAACAGGAGCGGTCGGTGCAGACTGTCGTGCGCAGCATTCGAGCGTACATTGCTGAGGCGGACCAGAGTGACTGGGACGACCATGCTGAGCGCCTGATGTTTGCCCTGAATACATCGTTCGATGCTACTCACCTGGACATTCCGTTTTTCTTGGTACACGGCTGGGACGCACACGGCACTGTGTCTGCAATGTTGGGACCCAGGCCCTCGAGTATCCAGGAGCGCACTGCGTACAAGTGGCGCAGGAAGCTACAGCGTGACTATAGTTATGCACAAGCTTGCTGACACGAGGCGGTCCCCAGAAAATTGCCGACGATGTGCCGTCACCTCTGTGACTTGGAGTTTGTATCGGATGCTGATTGGTGGATGACTTGGATACGGCGCGGCTGTACCCGTGTGACATGGATGGCGACTGTGAGAGAGAAGTGATTTCTCGGGATGAATCCAGCGCCTGACCGCAGATGGGCCCAACTGGCTGGAAGTGTGAATCCTGGGAGTGCACGCCCAGGATTTCAGAGAACACTCAGTCCAGCCGCGGACTTTCCCTTACGATGAGTGCCTAAAGTCTGGTGGAAAGTGTCTCTAGCGAATGTATCCCAGAGTACACCTCATCTTTCTGTGGCTCAGAGTGCCCCAAAGGATCAAATTACCCTGAGAATCAACCCACTACCACCATGATCATGCGCAGGAGGCCGCTAAACCCGCTAAAGGTGTGGCTTTGTGGAGATACACGCGAGCCTGCAATGCAGCAGACTTGTTACCCAGAGTGCCGCACGGAAACCCAGAGTGCCGCACGATGACCCAGAGTTCACCTCCCTGAGTGCAGGTGACCCAGAGTTCCAAAGATGATTCTCTGGGTTTGGACCATAAATCCAGACTCTCTATACTGAACTTAAGTGTCTCCCAAGCCAACACCCAAGAATCCCCACAGTTCCCCCAGATTCCTCAGAATCCCCAGGATTTCAGAAGATGACCCTGAGTGCCACCTGACTTTCAGGGATGCGAGTCAGTTCGAAGTCAGTCTGCAATCAAAGTGATGCGTGACCTTGAAGAACCGTTGTGGATGCACAGACTGGATACTTTCAAGGAGTCGAGAGGGAGTCCTGCACCATACTAAACCAAGTCTAAGGACCCACAATTGGCACTTTCGACGCCGTGCGACAATAGATTCGCAAGCCGATCGCAAGTTTGGACCGCTGAACCCAAGGTATACTCAAGACAAGACATTTGACCCCAAGCATAGTGAGCAGAAGATGTTTGCCCGAAGAAGAGAGAGAGAGAGAAGTAGCTGATAAAAACCAAACAGAGTTCCTTTTTCCCTGTCGTACGCAAGTTACCTTGGAGCTGCCTACCAGAAGAGAGATGCCTGGGGGGCCACGGGACTAACGCGGACATCCACGATGCGGGTTACCATGGGGCGGCTCACCAGAAGAAAGATGCCTGGCGGGACCATGGGACTGATGCTGAAATCCTGAATGTGCGTTACCATGGAATTGCTCACAGGAAGATGTTGCCCTGGGGACCATGGGACGAACGCTGGGAGTCGTGGACGGAAGATGGGTACAAGCTCTCACCACCCTGAAGTTGTTGAAGAATTTGAAGACTGTTGAAGAAAATCCTGGGAAGTGACCTGTTGAGGTCGGCCTGTTGAGGTCTAATAATTGGTATTCTGGCCTGTTGAGGCCTAGTCTGTTGAGATTAATAAAGAGTTCCTTTTACCCTGTACTGCGCAAGTGACTTCGGCCAAGCCTGCCGACGGAAATCCGGAGGACCCGAGACTATGACCGCGGGGCGCTAAGGGCACATCAACGGCGAAGGACAGCCATCTGTGTGGACTCCATCAACTCAAGTTCAGTTAGGTGGTGACCAGCGACGGCCTTGAGCTTCCTGGGGTGATCCATCTATTCCATATCCTAGTTGGGTCACTTGCTATGCTCGTGGTAGCCCATTTCATATTATTCCAGATGGTATTCTGGGGTGCTAGGTAGTCGCCTCCAGGATTTTGTATTGACTGCTTGTGTGAAGGGAAGGTAACTGATAGGGATTGTATTTTCCTCCTTTATTGGAGGTGGTGCGCGTTTGTGTGAGTCTCAGGGGAGCTAGGCCCATGAATTTCAGACTCGAGTGAGCCTAGTGTGTGTGTGACCCACCGTCCAAGGGTCCAAAAGAATAAGTGACGGCTAGTTGTAGTGTTTGTATACTCTGTATTTGTTGGTTTTATCGAGCTAGGAGGGCATTTGGGTAAGGTGTCTTCTGAGTTCCAAGTCCCGGAGTTGACTGAAATCCTGGACCCTGAATTCGTGATATTCTGGGTTTCGGGGGATCTGATTCTCTGAGTTTGCCTTTTGGTGTGGAGGTGCGTTCTGAAGTAGACGTGCGCTCCCGCACTTCTTCGAGGCTACATTTTCAACCGGTGGAGTGCCGTTCCGTCGAAGACAAACGAGCCGACAGGGATTACACAAGGTACCCACGCCAACCAAGGAGTGGGATTCTCAGGGTTTAAAGCTTTGCGGCTACGAATCTATGGGTCTATCTTCTTGCTGTTGACTCTCAAGTCGATTATCTGGGTCTACACCCTGGGGAACAGTCTTGGGCTGCGCTATACGACCCCCCCCCCCCTGGGCGATAAAGGCTTCATCGGCCTCGCCGCAGACTACGCCATAGAACACAAGTAATTTGCATACCCACCCGGTCGCATGAACGTTTGCGTACTGGCCGGAGGGTGTGAAAGTCAAGGAACCCATTGAAATCTCTCCAACGTCTAGGCATACATCGGAATTGAGCCATCGTGACACCCACTAAAACACCAAAGATACGTGCACGTACCTCCCCTACAGACATCGGCTTGCCATAAATTTTCTTGTTGATTGACGCTGTTCAGTTGACATCCGGCGTGAAAGCCTGTTGTATGCAAGCAGGACGGTTAGATATCAAAATGCCACCACAAGTAGGACGTACATGCGCAGTGGGACAGCCTCGTAGATGTAGTTAGGGCCCGAGAGAAGAAAGTCGGAGGAGCGGTCTAAGTCGGTATCTTGATCGCTGAGCTGCCTTGGTTCTCGGAGCGCCCTCGCGCTGTAAGCTCCTGTTGGTTCGTGCGCTCGTCGTCATCGCTGCTGCTGCCGCCCACAGTGCTGCTGCTGTCAGCCGCCTTGTCGTCGGTGTACATACTTGCCTCGGCCATGATCTTCTTGGAGAAGACCCCCCCCCCTCGCACACACTATGTGTACTGTACCACTGAGGAGCGACCGCGACTTTTGACAGGTTGATTTTGACTGTCGCTCAATTCTATGGAATGCCTTTATTTTATTTTATATTAGACCCTTACACTAAAACACATACTCACTGCATCCGCCTGCAAAGGCTGCTGTTGCAGTGAGAGCTTGTTTTGGCAGCACCACTGGGTATTATAGCCCTCATCGTTGACGCCAGCGCCTTAGCCACCGCCATTTTGGTCCTCGGCGATCCGCCTGCTTTTAGGCGCGCTCCGCACTCTGATTCGAGATTACACGATGGACTGCTTGATCGTCCGGCCTCGTCCTGCAGCGTCTTGTGATGGTTGATGCCATCGTTTCGCTTGAACACGCGCTTCTGTTCCTTTATTTAGGGTGCCTCAGGCAAACGTTTGTCCGTGTGTGCTGACGTATGACCGCAGCCCAACCGAGCGGCTCTGAGAGCCGCCCCAGTTGTATCGATAGTCCTTGGGTGACAGCGCGTAGTATTTGCCTGGGTGCTGATGGGCTCGTAGTCGAAGTCTGCCTGCTGCGGCATCGGGCCTGGTGCTGGACCTGCATGCTGTTCGGGTTCACGTGCTATACAAATTTCTATATGAATCTTATCCCTGCAAAATCGGGATAAGAACGGTCGCCGGTGGGTTAATTCTCATGATCTATTTAGCTATGTGGCTAAGTACATCTGAAACAGAATCATCGTTATCAAGTGTGTACATTCTTCTGTGCTGCCATTAAAGGTCTGTCGGCAAGATCGGTAGTATCAGAATTTTTAGTTATGGAAATTTGCCAACCAAATGAATATTCTTCCTCTGAAAGACCTAAGAAATCCAGTAAAACCTGTTGGCAGTTTTGAGGGTTGACAGGTTTTACAATTAAACCTAAAGTAAAACCTAATAGCTAAACCTGTTGTGCCAGCCCTGACGTACAACGATGCAGCGTGTACGACTGCCGAAGACGTTGAGTTGAGTGCCACTGCAGACCAGGCAGACACAAATTGGTGCGCCAACAACACAGGGGGTATCCTTGATTAGGGATGGGCAAATACAATCGTGGCATTGATGGCATTAGTGCAACTATGACATTGATGCCATTGATGCACCGTAAATGCTAAAATGGACAGCAAAACGAGAGGGTTAACTTAACCGAGATGAATGTAAAAATAAACGAAAGCTGACATGGAATTTTACAATGAGCAGCACAGCCTTCCACGGCTGGATACACGCTTCTCGTGCAACTCAGGCACACCGCGCGCGATGTAGTTCATTGGCGCGCCGCGTCGAAGGCGCGATTCCATAGCTGACATCGTGTCGACTGGGCGGTTCGACACGTTCCAGCAAAGACGTGGTTTCTGCTGGAGAAGCGTGGCCGAAGGCGTCCCCGCGAGCGCTCCAGCTCCTCTTTTCCCAATCGGCTTCCCAGCTACCAGTGCCCCACCATCACTTACCCTTCGGCCTCGCACCGAGTCACCGGCACCACCCAGCTCCAGCTTCTCGCTGCTCTTCGCCAGCTCCATCGCTCCGCTTCACCACTTCGTCGCTGCACCAGTCTTACCGCCCCATCAGCACCATGCCACGCAGACACCCCGCCTGGGACGAGTTCACCGTCGTGGTGGGGGGCACGTATCCGGATGCGACCTGCCGGTACTGCTCCGTCACGCTTCACAAGTGCCAGCCAAGCCGCAACATGCTCCGATACCTGTCATCGTGCGCGCAGCTGTCGGACGCTGAGCGAACGAAGTGAAGTCTCTACGGAGAACCCGCTATGAAGCCCAAGGGCAAGCGTCAAAAGCGGAAGAAGCCGGCCAACCCTTGGTCTCCCGCTGCGACACAAGCATCGGTCGTGACTGAGATATCGCTGTCTCAGTCGCAGGCGACCACGCCATTTCCCAGCGGCGTCAGCAACGCCGACAAGGACCGCTTCCAAAGATTGCTAGGGGCTTCTACGCTGCTGGCTTGCCGTTTCTCACCATCGATGTGCCTCGTATGCGCCGGACGCTCACGGTCCTGCAGCCGGACATGGAGAAGTACTTGCCGAATGGGTAAGCAGTTGCAGGGCGCCTCCTCACGCAAGAGTATGATCGCGAGAAAGCAGCCGCCTGCATGACAACCCAACGTTCGGCTTGATTTCGGACGGATGGACGAGCGTTTATAAAGAGAAGGTGATCAACTATGTCGTAGTGTCGCCGTTGATGCGGCCCCTTCTTTGGTGTACGACGATTTGTGGTGAAGATGAGCAAACGGCTGAGTACGTGGCGAGCGAGATCAGTGAGGTGATCGACGAGATCAACAAAGCCGCCGGTGAAGACGTTGTGGTGTCTGTGACGACCGACAACGCACCCATGATGCAGAAGGCGTGGGAAATCCTGGAGGCAACTCGTCCAATTTTCTGCAACGGCTGCAGTAGCCATGCACTTAACCTCATACTGGAGGAGGTGCTGTCGATCCTATTGATGGCATCCGCGTTGTCTCGGTCCGTCACCTTGGCGAAGTTCATCATGAACCGCCTGCAGCTTCTCGCACGATTCCGAAGGCTACAAAAAGAAGGTGATGAAGAACATCGACGAGCGCTGCGTATGCCTGTGCCTACGAGGTGGTACTCAAGCTTCGAGTTCATTAAGAGTGTGCTGGACAACTGACGGGCAATTGGCAAATTATTTCGTCAGTCGAAGTTTATCAAGCGGGGGGTTGGACGCCGGCGCGCTGTTCTCGCCGAAGTTCAAGCCATCGTGGCTGACAAGGGCTTCTGGAAGCGGATCAAGCTGGTTCAAACCCTCCTTGAGCCGATTGTTGAGGCCGTCGCTATGCTCGAGCACGACATATGCTGCATATCGATGGTGTATTAGCAGTTCAGCCAGCAGCAACGAAGCTCCGTGCACAGAGTGCATCTACGGCGTCTCCATGGCCGTCCAGACTAAGGTTTTTGACATCCATCCAGGACAATAGAGTTTTGTGCACACAGACACGATGGCATCTCGTTTTTGCTGGATCAAACGAAATCCACTTTGGACTTCGTCGGCAACGATTTGACCAAGATTGTGAAGTCCATCAAGCAACTGGCCGAAAGGATTGGGCTCGTGGAGACGGCAGCTGAAAGCAGCAAATTGCTACTGAGGTTGATGAGTTCTATCTGAAGAAGAGTCGCTGGTCCGCCGAGACGAGGGAGGAGGAAGGACAGATCTCTCCGAAAGCGTGGTGGGAGAACAAGGTTGGCAGGGCGCCCCGTTAGCTGCACGGATTTTCGCAGTTCCAACGTCATCGGCTGCTAGCGAGCGTTCGTGGAGTATCCACGACTTCATACACACCAAGCGGCGGAACCGCTTAAATGCGAGGCGTGTGGAAACGCTCGTGTTCATCTACTGCAATGCTGGCAGCAAGGATGCCAAGGCCAACATATTCTACAAGCTAAGAAACGAGAGCGAGGATGAGGACGAGGACGATGGCGAGGCGGACGTCGACGGAGTGGATCAGGACAGCGAGGGCGCCAGCGCCAGTAGCGCTAGCAGTGTCGGCAGCAACAGAGCGATCGAAGATTTCTTGCTATCATACGATGGTAGCGAGGAACAGAAGCAGGAGGGTTAACTTTATCAATACTCTATTTTTGGAGTGACTCGTTTTGGTAATAATGCACTGCATTGATGGCATTGATGAACTCTGTGCACTGCATGTATGCCATAATGCATGCATTTGCCCATCCCTAACCTTGTTAAGTTTACGGCGGCGGCTTCACTCCTCTGTACCTGCAGTCGACCGCCACCTTCGAGAAGGACGACGATGCCACGTAATAGCTGAAAGCGCGAATTGAGTCTTCGGCAACTTGGATCGTTGAAGGCGAATTGAAGACCGATGTATTTGATTAAGGGAAGGAATGCAGTGCGCTGCTGGTGGACCTACGAACGCAGGGGAAAGTAAGGAGGAGTTACTGCGTAGAAACGACAGCGAAGTCTGGCGTCCGAGGAATGGTGAACCTGCCGATACCGTCGTGCTCGTCCGTTGGGAACGGATGATAGATCCGTTACAGACCCTCCGTCAGACGAGCTGTTGTCCTCGGGGACGGCAAGCTCGAACGATATTCGCGAATAAGACCACCAACTTGATTAAGATTGGAGAGCGGTTCCCAAGAGCGATACTGCTGGACACGCTGGCGGCGGCGATACCCAGTAATGAATCGTACGAGCAAGCCTTCGCCTCCGTCGGCAACTATGACGCGAGGAACTCGGTTTACACGGTGTGAGTCGTCCCCTTGACGTAGGGCGTCAAAAGGAAACGTGGATTTCAGGGAAAAGTCGCAAACCCGGTGGGAGCGTGAGGCGGTATCGTGAGGGGCCTGCCACGGACTCCACTGTGTAAGGTCCGAGGAATCGGGATGCCAGCTTTTGTCGGCCTGTAGTGCCGACGTGCGACAGATCGAGGTTCTGGCTGTCAAGTAGGACCTTGCACCAACCGCGAAGCTCCGATACAGTCGATTGCGATCAAAGGCGGTACTCATACGCTGCTGAGCTCTTGCCATTGCGTCCTGGGGCTCGAGTAGTAGCGAGTGCTGGTGGTCGACGATTGTGACCCAGCAGAAAGCACATTCTGCTGGAGACCAGTGAGGTCGATCACGGATCGGGGCTGATACTCTAGGTCAGCTTCGAACGGGACATGCTGATCGACGCATGTGGGTGCGAGTTGTAAGCAATTTCGCGAAGTGCATGTGGTGACCCTGTCCGTCTGGTGAGGCCCGATGCAATGTCGCGATAGGGGCGGTAATCGAGAATAATGCCTTCTTGTCAATACTGATTGCCAACGTAAAAATTCCAAAACAAACTTGTTCGTCACCTCCGACTGACCGTCCGTGGCTGGCTGGCTGGAAGGATGGGCTGAGTCGAAACTGGGTATCCTGGCGCTGAATGATGCCGGACCACAGCGTTGAAGCATCACGATCGCTGGCAATCGTGCGCGGGAGACCATGTAGCTTTTGGTAGGACGAGCAAAACGGTTGAGCGATCTCTTTGGCCTTTGTGTCCGTGCAGGTTGGAAGAAAATGCGCGCGCTTCGTCAGTCTGTCCACGATGACGAGGATCGAGTCGAAGTGAGTGTGCTGAGTCTCTGGTAGCTGAATGAAAATTTCATTCTGATGTCGCACCACCCTTTATCTGGAATATCCAAAGTGTGCAAATGCCCAGGTCGCTTACCGCGAGGTAGCTTGTTCCGCTGACACCGCTCGCAGGATGCGATGTAGGTTTGAATGTCGACAAACGTGCGCGGCCTGAAGAATTTCGCCGTCATCAGTAGTCGAATCTTGTGCCGTCCTGGGTACCCGCGGGTCACCTCATCGTGCTCTTCGAAGAGGAGCTGATTTCGAAGTTCCTTATCTACCAGAATACACAGACGCCGCGGAGCCGTCGCACAAAAGGCCGTCTTCTAGGGAGAATTTTGAGAGCTAACGCGAATCTTGTGGGGTGCCTTCGCTCAATAGACGAAGGATCGGAGCGAAGTACGAATCCTCCGGATTACTACATCGACATCGAGTTGGTAAACTCGATCGCGTGAGGCGCTGATACAATAGCGCGTTGGGTTTACCATCTGGTTCCGACATGGTTAAGGCCTCGAGTATTGTTTGGAGGCTGAATGCACGCGCCGTTTCGTCCGACCAGAGTGCGTTCCTTGAAATAGTGTCTGCGTTGGTGGAGCCAGCGACCCAGCGGAATCGCGGCTGGAATAATGAGAGATCCTGTAAGCAGCGAGCGAGCCTCTGTGAACACGTTTGGTGCGTGAGCAGGCTTTCGATCGTCTTGTGGTTCGTATGAATGAAAAATGGGTTGTCGAGCGGGTACACCTTCCATAAGCGCATGGCGTGCAATGCCGCCAGCAGCTCCTTCTCGCGAGTCGGGTAGATAACTTTGGCCATGGACAATATGCGACCACCGCACGCGATAATTTTCTCGGATCCATCTTCTGCTAGATGGAACAGGTAGCCACCAATGGCAACATCGCTGGCATCCATATTAACATGAATTGGCGGGGAAAAGTCAGGATTTGATAGAATAGTTGGCAAGGGAATCCTGGGCTTCAGCTCGTTGAACGCCCTATCGTGTTCTTCCTCAAATGTCACGGGATCTCGGCGACTCTTTCCTTTAGTAAGCTCGATGAGGAGCATACTCCGCTCTACGAACTTGGGGCAGAAGTGGAGCACGTACACGTACGTCCCTAGGCAATACTGAAGCTCTTGCTTTGTCTGAGGTCTGGGCCAGTTGAGAATCAGCTCTGTCTTGGCGGGATCCATTCGAACGCCGTCACGGCCAATGCGATCGCCGAGACAGAGAATTTCATCAGCGCAAAAATGCAGACTTGGACAGCTCGATGAAGAGCTGCTGCTCCTTGCACAGCTCGAACAGCTGATCTAAGACTGCAAGATGATCGTCGATAGAATCGCTGGGCGTAAAGACGGAAATGTCGTCAAAATACGCTCGCCAGAAGCCCGGCTGGTCGGCGAAAATGTGCTGCACCAAACGGTTGAATACGGTGGACTGCTAGATACGCCCATCGGTGTAACTAGGGACTCGTACAGTCCGTCGGGCGTAGGAAAGGCTGTAAACCGAATTGAGTCCTCGCGCAGCCGGGTCGATAGAATCCCCCGAGTAGGTCCATAGCGGACAACACGCGACCCTGAGCCATGGCCCAATAAATATTGTCCTTGCGCGGGATATGATTGGCGGGGACGCGCATCTTTGCATTGATTCCTCTGAATTCGTGCACTATTTGCCACTCGCCGATGTCTTTCTGGGCGCAAATGCTCCTCGATGTTGTTCTTTCCAGCAGCTCCTTCACGAATTTGGCTAGTTCTCGCTCTTCAATGCGAGCATGACGGAAGGGAGCTCGGGCCGAAGGTGCTGCGTCAGGCTTCAAGACGATGTCGTGCTGGATTTCTCGTTCAGGCGGGAGCTCGTTAGGAAGCGAAGTTGGGAACACGTCGTCGAACTCGTTCAAGAGCACGACGACGTCCCGTGGCGTTGGTTTTGGTAATACGCCTGATTCCAGCACTAGCCGAAAGATCTCCATATACTCGTGGTTAGCGAGACGTTCTCGGAACGACTGCAGCGGGACCTCCACTGGTGCGAGTAGCTTCTAGCTGCGACAGATCACAGGATGTATGTGCTCGTCCGAGCCGATCGGTCAATCCTTGTCCTCGTCCTCATCAGGAGGTGGCGGTGGTTCTTGGCGGTCCGCATGCCACGTCAATGTTCGCGTGGGTCAGTCAATGTTCGGATTGTTGGCTTCGAGCCAGGGGCGGCCAAGGATCCCGTCATAATTAAACTGTAGCCTCCAAAACACGAAAGGCACAGTCACGACCGAACTGCTGCATGTCACCTCCAGGTCGGTGATAGCTACATTCTGCTGATGTGCACGGCCATCGAATCCGCGCGCCACGAGGTTCGTAGTCTGCATTTCGGCAGTGTCAAAACCGCGCCCCAACAACACGCAATGTGACACACCCGAGTCCACCAGCATGGAGCATTCTTGGCCCATAATCGTCACCTTCACCAGGAAAGGAGTCGCCGACGTCACCGCTCTGGGTGTGACCGACATTTCGGTCATCGACATTTCCACCATCTCGATGATGGTAGTGTCCATGTGGACAGTAGGAGATTCAGGACTCACCACACGCTCGACGGATACTCCATTTACATCCGCCGAGCTGAGTCGTTTCCCTGATGCTGTTGTCCACGAGCGGGTTTGCGATGAGGACACTGGCCGATGCGATGGCCACTGCCTTTGCAGTAGAAGCACAGATTTTGACGCCTGTACTGCTCCTTGCTTATCGAGCGAGTGTAAACCGCGGAGACATCCATCGGAGTTGGCCCATCCGTAGCTGCACGATGCGCATTCCCGTGGTTCCTTGAGTTGCTGGAGGCTCGATTGCGCTCCGACGAGTGGAAATGAGTGCGCTCAAATGCTTGAGCAGCCGATATGGCTTTAGCCAGCGTACGGTAGCGCAGATACATCACCTCTTTGCGGATCTCCGACTTCAGGCCGTCGCAAAATCGGTCGACCTGGTCCATAGCACTCATGTTCCGTATTTGAGCCATGAGTCGACGAAAATCACGCACATATTCTTCGACAGAACTGCGCTGGCGGCAAGCCTTCAGCTCTGCACGCAGACGAAACTCCTGGTCAGGAGGCACGAACTCACGGCGCAGAGCGTTGGCGAAGGAGTCCACGTCGTTGAAGCGGATGTGGTCGATCGCGACTTGGGCATGGTACCAGGATGCAGCTCCCTCCCTCAGGTTGGCAGCGAGGATGGCGATCACGCGCTGCTGGCTGGAGGCAGCCGTGTAGTCAATGCACTTGCCCTCCATGAATAGCTTCGCTCGGAAAATGAACTCGTCCACCGACTCGGTCGGTTTCCCGTAGAAGGTCGGCATGGTAACGCCTTCCAGTCGGTACTCTCGAGGTGGTTGAGGAACAGCCACGTGTTGCTGCAGCTGCTGCTGGTAGGCGTGCAGCTGAGCCTGGAAATCTTGGTACATCTGAGCGTTCTGCTGGCTCAGCCCCACAGCAAACGATCGATCGCTTGGACGAAATGGTCGAACGGGTTCGGGGCAGTGCCTCCGGCGGTTGGTTGGTCAGCGCGCTCCTCCATCGTAGAGGCGACGGCAGCAGTAGACAGCGATCACTTGGAGCTTGCCAATGAAGAGCGCGGTCGGAAAGCAGCGAGTGGTTCCCGAAGCTTGTGCGTAGAGAATCGACCCGGAGAAGAAGCAGATGTGTCGTACCCTCACCCACAACGAAGAAGTGCTACCAATTGGAGTGAACCACTTGTACTTGACTGAGCAAAAGACAGAATGCCATTGAATTGAGGTTAGCGAGTAGCAACAAGTACCGGTAGCTAGCTCTGAGGGGCGTCTCCAGGGGGAGACGCTGCTAATGCAACACGAAAGCCAGGTTGAAGCCTGGTACAAGCAGAGATGCACCGAGCACGAAGTAGTGACTTGGAGCGGAGTTGAACGGAGACTGGTCCACGTCTCTGGAACAGAGTGACACATTTGGAGGCGAGCTTCGATTGGCACTGCATCGACACGGGAACTGCGGACGAGATCGATGTCGAGACGGGCGCTTTAGACCATTACAGAGAGCACCTGTCGCTGAGCGTAATGGAGTAGTACCCCATATTCATGTCGAGAGACGTCACGAACACGAACCGCTCGAGTCCTTGGAGAAGTTCGGTGATCTTGGGGATCGGGAACGAATGGCGAATGATCATGGAGCTCAGCCGGCGGAAGTCAGTTAGAAAACGCGCGGTCTTGTCCTTCTTGGGGATAATGAATGCGGGCGCAGCCCACGGACTACTGGAGTCCCGAACGATGACACCGAGCGCTTCCAAGCGTGCGACCTCCTTCCTCACTGCTTCGAGATACGCGTGGGGAATGCCGAAGGGAGGGTTGATATCCAGGCTTCAGCTCGAAGTTGTAGCGCTCCCCAGGCATCGTGCCTTCGTTCAGATCGTCGAACAGCTGCAGTAGTTCTCGGAGGACTTGCTGCTGCTTCTCGTCGAGATGACTGGGAATGCACAGGTCCAGGTCGACCTTGGCATACTTCGCGTCCAGGATGCGCACCATTCTCGTCTCGGCGGCGTGCACACTGGAATCCCGTAGCTGTACTTCTCCGCGGTCAAGTTAACACGCGTCCGCATCGGAACATCGAGGCCGTCCCACGCGATGGTACGCTGTTCAAAGTCGAACTTCAGCTTGAGAGCGAAAATAAGGTCACGGCCAATGATGCAATCGTAGCCGCGTGACTCGGCTCCTTTGGCTGTGACGAAGAACGCGTGATTGACGACTCAGTTTGAAATCAGGGAACTTGAATCGCATTGGAGCAGTTCCAACAGTCTCGAAGCGGCCCCCTTAGTCAGCCACTTTGTCGTGTAGCGCGTAAGCGTGCGCAGATCAGGCAGAAGCTCATACGAGCAGAGAGAGCGCGATGACCCGAAGCTAGCCAAGGCTCTCACCAATCGAGTCTTGCCGCTTGGAAGCGGGATGGACACTAGCAGTTCCGTGGTGACTTGGTCGTCTGAGCTGGCAGTGCCTTGGGCGTAGGAGCCGGCGTGGCTGGTTGGTCCTCCATCGGATGATGCTTGTGCGACATGTTGCCGGCGGACTCCTCGATGTTGTAGCACGTCTCCGTCACTTCCACGTCCATGAAGTGCGCCTTCTCCTTAATCTTGTTCTTGGCGCGGCAATCCCTGGTGTCGTGGCTGCGAGACTTGTGAAACTCGCACCACTTACGCGGAGCGTCGCCTTGCTTCTTGCTACGCTTTTGCTCTGCACTGTTACCGCCATTCTTTGGCTGCTGCGTGTTGTTCTTGTTGAACTTGCCTTGGCGATGTGGTCGCTGCTGGCCTTCGGCCTCTTCTAACTGGCGGAAGTACGACCAACTCCTCCAGCGTCTCATAGTCTTGACCTCTCTCTTCGTACTTCTTCTGCCACACCGCCGGCATGTTCGACCCGACAATCTCGCGCAATTCGTGATTGGTCAGGCGGTTGTTCGGTGGTGGCAGGAACTGCATCAACTCGTTGATCTGGTGCAAGCGCGCGACGTACTCCTCCACCGACATGTTGGACGGCTTGCGGGTCTTCCAGAGATACTGACGCACCTTGCTAGCAGGTCGCTTGGGGAAATACGTTGCGGTCATGCGTCGGAGCGCTTCATCTAAGTGCTCGACGTCCTCCATGTCCATGATCGTCGAGTTCATTGACTCGAAGCGGACCAGGGCAGAGCCTCCTAGGAGGATGCGAATGTTCTGGTACAGCTCGGTTGCTTCTTGCCAGCCTTTCAGCAGGCGAATGTACTCGAACTGCTTTCGCCAAGTAAGCCACCCCTCGCCGTTGCCATAGTCGAAGTGCCGGATGCTCAGGGTCACGAAGTCACTGGGGTCTTGCGTGTTGGTTCGAACGCGGTAGGTGACGAAGTGTTCGTTCTGGTTGTCGTCGATGGGCTTGACGGTGGTTTTGAGCGGCAACAACGACATGGTGTTGCTGGAGCGGACGGGTTGAGCTCAATATGCTGTATACTTCACTTGGAACGTTGGAGACTGATTGATTTAGAGTAGTTAGAGTTCCTACGACGGCAAGAGTAGCTCATCATAAGCTAGCATCTCAAATATCAAATCAGTTGACTGTGTAGAGTACACTGTCGACTCTGCTTATGTAACAGGGTTACACGCACAAGTGGCACCAGTCACTTGTAACTCTAACAGACACGACGTCTGTTAGAGGTTCGAAAGACTTTCTCGACCTTGGTGTAGACACACCAAAGGCTACATACATTTACAACCACCACGACGGGTGGTCCATAGACTTAGGATTCCTATTGGCTGGAGAGCAGTATCTCTTAGCCAATGAGCGACATGCATAGCATTGGAATTCTGCCAACCAGCCGTTGGCAGATTCCTATCTTAGAATATTACATTTAGAGGAAGTCAGAAACATAAAACAAAAATAGCAGTTCTCATTTTAACCCAAAAACATTATTTGGATCGTTTATTTAGATTAATCTATACTCGGAGGCCCGAGTATAATTAACTCTAATTTAAACTAGACTACGCTTCCTCACATACACGCGCACACGTGTAAGCTAAAGTAGTGGGCCAAAGTAGGCCCATTACACCTGGTAGCACTTTGTAGTCCGTCCAACGACCGACTACCTGAGTTCGTACGTCACCGCACGAACGCGGAGCTGAGAACCTTCCCATGGATACGGAGGTGTCCATGGAAAGCTCCATTACGCCTGCAACTCACGTTGCACGCGCTGACTGTCCCCACCTGTCGGACCCAGAGTGGGAAGCTCTCCAACGACTGTCAACAGTCATTGGTGAGGCGGCTGTAGCTACAATGCTGCGTACGCTAACGCCGACAGAGCAACATGGTGTTGCTCTGGGATTCATAATGAGGGAGCAGCGAGATGCTGCTTCGTCTACCACGGTGTCGTCGGGGACGACACCGCGCGCGCAATCGCTGAAGCTCAGTGTGAGCAATTACGTTGAAAGAGAGGGCGAGCCTCTCCTCCGTTGGCTTGTCGAACTCGACACTGCCATTGCGGCTCGACGCATCGTCGACCCGTTGTCGAAGGTCGCGTTCGCCATGTCATGTCTTGGCGGACGTGCAAGAAGTTGGGCGTATGGACGCCGACTCTCGGATCCTACGTGCTTTAGCACGTACGAGGGTTTCAAGGAAGAGCTCAGACAAGCGTTTGAGCCCCGGCAAAACGAGTTGCGGTCGAGGGCGGAGTTCTTCGACCTGCAGCAGGGCAATCATGATGTCCATGCTTACGCTCAGAGAGCACGGTACTTGGTCTCGAACATCGTGACCAATCCGATCGACGAGGCGACCAAGGTCGTCACGTTCATGAAGGGACCGAGAGATGGGCCTGTGAAGACCTATCTCTTCCGTGAGTACCCGAGTACACTCGAAGCTGCAATTACTCTTGCAATGCAGGAGGAGTTTAACCTGCGGCAGGCTAAGCTGCATGCACATGTGCCGAGGCCACCACCACGCCCGGTAGTGAGGACGGGAGGTCCACAACCCATGGACCTCTCGAGTGCTGCAACTGCTGGACCCCAGCAGTCGCAAGGAAACAATGTGCGATGCTACCGATGCGGTAGAATCGGTCACTTTGCTCGGGAGTGCACGGACCCCGTGCACCAGCAGGGTGGCTATCGCGGCGGTGCCGGGCACCGTCGCAACCAAACAAAAAACGCTGGACGCCAGTAGGCCCTACTGGTAATGCAGTTCCGCGTGTCGACCTTGGACACGCGACACTGAGAACTGCAGCCCCCAGTGAGGTTCATCATCACTGAAAAGACCAAGATGACAAGCCTGACTTTGTCATCCTGAATGTGAACTCGATGAGAGCAAGCGGCTCTCTCCGTGCTTTGGTAGATTCTGGCGCGTCGAAGAACTTTGTTCGACTGCGAAGTCTATCAAGGCTTGACTTCGAGGATTTAAAGATACCTCGAAGTATGTTGGAAGTACGACTGGCAACGGGTGCCGCCGTGAAGACCGAGAAGCGCATGGTACGCGTGCGCTTCACGTATGAAGATCAAGAGTTTGTCGAGACCTTTATCGTCCTGGATCTGGACGATAAGTTTGACATTGTATTGGGCATGCCGTGGCTTGCACGGCATGATCCGGTCATCGATTGGGAGAAGCGCACTCTCGTGCGCTTCGGTCGCGACAGCGGAACAGTGAGTGATGGCCCTGTTGCCGCTACGCAGGTGCGCGCGACTCCCCACTCGAGGCAGCGTCTAATGCCGCTGTCCCGGAGCGCCCTGGGCGCGCGCGAGCACGCGCGCAAGAGCAGCAAGCGTCGGCGTCGCCGCCGACGGCTGAAGGAGAAAATGTGTTGATCTCGGAGATCGACACCCGCTTTTCAGTGAATCAGGAAGAGTCTCCGACCTCAAGGGGCACGGATGACGCAGACGATTCACACGCCTCAGCCGTGGAGGCTGACGCGAATCTCATTGGATCAGGTCTGGCCAATAATAAGAGCCAAGGTGACGTAACGCCGTCGACTCCGGGAGTCGATGGCTTGGGTGAATTTGATTCGTCGGCTCGGGGAGCCGACGCACCCTCCATAATGGGGGTCTCTGCCAATGGTTGGCGTCGAGGTGAAGATGGCGTGTCGGCTCTGGGAGCCGACGCTGCAGGCGGTGCGGACGCTTGCAAACGTCCCGCACCGGAAAAACTTGCATGCTGTCGTGCAGCCGGGCTGCACGAAGCGCCGGGCGACCAAGCCGGGCTTGAAGTCGCTCGCCCGCGGGATGTACCCGCCGGCGGTATACAAGAAGAACACCCGTCCACGGCTGGGCCTGGACGAGATCAAGAACCAAGCGGAGCCGGGCTCCGCAAAACAAGGAGACGGCGCATGCGAAGATCGCTGCGCAAGTCTCGGCCTGGGGACGAGACACTACAAGAAATGTCTGCCGGGCAGACGGAGGCTGAAAAGCCGGACGTCGAGACGTTGAACGTCTTGACACGTACCTGTGCCGGGTTCCGGTACAGGGAGATGACCCTCGCTAACCCTCCGACGCAAGCGTCGGAGTTGACTTCGCTTCCAGTCATGAGCTGGAAGCGCTTCGCGCGTGACTTGCACGATGGACGCATCGAGCAAATATGCATTCTCTCGGACGCCGAGAGAACGAAGAGCGAGAATGAAACACTGAGGCAGTTCTTCATGGAGACCACCACTGAGAGCGAGGACACTCTCAGTGCGAAGACGAAGAAGGAGCGCTTTGAAGAGCAGAGCTGGGACTCGCTGAAGTCGAGTCCCTTCTACGAGATTCTACGGGAGCACGCGGACGTGCTTCCGGAAGAGATCCCTGCGGAGCTTCCGCAGGACAAGGGCATCCAGCACGAGATTGATCTCGTGCCGGGCACGAAGTACTGTGTCACGCGGCAGTGGCCACTGCCGCGGGAGCAGGTCAAAATGATCGACGCCTTCTTCGAAAGTCGTCGCAAAGCTGGACAAGTGCGGGAATCGAGGTCCCCGCACAGTGCTCCGACGTTCTGTGTCAAGAAGCCACAGGGCGGTTGGCGCATCGTTCATGCGTACAACAAGCTGAACGATGCAACGATACCGGCGCAGACGCCGATACCTCGAAAAGATGTCATCATCGATTCGATGGCCAGCAGCACTATCTAGTGCTCTTGATCTGCGCGATGGGTTCTATCAGATCCTCATGCGTGAGAGCGATATCCCTCTCACGGCTGTGAGCACGCCGAGCGGCATGCTCTGGGAGTGGCTAGTGATGCCGCAGGGTCTGAAGAACGCCCCTGCGACCTTCAACAGGTGCGTGACGCACTTGTTGCGCTCGGTGCGCGACTTCGCACCGAGCTACTTCGACGATGTGTTCGTCCACAGCCGGGCTGCGGACGGGATGAGCGATGTTGAGATGCACCAGGTGCATCTCCGGAAGCTGCTTGCGCTCATGCGCAAGCACAAGCTCTATGCGAACCTGAAGAAGTGCATCTTCGGGGCGAGCGAGATACCTGTCTCGTTGGGAAGAACGGTGTCCGCCCTGACCCTGAGATGGTCAGAGTGATCAATGAGTGGCCGACGCCGTCGAACGTCAAGGAACTGTGGCAGTTCCTTGGCTTGGCCACGTACTTGTGTAAGTACGTGAAGGACTACGCGGGCATGATACGCCCGCTGTCCCAGCTCCTGAAGAAGGACGCCGAGTGGGTTTGGGCTGCTGAGTGTCATCAGGCCTTCGATGCAGTCAAGCGGGGCTTGACTGAGGCGCCGATCTTGGCGGTGGCCGACCAAGATCGCCCATTCCACGTTGTGTGTGACGCATCCGACTTCGCAATCGGATGTGCGTTAATGCAGCACGATCACGAGGGCCGTGATCGTGTCGTCTACTACCAATCGCAAGCCAGCTGAGCGCAACTACCCGGTACATGACAAGGAGCTCCTTGCCATGAAGTACGCACTAGCGAAGTTCCGAGTGTATCTACTCGGAAGCAAACCGTTCGTGGTCTATACGCACCACGCGTCGCTGCGGACGGCTGTGAAGTCGCCGCACATCTCGCAACGGATGGCGAGATGGCTCTCATTCTTCGCAGAGTATAACTTCCGGATTGAGTACAAACCCGGAAGACTCAATGTGGTGGCCGACGCGCTCTCGCGTCGACCTGACTACGCCACGACTGATGCCAACGTCAATGCCATTGACGCCATGCGATCGAGCACCCCAACGTCGTCACTGTTGGACGACGTGAAGGTCGCGTACGCGCACGACGCGGACGCGAAGCTCTTGCTGGCCTACGGCTCAGTGCCTTCTGACAAAGCTCGTCAGAAGTTGCCGAAGCATCTTCGTGCTCGTGCACACCGTTATCGCGTGCACGACGGGTTATTACTCTACAGTGCAGTCGACGACAACGCGGACCGCGTTGTCGTGCCAATGACCATGACCTGCGACTCAGGATCATGTATGATTATCACGATGCACCGACTGCGGGGCATCCGGGCCGTGAGAAGACATACCTTCTTCTCACGCGAGACTTCTACTGGGCACACCAGTACAAATGGGTGCGCAAGTACGTCCGTGCTTGCGAGGTTTGTCAACGTGTAAAGCCTGCGCCCTTCGCGCAGGCTCCCTTGCAGTCACTACCAACTCCACGGGAGTGTTGGCAGTCCATGTCTTTGGACTTCGTGTTCGGTCTTCCCCCGGGCAGCCAGGGGAACACGGGCGTTGTGGTCTTTGTTGACTGCTTCAGCAAGATGGTACATCTTGCTGCGGTACCCGCTGAAGTGACTGCGAAACAGACGGCGCGTCTGTTCGTTGACATGGTGTTCAAACACCATGGCATGCCGATCGACATTGTGTCGGATCGAGACCCGCGCTTCACTGCACACCTTTGGCAAGAAGTGTTTACACTTCTTGGGAGTCAACTTTCGATGTCGACTGCGGATCATCCGCAGACGGACGGGCAGACCGAGCGCGTGAACCGCGTGCTCGTAGACGTGCTTAAGAGCTACGCTCACTCGTTCCAACACTGGAGCGAGTGTCTGCCGATGGCGGAGTTCGCCATCAACAACTCGGTGCATGCCTCGACCGGGCATACACCGTTCTACGTGAATGCCTTCAGGCACCCACGCCTCCCGAGTCTACTCGGGATGGTGGCTCCTTCCTTAAGTGGGGGAGGATCTACGACTGCAACGCAGCAGGCGCAGAATGCCGCTGACACTTGCACAGTGTCAGCCGCGACTACGCGCAAGAAGAAGAAGAAGCATGCGTCTGTGCAGGGTACAGACGCCGACAAGAGCAAGAAGAAGAAGAATAACGGGTCTGTGCAGGGCACAGACACCGCGAAGACGAACGCAGAGGCCGCGCTGGGCCAAGCGTGCGACGCGACCTCCCACGTCGACAGAGATGTCCGACGCGGTCTGCGAGGCCTGAGCGACTTGAGCCCTCAGGATCGCCACCTCCTGCTTCAGAGCGGCGAACTCCCGGCTCTGATGCTGTTCCACAGCAGCGACCCGCTCCTCGAGCGTCGGGCCAAGGTCACCCCCAGGTTGACCATACCCGGGGCGTGTTCCCACCACCGCCGCCTCCGATCCGCGACGCCCGCGGCTCAACACGCTGGATTGTTGAGCGTATTGTGAACCATAGTATCCCGAAAACGAACCGGCAGCCGGTTCGTTATCGTATTCGTTGGAGAGGGTTTCCGCCCCACCAAGATACATGGGAGCCACGGGACGTCCTGCTGCAGGACGTTCCGGAAATGGCGAGGGCGTACGAAGCTCACCACGCACTGCCGACGCGAAGGTAGTGCGAGCGCTGTGGTCACCTACAGCGCCCGAGGTTCCACGATCGTCGCGTTCCTCACGTGCCAAGAACTTGGCACGGAGATCCTTGAGACTCGCAGGTACACGAATCGTCGTGTACCCGTTTAGGTCGCGGTCGCTCAAGCGCGCCGCACCCGGAAGCCACAACGTGCACTGTTGGCCTTCGGGCACAGCGCATGGAATACCAGCGTCCACAGAAGATCTGTGCAGAACATCTGTGGAGCTGCTCCAACCTCCCGCGCGTCGAGAATGTCTCGAAGCGTTCACGGGCGTGCTTAACCCGCTCACGGTAAGCAGCCGGCTTCTTGTTGAAGTTCTCAACAAAAGCATTCCAACTTTGACAAAGTGCCTGCCACTCAGGCACTTTGCTGCGAGAAGAGGTCTTCTTGCTGGAGAAGTATCGGAGCTCGTGAAAGAGTCCGATATAGTAATCGCGCCTTTGATTCGTTAACGGATCAAAGTGCTGCTCCTCCGCCACAGCATCATCGTGGATCCCGCTGCATACGTACAGCGGAATTTCATTTGGAGGCACGGTGTTGCCCACACGGTCTGCGATCTCTGACGCAGACGGCATCCACGGATCGCGCGCTGCTCAGGCAGCGCGCGGAGAACTTGAAGACGCCACCTCACGCGGGAAGCTTAAAGCCCCAGCAGCAGAGAGCGGAGTGTCACTCTCGCCGCGCGAACGCTTCGAGCTCGAAGCGTCCGAGTCGTCTCCTTCACGAGGGCGTCTCGACCCGGCATGCGGGCCGAGAATATCGCTGTCGATAGACTCCTTGCGCTTGCTAGAAGAGGCTTCGCCCTCTTCCATCTCCACGTCGTCGTCCTCGTAGTCAACGGCGTCGTTGACTACAGAGGAACCTTCGAGAACAATCTCCGGCTGGGTTGTCCCCGCCGCAGCCTTTGCAGCGAGCGCATCGCGCTTTGCCTGCTGACGCTCATGGTACTGAGCAACAGAGAGGTTACCCTCTGTTGCGACGGTGGTCTTCTTCTGCGGCGAGCTCATTGCGGAATGAGCTCGAGTTTTCTTTCTCCCGACGTGAAGAATTGACGAATGGTCAATTTCCCGATTGACGTGCCGTGACTCGGCGCGTTTAACCTTGAGGGGATGGTGTAACAGGGTTGCACGCACAAGTGGCTACAGTCACTTGTAACTCTAACAGACACGACGTCTGTTAGAGGTTCGAAAGACTTTCTCGACCTTGGTGTAGACACACCAAAGGCTACATACATTTACGACCACCACGGCGGGTGGTCCATAGAGACTTAGGATTCCTATTGGCTGAGAGCAGCATCTCTTAGCCAATGAGCGACATGCATAGCATTGGAATTCTGCCAACCAGCCGTTGGCAGATTCCTATCTTAGAATATTACATTTAGAGGAAGTCAGAAACATAAAACAAAAATAGCAGTTCTCATTTTAACCTAAAAACATTATTTGGATCGTTTATTTAGATTAATCTATACTCGGAGGCCCGAGTATAATTAACTCTAATTTAAACTAGGCTACACTTCCTCACATACACGCGCACACGTGTAAGCTAAAGTAGTGGACCAAAGTAGGCCCATTACAGCTTACCTCACGGTATTCTCGAAGCCTCTAGGCCATTTTGGGATACGGCAGTATCTGGGGCGTCGCCTCCATGCGCGACCTCCACGAAGGTACGCCGCAGTACAGCCGCACGGAGTCACTCAGCGCCTCGAAGCGACTGAGCATCCACTCGTCGCGCCCGCCTCCTCCTTATGCTCGCGCGGTCACGTCCAGCTCGCCCGCTGGAGCGCCCCCTGCCGGCACTGCGCTCTGCGCGTCCTTCCTTGCGATCACGCTGAAGCTATAGCCACCGCCGATCGCCGCTTCTGTGTCGCTGTGGTGGGGCACAACAGCATCTACGTCCACGGCGCACCGTGACCTGTCCTCTTCCTCGCGCTCCAGTGCTCCGCCCTGCGCCTGCCATCCGTCCCTGCGTCGTGCTTAAAACTGAACCGAGATATTGTGAGTTCTACTCAAAATTTCCTCGGGCGATTGAATCAATCGCCCGAGGCCATACAAACTCCCACATGACTTGCTTAGCACCAGGCTTGCATTTCACCCGCATGAGTAGCTATATCATCGATTCATGCGATGTCGAGCACTAACTTTCACACAATCATTATTAGGAACTAGGGCTCAGCGCGCCGCTGCGCTGGCGCTTCGCTAGGGTTATTAGGGGTTTAGGCAATGGTTGGGCGCCCCCGTTCCGCTTGCGGAGCTCGCTGCAACTCGGCTCCGAGCTCGGGCCCTCGAGTTCGTACCTAGTGAATTTTCGGCCAATGAAAATTTTGTCACGTTCTGGTCGGAAACTGCAAGAGAAGGGGTATTGCAATGTATTGACCCTTTATCCTGGGAGGACAGCTAGAAGAGCTGTATGGACAGCCTCACAGACATTAATTCGTCCAAGAAAGTTGCTCGTACCACAGAAAACTTTCCGACGACATCAGCCTTGTGACACACCATCCATACGTAAATGAGAACGGAAACTCGAGACAACACAGATTGCATGCTGCGACTGCATTGCTGTCTATCTTTTGCTTGCTGTCTTTGCTACAAATATGCTACGCCAGCTCCAACTACAGACGTTCCTACTTCCTACTACAGCTTCCACTTCCTATTTCCTACTTCCGACAGCTTACTAGCATTATAGTTTCAATCACAGCAGCTTCAGACGCATATTTCCTCTTTCAGCTTCTTCTTCTTCCAGCTTCAGGCACTACCACCAGAGCAGCTTCACGAACAGCGCTTCTTCTTCTTTGGACCGCCAGTGGCATCTGGCGCCTTCTGCGATTCGTTTCCCCCGTGGCCATGCGCCACGCAGCTCATAGTCGTCGGGGGAGTTGTGAATACGCGCAGTCTGCAACTCCCATCCAGCAGGAATAGCAGGGTCAAGCGCCACTTTAGTTGCCGAACTGATCCCAATGGCAACGTCGTCGTAAGTGTTGACTTTCAACGGCTAGAACGTGGAGCAGCGTCTCCATATTCACATTCCGCGCGTTTTGCTGCCAAAGGTGCACTTCATCTGTGTCTCTTCGATATCTTCGAGAGTGACCTCACGTTTGAGAAGCTCGCGCCCGCTGCGCTCCATCGCGACTTCCTCAATCACGCGTATGACGCGTGGGTAGATCTCCCTCGAGCACTTCGGTACGGCGTGCTGCACCGCCATTGGTCTAGGTTTGGTTGCTTAACTAACGGTATATGCGATGTGTTTCGATAGGCACGGACTACACTTTCGAGTTCACGTGGCTTCATGGCAACGACGTCGACTTGATCGATCTTGGTTGGGGGTCTCGTAGTAGCCAAACTACATCGAGTCCAGTAGGATTCACGATTTTTAAACTTAGGATAACTTGAATTTCATTTGGCTCAACGTCGTGGGCGAATTGCAAATGAAGGCTTTCCATAACGTCAGATTTTATTTATTTGTTCGACCCAACATCTACGCAGTCAAGTGGTTAATGAGTTTGGCGAGAACGGCGACTGGAAGAAAAGGAATGAGTACAATAATTCATTATCTCCCATTACTCCACCTTTGTCCTCCCAGCCTCAAGCAACGCCCCTTGTTGTAAAACAACAATAAGGTATTGCCACAGGGCAACCCCTAATCAATATTTATTGGGAGAGCGTGTCCCAAGGTGAAGTCAACAGCCCTGTCGTACGGTGACGATGCCTGCACGAACCCCGCCCAGTTCGTTGTTTCCGACGAGTTTTCGTGCTCTGCATCGCACTGCAACCGAGGGTCGCTACCTAAAGGCTTTAGGCTAAAGCATGACTGCTCAGAGGATCACTGAAGCTGCAGCTGCAATGTTCGGCGATGCTCCGTACGTGGTCGTCGAGATTTATAAAGACGGCGAGTGCTCGCCTCTTAGCGGCGTGCAAGCGTTTTCGTCGGACCAGGAATGCCACGTCGCCATTGATGGCACAAGATTCACGTCGACCTTAGCTGATACTGGAGACGGTGATGTCGTTCTCTACACGGATGACAAGTGCGGGGCGACGGGTGATGACAAGACCACCATGGCGCTAAGCCCGAAGATGCTCGGCGATAGGAACCCCTGCACTGACAGCGCCAAGTATTACTCCTTCAACGGCCCGCCCCCACCTCCCAAATCTACCCCCGCCTCCACGACGCCCTCATCCACACCTTCCACGACGACGAGGACCCCAACGACTCCAAGCTCCACGCCATCTTCAACTACGGAGGCGCCTACCACCACGAGCACAGGATCTGGAACTTCGGATGCGGCATCACTCTTCCCGACATTGACAGCTTCGCTTGGACTGCTCGCGGCAGCCTTTGGACTTCTCCTTTAAGCCACCACTGGTGGCGTGTAGCGCGTGGCGATGACGTGCTCGATTGAAGAGCCAACCAGATCGTCGGCCACGAAGCTCCACCGCCCTTCCAGTTTCCTAACACTCTTTTTATCCCATCTGCAGCAGCGGTGACCGACCATCCGACGCCGCTGCATATATTCACAGCCCGATCCAGTGGACTCACAACTTGTTGTAGAGTTCGCCCCGAGCTTTCATAGCATAACCACAACAAAAATGAATTCCGTTTATCAGCACTCTTCCCTCTTTGAAACATATCCATCCTAGACCACCCTAGAACACCCCGCTGCAATTCCTGCACATTCCATGCATGCATGTATATAACTTAAAGTACCAACCTCGCCGCCGATTCCTATCTACCAGAACCATTTCCTTCGCCTCCCCACTCCCGTCACACCGTCGGCGGGTTCTGCACGGACGTGGACACGCTCAGTCCCATCGGCGGCAGCGAGAATGTGACGGCCTTCTCCCTCAGCTTCTTGCTCACTCTGTTGCCCACCTTCTTCACCGCCTGCGCCCGCCCAAAGAGCGCCTTGGGCACCGCCACAGCAGCTGCGGCCGCCACCGTGGCTCTCTGCTGTTGCTTCTTCATCCTCTGGCGGTCTCCGTCGTGCCTGGGCGTCGAGGCCTCGGGCACGGAGCTCTGCAGCACCATGGTCAGCGCCTTGTACTGCGTCTCGAAGAAGACCTCGAGCTCGTCGGGCGCGAGCCCCAGCGCCTTGTGCTGCGGCTCGCCCCAGTAGTTGCGCTGCCAGGCGTGGATGGCGTTGCCCCAGGCCTTGCGCTCGCCCCACGTGGGCGCGCTCATGACGAGCAGCGTGGGCGTCCCGTAGACGAGGATGCGGCCGTCGCGGATGCGCGAGCGCTGCAGCCGCACCGAGAAGCTGTAGGGGCAGTCGCGGCCGTCGGCGTCCGGAATGCCGCGCACCTTGAGCCGCGAGCGGGAGAGCGCCACCTCGCGCACCATGACGCCGCGGTCCCTGCGCGTGTAGAACTGCAGCTTGCCTTCGCCCAGCACGCAGTAGTAGATGTGGCTTCGGCGGCCCTCGTCGTGCAGCAGCAGGAAGCCCTCCTTGGACATGGCTGAGGACCGGCTAATACAGACTCGACTCTACTTACTGACTCTGGTTCGACCTTGGCTTGATGCGGTTTCGGGATGGGTTCGAGTTGCAAGTGTATACTGGGCGCAAGTCGCGAGTGGTGTGGTGGTTGACTAGACTTTACTATGCCGCATCTCAGTGCTCGCCGCTGCCCAATCAGCGACGAGTACGAGTGGAGGATAGATAGATGGGGATCCGCTCTAGATAGAAAGCATGACGTCGCCAATGCTGCTGCTCTTCTTGTTGCTGCTCGTCGGCGCGCTCCAGGGGACGGCGCGCGCGCTGTATTTCAACGTGCTGGAGGATGTGAGCGGCGTCTGCCTGTGGGTGTACTGTAGAGAGAGGGACTAGGCTGACGGCTGCTTGTTTGTTGCAGGGCCATCGCTGCTTCCTGGTGGATGTGCCGGCCCAGACGGCGATCCGAGCCGAGTACGAGTCGCCCGACACGACGGACGTCATGGTGAGGGAGCGAGCGGTGGATGCCGGAGGAGGAGGAGACAGATATCTTTGTGCTGACTGTGGAGGTGTTGGGTTTGAGGAGTGCAGAAGACGGTGGTGGAGTTCTACGCACCCGACCCGAGCAAGGGCGAGGACGAACACACGCTCGTGAAGAGCGAGACGACCAGCCAGAAGGTGAAATACCGAGTGCTGGAGGGGGGATGCAGGGTGGTGGCTGACTGAAGAGTGGATGGTTGCTGGTGATGCAGGGGTCGATCTCGCTCACGGCGCAACAGAACGGGGTGCACTGGGTCTGCGTCAGTCTCGACTCGTCCAACTACGCGCTGCCTGGTGATGCGTCGATGGTGAGGCTGCGTCGTGTGGTGTTTTGGTGGTGGTGAAAAGGTTTGAACTTGTATATCTTGCTGCTGCTGCTAGCGCTTCGCATTGAAGCTGAAGATGGGTACGAGCCTCGAGGAGTACCAGAATTTGGCCAAGAAGAGCCAGATGGACGACCTTCACCTGGATATCATGAAGTTGAGAGACCGCGTGAGCGCGATCCAGCGCCACCAGGACTATGCTAAGGTACGTTGCTGAGTATGGTCGAGCTGATAGTCGCGTGCCTTATTGCTTTGGGGTGCATCTGCAGGAGAAGAGTTTGACACTTCAGTCAGCGATCGAGAGCAGTAACCAGCGAGCAACTTGGGTATCGCTGCTGCAGGTAAGCTGCGCATATTTGATAGCAATTTTCAATGCTGGAAACTGAGTTGGGTGTACATTAGATTGCTATCTTGCTGGTATCGGGCTTCTACCAAGCAAAACACCTTCAAGCATACTTTCACCAGAAGAAGTTAGTGTAGAGCTTGATGGTGGCGGACGGGAGACTATTACAGTCGGTACAACCAAATACATAGTCGTAAAAGTACTTACTAGGTTCTTGGGACGTGCTTTCCGTAGCCTACATTCTAGACTACGGAAAACACTTCGCAAGTAGACTCTACATGCGGTGAAAAATTTTCTCCATACCGGGTGCTTTTAAGCTTAAAAAGCAATCCGAAATTTTAAGGTTGCTATTATTAATAACCGGTGTAGCGTACTCGCCCGAATAAAGCCCCCTCCCGAATAGAAGCCTGTCGTCAGAAATACCGGTACATATCGCCTATCCTTTACAAACGCCAAGATTAAAGTTTTGGAGCTGATTCTGGGCCTGCACTATAAAATTAAGCCCGGACTAATAGGACGAGTACGTTAGTTTTGTGCAGAAGCAATCTTACTACCGGTCTCACTATCGGTAAACCATGATTTCAAATAGTCCGGACCAAAATCCTTTTTTAGGGAAAAGAGGAGTGGTGATGGGAAACAACCTGTAAATCTAGAAGTTAGAATTCATCTGGATACGGTACTACATTATGTAACGTTAACAGCTACATGTAGTGTGAAAGTGATAGTACAGCGACTGCGCCCACCGTAAGACCTCGCAGTTCAAGGATATATTTCCAAAGGGCCAACATGTATTTGTGCTGGTTCTAAAAACAGCTCTTGGTGGACATGCAACCGCCGCCGCATCGGAAGGATGCGGCGGTTGCATGTTCACGAAGGGTCTGACCCCAAATCAGCAACCAGGTTTCCCATTGGATCGTTTCGTGGAAACCTACTGGATCCAGCAAAAGGCCTAACGTAAAAAAGGGCTTTTTTGGTCGTTGCCGGTTGAGGGGGGGGTTCTTCTGTCGAAAAGCAGTCGTTAGGTTGACTGGGCCCCAGTATTGCGATCTGCAGCCGAAAGCTGTCAACCCTTGAGCCCGCGGCGCTTCGCCGGCATGAGATCTTGTCGGCAGGGCGCCGCCGCTGCCCGATCGCTTCATTCTCGAACTTGCCGAGTCCTGACAGCCCCCGAGCAAGCCTTCGAGTGAACCAAGTTAATCGTTTCCCCTCCCTCCAGCGAGCCACGACCGCCATGAAGCCCTTCAGGCTTCGTAGCCTCAGCGTGGCCGCCTTCTTCCTGGCAGCTGCGAACATTGTTCATGGTTCTGTCAACCTGCAAGCGACCGTGTTGTACACTGCATCAAACGACTGCACGGCCTCGACAGGGACTCCGGTGCTGGTGACGGCGACTCCCGATTCAGGCGGGGCGTGCGCACAAAGCACTACGTGTACCGAAACACCCGCCAGTTCTTCGCTGTACCCAGCCACCACGTGCCCCACCACGGATGGCACCGCTACCGGCGGCTTCATTGGAACTGATGTGCGAGCGTTGTTTGGCTCTAGCCCCTACGTGGTTGTGGAAGAATTCACAACGGGGAAAAATTGCGCAACCGATGGCGATATCACTAAAATTACAGTGTACCTGGCGGACGGCAAGTGCCACAAGACGGGTGCATCGAGTAGCTACCGCGCCACGCGTAAGGCTGACGGCTCGGCGACGGTCACGCCGTACACGGATGCGACGTGCACGGCTGCCGGGACGGTATTGACAGTGACGGCAGCGCAGGCGACGAACAACGCGTGCGACACAAGTGTGAATGGCATTGCAGATACGAAGGTGTATGGTGCGGGAGCGACTCCGCTGTACTTGACGTCAACGGTGAACTACGACTCGGATGCGAACTCTTGCTCATCTGGAGTCCCGTCGCTGGTTTCGACCACAGTGGGCAATGTTGATGTTTGCACGGCCTCAAGTGGATGCACTGGCCAATCTTCGCCATTTAAAGGGACGTCGTGCAGCTCGGTGTCTTCGTATCAAACCGATATGGCTACTGCGTTCGGCTCGAACCCGTACGTGATCGTGGAGAAGTACAACATCGGGGAGTCTTGCGCTGCGGCCGAGCTATCCGGGATCACGACATACCTGGCGGACGGCAAGTGCCACAAGACGGGTGCATCGAGTAGCTACCGCGCTACGCGTAAGGCTGACGGCTCGGCGACGGTCACGCCGTACACGGATGCGACGTGCACGGCTGCCGGGACGGTATTGACAGTGACGGCAGCGCAGGCGACGAACAACGCGTGCGACACAAGTGTGAATGGCATTGCAGATACGAAGGTGTATGGTGCGGGAACGACTCCGCTGTACTTGACGTCAACGGTGAACTACGACTCGGATGCGAACTCTTGCTCATCTGGAGTCCCGTCGCTGGTTTCGACCACAGTGGGCAATGTTGATGTTTGCACTACCTCAAGTGGATGCACTGGCCAATCTTCGCCATTTAAAGGGACGTCGTGCAGCTCGGTGTCTTCGTATCAAACCGATATGGCTACTGCGTTCGGCTCGAACCCGTACGTGATCGTGGAGAAGTACAACATCGGGAAGTCTTGCGCTGCGGCCGAGCTATCCGGGATCACGACATACCTGGCGGACGGCAAGTGCCACAAGACGGGTGCATCGAGTAGCTACCGCGCCACGCGTAAGGCTGACGGCTCGGCGACGGTCACGCCGTACACGGATGCGACGTGCACGGCTGCCGGGACGGTATTGACAGTGACGGCAGCGCAGGCGACGAACAACGCGTGCGACACAAGTGTGAATGGCATTGCAGATACGAAGGTGTATGGTGCGGGAGCGACTCCGCTGTACTTGACGTCAACGGTGAACTACGACTCGGATGCGAACTCTTGCTCATCTGGAGTCCCGTCGCTGGTTTCGACCACAGTGGGCAATGTTGATGTTTGCACGGCCTCAAGTGGATGCACTGGCCAATCTTCGCCATTTAAAGGGACGTCGTGCAGCTCGGTGTCTTCGTATCAAACCGATATGGCTACTGCGTTCGGCTCGAACCCGTACGTGATCGTGGAGAAGTACAACATCGGGAAGTCTTGCGCTGCGGCCGAGCTATCCGGGATCACGACATACCTGGCGGACGGCAAGTGCCACAAGACGGGTGCATCGAGTAGCTACCGCGCCACGCGTAAGGCTGACGGCTCGGCGACGGTCACGCCGTACACGGATGCGACGTGCACGGCTGCCGGGACGGTATTGACAGTGACGGCAGCGCAGGCGACGAACAACGCGTGCGACACAAGTGTGAATGGCATTGCAGATACGAAGGTGTATGGTGCGGGAGCGACTCCGCTGTACTTGACGTCAACGGTGAACTACGACTCGGATGCGAACTCTTGCTCATCTGGAGTCCCGTCGCTGGTTTCGACCACAGTGGGCAATGTTGATGTTTGCACGGCCTCAAGTGGATGCACTGGCCAATCTTCGCCATTTAAAGGGACGTCGTGCAGCTCGGTGTCTTCGTATCAAACCGATATGGCTACTGCGTTCGGCTCGAACCCGTACGTGATCGTGGAGAAGTACAACATCGGGAAGTCTTGCGCTGCGGCCGAGCTATCCGGGATCACGACATACCTGGCGGACGGCAAGTGCCACAAGACGGGTGCATCGAGTAGCTACCGCGCCACGCGTAAGGCTGACGGCTCGGCGACGGTCACGCCGTACACGGATGCGACGTGCACGGCTGCCGGGACGGTATTGACAGTGACGGCAGCGCAGGCGACGAACAACGCGTGCGACACAAGTGTGAATGGCATTGCAGATACGAAGGTGTATGGTGCGAGATCGACTCCGCTGTACTTGACGTCAACGGTGAACTACGACTCGGATGCGAACTCTTGCTCATCTGGAGTCCCGTCGCTGGTTTCGACCACAGTGGGCAATGTTGATGTTTGCACGGCCTCAAGTGGATGCACTGGCCAATCTTCGCCATTTAAAGGGACGTCGTGCAGCTCGGTGTCTTCGTATCAAACCGATATGGCTACTGCGTTCGGCTCGAACCCGTACGTGATCGTGGAGAAGTACAACATCGGGAAGTCTTGCGCTGCGGCCGAGCTATCCGGGATCACGACATACCTGGCGGACGGCAAGTGCCACAAGACGGGTGCATCGAGTAGCTACCGCGCCACGCGTAAGGCTGACGGCTCGGCGACGGTCACGCCGTACACGGATGCGACGTGCACGGCTGCCGGGACGGTATTGACAGTGACGGCAGCGCAGGCGACGAACAACGCGTGCGACACAAGTGCGAATGGCATTGCAGATACGAAGGTGTATGGTGCGGGATCGACTCCGCTGTACTTGACATCAACGGTGAACTACGACTCGGATGCGAACTCGTGCAAGTCGGGTCTGCCGTCATACGTGACGATGGCGGTTGTCGATGTTGATGCGTGTGCGGCTACGGCTGTATGCACTGGCAGTTCAGCTCCGTACACGGGTACGTCGTGCAGTTCAACGCACAGATACAGAGATGATATGACTGCTGCGTTCGGCTCGAACCCGTACGTGATCGTGGAGAAGTACAACGTCGGGAAGTCTTGTGCTGCGGCCGAGCTATCCGGGATCACGACATACCTGGCGGACGGCAAGTGTCACAAGACGGGTGCGTCGAGTAGCTACCGCGCCACGCGTAAGGCTGACGGCTCGGCGACGGTCACGCCGTACACGGATGCGACGTGCACGGCTGCCGGGACGGTGTTGACAGTGACGGCAGCGCAGGCGACGAACAACGCGTGCGACACAAGTGTGAATGGCATTGCAGATACGAAGGTGTATGGTGCGGGAGCGACTCCGCTGTACTTGACGTCAACGGTGAACTACGACTCGGATGCGAACTCTTGCTCATCTGGAGTACCATCGCTGGTATCGACTACAGTGGGCAATGTTGATGTTTGCAAGACCTCAAGTGGATGCACTGGCCAATCTTCGCCATTTAAAGGGACGTTGTGCAGCTTAGTGCCTTCGTATCAAACCGATATGGCTACTGCATTCGGCTCGAACCCGTACGTGATCGTGGAGAAGTACAACATCGGGAAGTCTTGCGCTGCGGCCGAGCTATCCGGGATCACGACATACCTGGCGGACGGCAAGTGCCACAAGACGGGTGCATCGAGTAGCTACCGCGCCACGCGTAAGGCTGACGGCTCGGCGACGGTCACGCCGTACACGGATGCGACGTGCACGGCTGCCGGGACGGTATTGACAGTGACGGCAGCGCAGGCGACGAACAACGCGTGCGACACAAGTGTGAATGGCATTGCAGATACGAAGGTGTATGGTGCGAGATCGACTCCGCTGTACTTGACGTCAACGGTGAACTACGACTCGGATGCGAACTCGTGCAAGTCGGGTCTGCCGTCATACGTGACGATGGCGGTTGTCAATGTTGATGCGTGTGCGGCTACGGCTGTTTGCACTGGAAGCTCAGCTCCGTACACGGGTACGTCGTGCAGTTCAACGCTTGCGTACAAAGCTGATATGGCTGCTGCGTTCGGCTCGAGCCCGTATGTGATCGTGGAGAAGTACAACATCGGGAAGTCTTGCGCTGCGGCCGAGCTATCCGGGATCACGACATACCTGGCGGACGGCAAGTGCCACAAGACGGGTGCGTCGAGTAGCTACCGCGCCACGCGTAAGGCTGACGGCTCCGCGACGGTCACGCCGTACACGGATGCGTCGTGCACGGCTGCCGGGATGGTGTTGACAGTGACGGCAGCGCAGGCGACGAACAATGCGTGCGATATGACGGCGAATGGCATTGCAGATACGAAGGTGTATGGTGCGGGATCGACTCCGCTGTACTTGACATCAACGGTGAACTACGACTCGGATGCGAACTCGTGCAAGTCGGGTCTGCCGTCATACGTGACGATGGCGGTTGTCAATGTTGATGCGTGTGCGGCTACGGCTGTTTGCACTGGAAGCTCTGCTCCGTACACGGGTACGTTGTGCAGTTCAACGCTCGCGTACAAAACTGACATGGCTGCTGCGTTCGGCTCGAACCCGTACGTGATCGTGGAGAAGTACAACATCGGGAAGTCTTGTGCCGCGGCCGAGCTATCCGGGATCACGACATACCTGGCGGACGGCAAGTGCCACAAGACGGGTGCGTCGAGTAGCTACCGCGCCACGCGTAAGGCTGACGGCTCGGCGACGGTCACGCCGTACACGGATGCGACGTGCACGGCTGCCGGGACGGTGTTGACAGTGACGGCAGCGCAGGCGACGAACAACGCGTGTGATGGGACGGCGAATGGCATTGTAGATACGAAGGTGTATGGTGCGGGATCGACTCCGCTGTACTTGACGTCTACGGTGAACTACGACTCGGATGCGAACTCGTGCAAGTCGGGTCTGCCGTCATACGTGACGATGGCGGTTGTCAATGTTGATGCGTGTGCGGCTACGGGTGTTTGCACTGGAAGCTCTGCTCCGTACACGGGTACGTCGTGCAGTTCAACGCTCGCGTACAAAGCTGATATGGCTGCTGCGTTCGGCTCGAGCCCGTATGTGATCGTGGAGAAGTACAACATCGGGAAGTCTTGCGCTGCGGCCGAGCTATCCGGGATCACGACATACCTGGCGGACGGCAAGTGCCACAAGACGGGTGCGTCGAGTAGCTATCGAGTAAGCTATAGGGCTGACGGCTCGGCGACGGTCACGCCGTACACGGATGCGACGTGCACGACTGCCGGGACGGTGTTGACAGTGACGGCAGCGCAGGCGACGAACAATGCGTGCGATGGGACGGCGAATGGCATTGCAGATACTAAGATTTATTATGGAGGTTCTGCTACTCCGCTGTATTTGGAATCAAGGGTGAACTACGACTCGGATGCGAACTCGTGCAAGTCGGGTCTGCCGTCATACGTGACGATGGCGGTTGTCGATGTGGATGCGTGTGCGGCTACGGCTGTTTGCACTGGAAGCTCTGCTCCGTACGCGGGTACGTCGTGCAGTTCAACGCTTGCGTACAAAACTGACATGGCTGCTGCGTTCGGCTCGAACCCGTTCGTGATCGTGGAGAAGTACAACGTGGGGAAGTCTTGCGCTGCGGCCGAGCTATCCGGGATCACGACATACCTGGCGGACGGCAAGTGCCACAAGACGGGTGCGTCGAGTAGCTACCGCGCCACGCGTAAGGCTGACGGCTCGGCGACGGTCACGCCGTACACGGATGCGACGTGCACGGCTGCCGGGACGGTATTGACAGTGACGGCAGCGCAGGCGACGAACAACGCGTGTGATGGGACGGCGAATGGCATTGCAGATAGGAAGGTGTATGGTGCGGGAGCGACTCCGCTGTACTTGACATCAACGGTGAACTACGACTCGGATGCGAACTCGTGCAAGTCGGGTCTGCCGTCATACGTGACGATGGCGGTTGTCAATGTTGATGCGTGTGCGGCTACGGCTGTTTGCACTGGAAGCTCAGCTCCGTACGCGGGTACGTCGTGCAGTTCAACGCTCGCGTACAAAACTGACATGGCTGCTGCGTTCGGCTCGAACCCGTACGTGATCGTGGAGAAGTACAACGTGGGGAAGTCTTGTGCTGCGTCCGAGCTATCCGGGATCACGACATACCTGGCGGACGGCAAGTGCCACAAGACGGGTGCGTCGAGTAGCTACCGTGCCACGCGTAAGGCTGACGGCTCGGCGACGGTCACGCCGTACACGGACGCGACGTGCACGACTGCCGGGACGGTATTGACAGTGACGGCAGCGCAGGCGACGAACAATGCGTGTGATGGGACGGCGAATGGCATTGCAGATACGAAGGTGTATGGTGCGGGATCGACTCCGCTGTACTTGACATCAACGGTGAACTACGACTCGGATGCGATCTCGTGCAAGTCGGGTCTGCCGTCATACGTGACGATGGCGGTTGTCAATGTTGATGCGTGTGCGGCTACGGCTGTTTGCACTGGAAGCTCAGCTCCGTACACGGGTACGTCGTGCAGTTCAACGCTTGCGTACAAAACTGACATGGCTGCTGCGTTCGGCTCGAACCCGTACGTGATCGTGGAGAAGTACAACGTCGGGAAGTCTTGCGCTGCGGCCGAGCTATCCGGGATCACGACATACCTGGCGGACGGCAAGTGCCACAAGACGGGTGCGTCGAGTAGCTACCGTGCCACGCGTAAGGCTGACGGCTCGGCGACGGTCACGCCGTACACGGATGCGACGTGCACGACTGCCGGGACGGTATTGACAGTGACGGCAGCGCAGGCGACGAACAATGCGTGTGATGGGACGGCGAATGGCATTGCAGATACGAAGGTGTATGGTGCGGGAGCGACTCCGCTGTACTTGACATCAACGGTGAACTACGACTCGGATGCGAACTCGTGCAAGTCGGGTCTGCCGTCATACGTGACGATGGCGGTTGTCAATGTTGATGCGTGTGCGGCTACGGCTGTTTGCACTGGAAGCTCTGCTCCGTACACGGGTACGTCGTGCAGTTCAACGCTCGCGTACAAAGCTGATATGGCTGCTGGGTTCGGCTCGAGCCCGTATGTGATCGTGGAGAAGTACAACGTCGGGAAGTCTTGCGCTGCGGCCGAGCTATCCGGGATCACGACATACCTGGCGGACGGCAAGTGCCACAAGACGGGTGCGTCGAGTAGCTACCGCGCCACGCGTAAGGCTGACGGCTCGGCGACGGTCACGCCGTACACGGATGCGACGTGCACGGCTGCCGGGACGGTGTTGACAGTGACGGCCGCGCAGGCGACGAACAACGCGTGTGATGGGACGGCGAATGGCATTGCAGATACGAAGGTGTATGGTGCGGGATCGACTCCGCTGTACTTGACATCAACGGTGAACTACGACTCGGATGCGAACTCGTGCAAGTCGGGTCTGCCGTCATACGTGACGATGGCGGTTGTCAATGTGGATGCGTGTGCGGCTACGGCTGTTTGCACTGGAAGCTCTGCTCCGTACGCGGGTACGTCGTGCAGTTCAACGCTTGCGTACAAAACTGACATGGCTGCTGCGTTCGGCTCGAACCCGTACGTGATCGTGGAGAAGTACAACGTCGGGAAGTCTTGCGCTGCGGCCGAGCTATCCGGGATCACGACATACCTGGCGGACGGCAAGTGCCACAAGACGGGTGCGTCGAGTAGCTACCGCGCCACGCGTAAGGCTGACGGCTCGGCGACGGTCACGCCATACACGGATGCGACGTGCACGACTGCCGGGACGGTGTTGACAGTGACGGCAGCGCAGGCAACGAACAACGCGTGTGATGGGACGGCGAATGGCATTGCAGATACGAAGGTGTATGGTGCGGGAGCGACTCCGCTGTACTTGACATCAACGGTGAACTACGACTCTGATGCGAACTCTTGCTCATCTGGAGTACCATCGCTGGTATCGACCACAGTGGGCAATGTTGATGTTTGCACTACCTCAAGTGGATGCACTGGCCAATCTTCGCCATTTAAAGGGACGTCGTGCAGCTCGGCGTCTACGTACAAATCCGATATGGCTACTGCGTTCGGCTCGAACCCGTACGTGATCGTGGAGAAGTACAACGTCGGGAAGTCTTGCGCTGCGACCGAGCTATCCGGGGTCACGACATACCTGGCGGACGGCAAGTGCCACAAGACGGGTGCGTCGAGTAGCTACCGCGCCACGCGTAAGGCTGACGGCTCGGCGACGGTCACGCCATACACGGATGCGACGTGCACGGCTGCCGGGACGGTGTTGACAGTGACGGCAGCGCAGGCGACGAACAACGCGTGTGATGGGACGGCGAATGGCATTGTAGATACGAAGGTGTATGGTGCGGGATCGACTCCGCTGTACTTGACGTCAACGGTGAACTACGACTCGGATGCGAACTCGTGCAAGTCGGGTCTGCCGTCATACGTGACGATGGCGGTTGTCAATGTGGATGCGTGTGCGGCTACGGCTGTTTGCACTGGAAGCTCTGCTCCGTACGCGGGTACGTCGTGCAGTTCAACGCTTGCGTACAAAGCTGACATGGCTGCTGCGTTCGGCTCGAACCCGTACGTGATCGTGGAGAAGTACAACATCGGGAAGTCTTGCGCTGCGGCCGAGCTATCCGGGATCACGACATACCTGGCGGACGGCAAGTGCCACAAGACGGGTGCGTCGAGTAGCTACCGCGCCACGCGTAAGGCTGACGGCTCGGCGACGGTCACGCCATACACGGATGCGACGTGCACGACTGCCGGGACGGTGTTGACAGTGACGGCAGCGCAGGCAACGAACAACGCGTGCGATGGGACGGCGAATGGCATTGCAGATACGAAGGTGTATGGTGCGGGAGCGACTCCGCTGTACTTGACGTCAACGGTGAACTACGACTCGGATGCGAACTCTTGCTCATCTGGAGTACCATCGCTGGTATCGACCACAGTGGGCAATGTTGATGTTTGCACTACCTCAAGTGGATGCACTGCCCAATCTTCGCCATTTAAAGGGACGTCGTGCAGCTCGGTGTCTACGTACAAATCCGATATGGCTACTGCGTTCGGCTCGAACCCGTATGTGATCGTGGAGAAGTACAACGTCGGGAAGTCTTGTGCTGCGGCCGAGCTATCCGGGATCACGACATACCTGGCGGACGGCAAGTGCCACAAGACGGGTGCGTCGAGTAGCTACCGCGCCACGCGTAAGGCTGACGGCTCGGCGACGGTCACGCCATACACGGATGCGACGTGCACGACTGCCGGGACGGTGTTGACAGTGACGGCAGCGCAGGCAACGAACAACGCGTGCGATGGGACGGCGAATGGCATTGCAGATACGAAGGTGTATGGTGCGGGAGCGACTCCGCTGTACTTGACCTCAACGGTGAACTACGACTCGGATGCGAACTCTTGCTCATCTGGAGTACCATCGCTGGTATCGACCACGGTGGGCAATGTTGATGTTTGCACTACCTCAAGTGGATGCACTGGCCAATCTTCGCCATTTAAAGGGACGTCGTGCAGCTCGGCGTCTACGTACAAATCCGATATGGCTACTGCGTTCGGCTCGAACCCGTACGTGATCGTGGAGAAGTACAACGTCGGGAAGTCTTGCGCTGCGACCGAGCTATCCGGGGTCACGACATACCTGGCGGACGGCAAGTGCCACAAGACGGGTGCGTCGAGTAGCTACCGCGCCACGCGTAAGGCTGACGGCTCGGCGACGGTCACGCCGTACACGGATGCGACGTGCACGGCTGCCGGGACGGTGTTGACAGTGACGGCAGCGCAGGCAACGAACAACGCGTGCGATGGGACGGCGAATGGCATTGCAGATACGAAGGTGTATGGTGCGGGATCGACTCCGCTGTACTTGACGTCAACGGTGAACTACGACTCGAGCGCGAACTCGTGCAAGTCGGGTCTGCCGTCATACGTGACGATGGCGGTTGTCAATGTGGATGCGTGTGCGGCTACGGCTGTTTGCACTGGAAGCTCTGCTCCGTACACGGGTACGTTGTGCAGTTCAACGCTCGCGTACAAAGCTGATATGGCTGCTGCGTTCGGCTCGAACCCGTACGTGATCGTGGAGAAGTACAACGTGGGGAAGTCTTGTGCTGCGGCCGAGCTATCCGGGATCACGACATACCTGGCGGACGGCAAGTGCCACAAGACGGGTGCGTCGAGTAGCTACCGCGCCACGCGTAAGGCTGACGGCTCGGCGACGGTCACGCCGTACACGGATGCGACGTGCACGACTGCCGGGACGGTGTTGACAGTGACGGCAGCGCAGGCGACGAACAACGCGTGTGATGGGACGGCGAATGGCATTGCAGATACGAAGGTGTATGGTGCGGGATCGACTCCGCTGTACTTGACATCAACGGTGAACTACGACTCGAGCGCGAACTCGTGCAAGTCGGGTCTGCCGTCATACGTGACGATGGCGGTTGTCAATGTGGATGCGTGTGCGGCTACGGCTGTTTGCACTGGAAGCTCTGCTCCGTACGCGGGTACGTCGTGCAGTTCAACGCTTGCGTACAAAACTGACATGGCTGCTGCGTTCGGCTCGAACCCGTACGTGATCGTGGAGAAGTACAACGTCGGGAAGTCTTGTGCTGCGGCCGAGCTATCCGGGATCACGACATACCTGGCGGACGGCAAGTGCCACAAGACGGGTGCGTCGAGTAGCTACCGCGCCACGCGTAAGGCTGACGGCTCGGCGACGGTCACGCCGTACACGGATGCGACGTGCACGGCTGCCGGGACGGTGTTGACAGTGACGGCAGCGCAGGCGACGAACAATGCGTGCGATGGGACGGCGAATGGCATTGCAGATAGGAAGGTGTATGGTGCGGGATCGACGCCGCTGTACTTGACGTCAACGGTGAACTACGACTCGAGTGCGAACTTTTGCTCATCTGGAGTACCATCGCTGGTATCGACCACAGTGGGCAATGTTGATATTTGCACTGCATCAAATGGATGCACTGGCAGTTCAGCTCCGTACACGGGTACGTCGTGCAGTTCAACGCCCGCGTACAAAGATGATATGGTTGCTGCGTTCGGCTCGAACCCGTACGTGATCGTGGAGAAGTACAACGTCGGGAAGTCTTGCGCTGCGGCCGAGCTATCCGGGATCACGACATACCTGGCGGACGGCAAGTGCCACAAGACGGGTGCGTCGAGTAGCTACCGCGCCACGCGTAAGGCTGACGGCTCGGCGACGGTCACGCCATACACGGATGCGACGTGCACGGCTGCCGGGACGGTGTTGACAGTGACGGCAGCGCAGGCGACGAACAACGCGTGTGATGGGACGGCGAATGGCATTGCAGATACGAAGGTGTATGGTGCGGGATCGACTCCGCTGTACTTGACGTCAACGGTGAACTACGACTCGGATGCGAACTCTTGCTCATCTGGAGTACCATCGCTGGTGTCGACCACAGTGGGCAATGTTGATGTTTGCACTACCTCAAGTGGATGCACTGGCCAATCTTCGCCATTTAAAGGGACGTCGTGCAGCTCGGTCTCGTCATTTAAAGACGATATTACCGCTTTGTTTGGATCGACGCCGTTCGTTTTCGTTAAAAAGTATAGCAGTGGCAACGGTTGCGCAGCTGCAGCGTTGTCTAGCATCACGACGTACTTGGCGGACGGCAAGTGCCACAAGACGGGTGGGGCTAGCAGCTATGCGGCAACTCGATCTGCTGATGGATCGGCAGTCGTCCAACAGTACACAGACGCTACGTGTGTGACGGCGGGTACTCTGTTGACAGTGACGGTAGCACAGGCGACGAACAACGCGTGTGACGGAACGGTGAATGGCATTGCAGATACGAAGGTGTATGGGAGCGGGGTGACGGCGTCAGTATTTTCATCCGTGTTGACGTTCGACAGTGCTGCCGATAAATGTCTCTCGGGGCTACCCATCCAAGTTGTCACCACTGTTGCGGATGCGAACTCTTGCACAGCGTCGTCAACTTGTAGCGGCCAAGCTGCACCCTACACCGGTACAACGTGTCGTTCAATACTCACGTACCGAAATGACTTGGCTGCTGCGTTCGGCTCGAACCCGTACGTGATCGTGGAGAAGTACAACGTCGGGAAGTCTTGTGCTGCGGCCGAGCTATCCGGGATCACGACATACCTGGCGGACGGCAAGTGCCACAAGACGGGTGCGTCGAGTAGCTACCGCGCCACGCGTAAGGCTGACGGCTCGGCGACGGTCACGCCATACACGGATGCGACGTGCACGACTGCCGGGACGGTGTTGACAGTGACGGCAGCGCAGGCAACGAACAACGCGTGCGATGGGACGGCGAATGGCATTGCAGATACGAAGGTGTATGGTGCGGGAGCGACTCCGCTGTACTTGACGTCAACGGTGAACTACGACTCGAGCGCGAACTCGTGCAAGTCGGGTCTGCCGTCATACGTGACGATGGCGGTTGTCAATGTGGATGCGTGTGCGGCTACGGCTGTTTGCACTGGAAGCTCTGCTCCGTACACGGGTACGTTGTGCAGTTCAACGCTCGCGTACAAAGCTGATATGGCTGCTGCGTTCGGCTCGAACCCGTACGTGATCGTGGTGAAGTACAACGTCGGGAAGTCTTGTGCTGCGGCCGAGCTATCCGGGATCACGACATACCTGGCGGACGGCAAGTGCCACAAGACGGGTGCGTCGAGTAGCTACCGCGCCACGCGTAAGGCTGACGGCTCGGCGACGGTCACGCCGTACACGGATGCGACGTGCACGACTGCCGGGACGGTATTGACAGTGACGGCAGCGCAGGCGACGAACAACGCGTGTGATGGGACGGCGAATGGCATTGCAGATACGAAGGTGTATGGTGCGGGAGCGACTCCGCTGTACTTGACGTCAACGGTGAACTACGACTCGGATGCGAACTCTTGCTCATCTGGAGTACCATCGCTGGTTTCGACCACAGTGGGCAATGTTGATGTTTGCACTACCTCAAGTGGATGCACTGGCCAATCTTCGCCATTTAAAGGGACGTCGTGCAGCTCGGTGTCTACGTATCAAACCGATATGGCTACTGCATTCGGCTCGAGCCCGTATATGATCGTGGAGACCTACAACATCGGGAAGTCTTGCGCTGCGACCGAGCTATCCGGGATCACGTCATACCTGGCGGACGGCAAGTGCCACAAGACGGGTGGGGCTAGCAGCTATGCGGCAACTCGATCTGCTGATGGATCGGCAGTCGTCCAACAGTACACAGACGCTACGTGTGTGACGGCGGGTACTCTGTTGACAGTGACGGTAGCACAGGCGACGAACAACGCGTGTGACGGAACGGTGAATGGCATTGCAGATACGAAGGTGTATGGGAGCGGGGTGACGGCGTCAGTATTTTCATCCGTGTTGACGTTCGACAGTGCTGCCGATAAATGTCTCTCGGGGCTACCCATCCAAGTTGTCACCACTGTTGCGGATGCGAACTCTTGCACAGCGTCGTCAACTTGTAGCGGCCAAGCTGCACCCTACACCGGTACAACGTGTCATTCAATACTCACGTACCGAAATGACTTGGCTGCTGCGTTCGGCTCGAACCCGTACGTGATCGTGGAGAAGTACAACATCGGGAAGTCTTGTGCTGCGGCCGAGCTATCCGGGATCACGACATACCTGGCGGACGGCAAGTGCCACAAGACGGGTGCGTCGAGTAGCTACCGCGCCACGCGTAAGGCTGACGGCTCGGCGACGGTCACGCCGTACACGGATGCGACGTGCACGGCTGCCGGGACGGTGTTGACAGTGACGGCCGCGCAGGCGACGAACAACGCGTGTGATGGGACGGCGAATGGCATTGCAGATACGAAGGTGTATGGTGCGGGATCGACTCCGCTGTACTTGACATCAACGGTGAACTACGACTCGGATGCGAACTCGTGCAAGTCGGGTCTGCCGTCATACGTGACGATGGCGGTTGTCAATGTGGATGCGTGTGCGGCTACGGCTGTTTGCACTGGAAGCTCTGCTCCGTACGCGGGTACGTCGTGCAGTTCAACGCTTGCGTACAAAACTGACATGGCTGCTGCGTTCGGCTCGAACCCGTACGTGATCGTGGAGAAGTACAACGTCGGGAAGTCTTGTGCTGCGGCCGAGCTATCCGGGATCACGACATACCTGGCGGACGGCAAGTGCCACAAGACGGGTGCGTCGAGTAGCTACCGCGCCACGCGTAAGGCTGACGGCTCGGCGACGGTCACGCCGTACACGGATGCGACGTGCACGGCTGCCGGGACGGTGTTGACAGTGACGGCAGCGCAGGCGACGAACAATGCGTGCGATGGGACGGCGAATGGCATTGCAGATAGGAAGGTGTATGGTGCGGGATCGACTCCGCTGTACTTGACGTCAACGGTGAACTACGACTCGGATGCGAACTCGTGCAAGTCGGGTCTGCCGTCATACGTGACGATGGCGGTTGTCAATGTGGATGCGTGTGCGGCTACGGCTGTTTGCACTGGAAGCTCTGCTCCGTACACGGGTACGTCGTGCAGTTCAACGCTTGCGTACAAAACTGACATGGCTGCTGCGTTCGGCTCGAACCCGTACGTGATCGTCGAGAAGTACAACGTCGGGAAGTCTTGTGCCGCGGCCGAGCTATCCGGGATCACGACATACCTGGCGGACGGCAAGTGCCACAAGACGGGTGCGTCGAGTAGCTACCGCGCCACGCGTAAGGCTGACGGCTCGGCGACGGTCACGCCATACACGGATGCGACGTGCACGACTGCCGGGACGGTGTTGACAGTGACGGCAGCGCAGGCAACGAACAACGCGTGCGATGGGACGGCGAATGGCATTGCAGATACGAAGGTGTATGGTGCTGGTGCTAATGTTTTGACATGGGTCTCGGTCGGTGTTTTTGGAAGTAAGTCGTGCAATGCGACTCCAACTCAGATCACGCTGTCAAGTCAGCTGTCGTGCGTGGACGCTGGGTGCTTCGGCTATGGAAGTGGATCACTGTTGTATTCGTGTTCTAATGACTACCTCAAGGCCGCGAAGGACGCGTTTGGCACTACACCATTCATCCTTGTCGAAGTCTTCAAGGATGGAACATCCTGCGGAGTAATGGATGGTGTCATAGCGTACGTTGCGGATACAAAATGCCACCAAACCATCGACAGCGCGTCAAGCTTTACGGTCACCTTGGGCACTGACGGATCAGGGACGATGGTAATGTACGAAGACAAGGAGTGCAAGGATGCTACCCCCTTCACAACCCCATTAACCAAGGAACAGCTCTTGTCGCACCAGTGCCTCGGAAGTAGCAAGTATTATGCTGTCAATACCCCCACCCCACCGACGGTCGCTCCAGTGACTGATCCCCCCACGAAGGCCCCCACCGCAGCCCCGACGGCAGCCCCGACGACGGCGCCAACGACAGCTCCGACGACTGCCCCAACCGGCAGCGGCTCGACGAACACTGGCAACTCAGATTCAGGAGCGGCATCACTGCCTACGGCGTCTACGCTCCTTTCCATCAGCTTGTGGCTGGTCGGATGGATGGCAGCGCTTCTGCTGTGAAAGTGACGCTTCGTCCCCCGCGATGACACCGCGTGCTCGGATGGAGAGCACATCGTTCATGGTGCAGACGCTTTTTTATTTTCATTTTTCATTCTAGCGGATTTCTGTTGGTCGCGACTACTACGGAGCAGGCAGATAGGAAGGTCGACCAGCATGCATAACAACAACACGATTATCATTTGACCAGCAACCATTTAAGTCCTGGCGGGTGCTTCGTTGTTCGTCTGGCAATAGTACTTCGAAGTACTGTACTACACGGGCCGGACGAACTACGAGATGTCGAAGCACCAGCACCAGCTCCAGTTGAACTGTCACGTGGCACGAACGTGTGTGACGAATCGACTCTACGTACGAGTATGCAGCTCATGATGTTGGAGTGCCAACTGCATGGCCCGGCAGTCCGTCGTGTACGGGATCGAGTAGTCCACGAACGAGCCTGCAAGCACCGAGTGGCGTCAATTACCCAGACACGCAAAGCACCCTACATCGCCACGAACCTAGGACGCCCAAGATGGCGAATGGTTTGTAGGATTTCCGCTGGGTGCTGATCATCAGCACCCAGCGCCTGATGGGGATGCCGCAGCAATGCAGCGCATGGCTACATGACTTGGGAGATCTTCCAGCAACAGCAACGAAAAGGACCATTTGCCTTAACAGTGCAAAAGCTATTACTAATATCTATACTTCACATTGAACCATTATTTTTTGTCCTTCAAGACTACATGTACCGCTCACTCAGAACTCGACTTCCCTTGGTTTCGTCATCACCAGCTCGCTCATAGAAAGCAAAGGGGACGCACCCATTCCCATCTCGGTCTCTCGCGCGACCCGGTCCACTTCATGCTTCGCCGATGCAACTGCGAGCACACAGAACATCACCAGGTGTCGAAGGCACCAACCGAGAATCACCAGCGAGTTAAGGGCAATGAAGGTATTCGCCGCGCGAGACAGACCAGCGACTGACAACGTCGACGAAGGGAGGAACGCGAACGCTATCGCCAAGTTTACTATCTTGAGCACCGTCACACCGTACATGACGCACTTGGCACGTGAAGAGTTACTGGAGAATGGTTTCACGATGAACAGCGCCACCAAGAACAGCACATAAAGCCCGATGAGCACGATAAGTATCATCTCACTGTCATCCGCAGCGCCAAGGCAAAGCCCCGTGCATATTTGTAGAGCGACCATCAGCAGAAAGAAGAGTCGGCCTCTGTAGGTGAATTCCGAGTAGAACGCCCCCCAGACTGCGCGTGGACGGAGCTTGCTTAAGCGTCTTTGGTCACGGTGCAGAATTGCCCGGGATACCACAAGAATGCCTCCAAAAATCACGACGACGACGACACCGAATGAGATCAGCAATGGCCAGAGCTCCAGGCTATGTGCCTTGAATTCCATGGACACCTCAAATGACACGACCATACTCAGAGGGAGAAGGGAGAAGAACCAAACGAGAAGGACCAACCCCAAGCAGCGCCACACTACGCCCCTTCTTCCGTTCTGGTTGTGACGCTCACGCCACTTGCTCCATATGCTCGACCCCAAGACAACTCCAAGGAAGAAGCCAATGACAATTGCGAAACCCGCGCACGTGCTAGTTAGCAGATTCATCTCGTCTGTCCCGATCCGATCACCATAACCCACAAGGCCCCCGAGGATAACAGTCATCAAACGCCGTCCAGCCGTAGAATACTCGTCCGTAGCGCGATAAACGAGAAAATTCGCCCACGCAAAAAGGTCTGTGAAGTTCCAGAGGAAATACGGCGTCTTCAGGAGCGTCAACGCCGAAATGGCCGCTATTTGTTGGACGTACTGCGTGTACACGATGAATTCCCAAGAATTAGGAGCCCACAGAGACCCGGGAGGTACATACCGAGCGAAGCCTTCATTGAGCACTTCAAAGTGGAAGACCAGGAGCAAGAGCACTGAGATTACCGCCGCTGAACACACGGAAAAGCGCACTCCGTCTTGAAAGTTTGAGCTATCCGCATATAACTCAGACTGGGCCTCAGCCTGCCACCCACGCTTGCGCCCTCCGATCACAAATGGAGAATTTCCATCACCTCCCTCATTAAATATGTTGCTTCCGTCTTGGTAATCAATTCTACCCGTTGTTGGGTCACCCCGGACGTATTGCTTGGCGTCCTGTGTTACTGCATCCATCGTATCAATGGACATCGTCTCCAGCTTTGTCGAGGACGAGAGTGGGTTCATTTTGGAGGTCCGCTGTTTAGATGCATGATTTCCATCCCCAGAAGCAGTACTTGATCCCTTCTCGGTATACTCTGACATTGCGTTGATCTTTCCGCCGTCACCACCACGAGAGCGCTCATTACCGCCACGAAGGGTCCCAAATAAAGAAACACCCTCTTTTCCCTTATCCGATTCCCTCGGAGTCTGAGGACCCACAGATCGACCATCGATTCCTGCCAAATCAGTCTTACCTGCCATCGATCCCAACAAGATGCCCTTGCCGTTCGACTTGTCCGCATTGCCGGCGGACTCCGACTTGCCGTGACTCGTTGGCTTCGCCTCGTCGGTCGTCGAGCCCGTAGATGACGTCGCGGCCCCGGCCGAGTTGCCCTTGCCGTTCGACTTGTCCGCATTGCCGGCGGACTCCGACTTGCCGCGACTCGTTGGCTTCGCCTCGTCGGTCGTCGAACCCGTAGATGACGTCGCGGCCCCGGCCAAGTTGCCCTTGCCGTTCGACTTGTCCGCATTGCCGGCGGACTCCGACTTGCCACGACTCGTTGGCTTCGCCTCGTCGGTCGTCGAGCCCGTAGATGACGTCGCGGCCCCGGCCGAGTTGCCCTTGCCGTTCGACTTGTCCGCATTGCCGGCGGACTCCGACTTGCCGCGACTCGTTGGCTTCGCCTCGTCGGTCGTCGAACCCGTAGATGACGTCGCGGCCCCGGCCGAGTTGCCCTTGCCGTTCGACTTGTCCGCATTGCCGGCGGACTCCGACTTGCCGCGACTCGTTGGCTTCGCCTCGTCGGTCGTCGAACCCGTAGATGACGTCGCGGCCCCGGCCGAGTTGCCCTTGCCGTTCGACTTGTCCGCATTGCCGGCGGACTCCGACTTGCCACGACTCGTTGGCTTCGCCTCGTCGGTCGTCGAGCCCGTAGATGACGTCGCGGCCCCGGCCGAGTTGCCCTTGCCGTTCGACTTGTCCGCATTGCCGGCGGACTCCGACTTGCCGCGACTCGTTGGCTTCGCCTCGTCGGTCGTCGAACCCGTAGATGACGTCGCGGCCCCGGCCGAGTTGCCCTTGCCGTTCGACTTGTCCGCATTGCCGGCGGACTCCGACTTGCCGCGACTCGTTGGCTTCGCCTCGTCGGTCGTCGAGCCCGTAGATGACGTCGCGGCCCCGGCCGAGTTGCCCTTGCCGTTCGACTTGTCCGCATTGCCGGCGGACTCCGACTTGCCACGACTCGTTGGCTTCGCCTCGTCGGTCGTCGAGCCCGTAGATGACGTCGCGGCCCCGGCCGAGTTGCCCTTGCCGTTCGACTTGTCCGCATTGCCGGCGGACTCCGACTTGCCGCGACTCGTTGGCTTCGCCTCGTCGGTCGTCGAACCCGTAGATGACGTCGCGGCCCCGGCCGAGTTGCCCTTGCCGTTCGACTTGTCCGCATTGCCGGCGGACTCCGACTTGCCGCGACTCGTTGGCTTCGCCTCGTCGGTCGTCGAACCCGTAGATGACGTCGCGGCCCCGGCCGAGTTGCCCTTGCCGTTCGACTTGTCCGCATTGCCGGCGGACTCCGACTTGCCGCGACTCGTTGGCTTCGCCTCGTCGGTCGTCGAACCCGTAGATGACGTCGCGGCCCCGGCCGAGTTGCCCTTGCCGTTCGACTTGTCCGCATTGCCGGCGGACTCCGACTTGCCGCGACTCGTTGGCTTCGCCTCGTCGGTCGTCGAACCCGTAGATGACGTCGCGGCCCCGGCCGAGTTGCCCTTGCCGTTCGACTTGTCCGCATTGCCGGCGGACTCCGACTTGCCGCGACTCGTTGGCTTCGCCTCGTCGGTCGTCGAGCCCGTAGATGACGTCGCGGCCCCGGCCGAGTTGCCCTTGCCGTTCGACTTGTCCGCATTGCCGGCGGACTCCGACTTGCCGCGACTCGTTGGCTTCGCCTCGTCGGTCGTCGAACCCGTAGATGACGTCGCGGCCCCGGCCGAGTTGCCCTTGCCGTTCGACTTGTCCGCATTGCCGGCGGACTCCGACTTGCCGCGACTCGTTGGCTTCGCCTCGTCGGTCGTCGAGCCCGTAGATGACGTCGCGGCCCCGGCCGAGTTGCCCTTGCCGTTCGACTTGTCCGCATTGCCGGCGGACTCCGACTTGCCACGACTCGTTGGCTTCGCCTCGTCGGTCGTCGAGCCCGTAGATGACGTCGCGGCCCCGGCCGAGTTGCCCTTGCCGTTCGACTTGTCCGCATTGCCGGCGGACTCCGACTTGCCGCGACTCGTTGGCTTCGCCTCGTCGGTCGTCGAGCCCGTAGATGACGTCGCGGCCCCGGCCGAGTTGCCCTTGCCGTTCGACTTGTCCGCATTGCCGGCGGACTCCGACTTGCCGCGACTCGTTGGCTTCGCCTCGTCGGTCGTCGAGCCCGTAGATGACGTCGCGGCCCCGGCCGAGTTGCCCTTGCCGTTCGACTTGTCCGCATTGCCGGCGGACTCCGACTTGCCACGACTCGTTGGCTTCGCCTCGTCGGTCGTCGAGCCCGTAGATGACGTCGCGGCCCCGGCCGAGTTGCCCTTGCCGTTCGACTTGTCCGCATTGCCGGCGGACTCCGACTTGCCGCGACTCGTTGGCTTCGCCTCGTCGGTCGTCGAGCCCGTAGATGACGTCGCGGCCCCGGCCGAGTTGCCCTTGCCGTTCGACTTGTCCGCATTGCCGGCGGACTCCGACTTGCCGCGACTCGTTGGCTTCGCCTCGTCGGTCGTCGAGCCCGTAGATGACGTCGCGGCCCCGGCCGAGTTGCCCTTGCCGTTCGACTTGTCCGCATTGCCGGCGGACTCCGACTTGCCGCGACTCGTTGGCTTCGCCTCGTCGGTCGTCGAACCCGTAGATGACGTCGCGGCCCCGGCCGAGTTGCCCTTGCCGTTCGACTTGTCCGCATTGCCGGCGGACTCCGACTTGCCGCGACTCGTTGGCTTCGCCTCGTCGGTCGTCGAGCCCGTAGATGACGTCGCGGCCCCGGCCGAGTTGCCCTTGCCGTTCGACTTGTCCGCATTGCCGGCGGACTCCGACTTGCCACGACTCGTTGGCTTCGCCTCGTCGGTCGTCGAGCCCGTAGATGACGTCGCGGCCCCGGCCGAGTTGCCCTTGCCGTTCGACTTGTCCGCATTGCCGGCGGACTCCGACTTGCCGCGACTCGTTGGCTTCGCCTCGTCGGTCGTCGAGCCCGTAGATGACGTCGCGGCCCCGGCCGAGTTGCCCTTGCCGTTCGACTTGTCCGCATTGCCGGCGGACTCCGACTTGCCACGACTCGTTGGCTTCGCCTCGTCGGTCGTCGAGCCCGTAGATGACGTCGCGGCCCCGGCCGAGTTGCCCTTGCCGTTCGACTTGTCCGCATTGCCGGCGGACTCCGACTTGCCGCGACTCGTTGGCTTCGCCTCGTCGGTCGTCGAGCCCGTAGATGACGTCGCGGCCCCGGCCGAGTTGCCCTTGCCGTTCGACTTGTCCGCATTGCCGGCGGACTCCGACTTGCCGCGACTCGTTGGCTTCGCCTCGTCGGTCGTCGAGCCCGTAGATGACGTCGCGGCCCCGGCCGAGTTGCCCTTGCCGTTCGACTTGTCCGCATTGCCGGCGGACTCCGACTTGCCGCGACTCGTTGGCTTCGCCTCGTCGGTCGTCGAGCCCGTAGATGACGTCGCGGCCCCGGCCGAGTTGCCCTTGCCGTTCGACTTGTCCGCATTGCCGGCGGACTCCGACTTGCCGCGACTCGTTGGCTTCGCCTCGTCGGTCGTCGAGCCCGTAGATGACGTCGCGGCCCCGGCCGAGTTGCCCTTGCCGTTCGACTTGTCCGCATTGCCGGCGGACTCCGACTTGCCGCGACTCGTTGGCTTCGCCTCGTCGGTCGTCGAGCCCGTAGATGACGTCGCGGCCCCGGCCGAGTTGCCCTTGCCGTTCGACTTGTCCGCATTGCCGGCGGACTCCGACTTGCCGCGACTCGTTGGCTTCGCCTCGTCGGTCGTCGAGCCCGTAGATGACGTCGCGGCCCCGGCCGAGTTGCCCTTGCCGTTCGACTTGTCCGCATTGCCGGCGGACTCCGACTTGCCGCGACTCGTTGGCTTCGCCTCGTCGGTCGTCGAACCCGTAGATGACGTCGCGGCCCCGGCCGAGTTGCCCTTGCCGTTCGACTTGTCCGCATTGCCGGCGGACTCCGACTTGCCGTGACTCGTTGGCTTCGCCTCGTCGGTCGTTGAGCCCGTAGATGACGTCGCGGCCCCGGCCGAGTTGCCCTTGCCGTTCGACTTGTCCGCATTGGCTGCGGCTTGTGGGTTGGTTTTGATTTCTTGGTCGTTCGTTGTTGAGTTTCGCTTTTTACTGAGTTGGGTAGATACTACTCCAGCGATTGAGGCTTGGGCGCCACCCCCAATTGCGTTCAATCCAGCGGGACGCAAAATGAATTCACTTCCTTCACTTGAAGGCATCTCCTTGTTTGGCTGTTCGGGTTGAGACGTAGTTTTCGTTACGGTTGAGTCGCCAAGCTTCTCCTTCCTCTCCTTTGAGAAAGTGAGTAACTCGTCGTTCCCGACGTCAGCGATCAATCCTTTATCCGAGGTGGAATCAGCGCTTTCCGCTACAACAGATTCAGTAGTCGATGATGAAGATGCTTCCGGTGCTGCTGACTTTCCTCCACTTGACGGTGGTGTACTTGTAGCTAAAGGCGATTGCGAAGAAATAGGTTCGTTCTCCATCTCTGGAGTATTTTTTTTCCTGTTTTGCGGGGCTTTGGTCAAGTCACTTGCAGGTGCAGCAGTCTCAGTAGTGGTCGTTTGCTCTCCAGAGCTTCTCACTGGGTCTGCAATCGAAGTCGTGATCGGCTGTTGGTGCTTGGTGTCAGCTGCTTCAGGGCTTGAAGTCGCAGCACTTGGGCTTTTCCCATTAGAATTCGCTAGTACGCGTGAGTGCAACCCGATCGGCCTGTCGAATCCATCGCGATAGAAAAACGCGTCGGGATCCTGGTCAAAACTGGCAGCTTGTAGACGCCGATCAAAACTACTCGAGTGGTCACGCGTCTCGTGCAAGAACGCCGCCTCCACGATAACACAACTCAAGGCAGTGATCAAAATCCACCACTGCCAGACGCGGTTCCTTCCTGCCAGTGGCACCGCCATCGCTAGGTGTTTCACTGTTCGCGACGCCGGTGAAAGCGAAAGTGGGCAGCATATTGCTAGTTCGTCAGGCAGCGCGAACGGGTATAGTCGGAGTCAGGAAAGTGGAGCGAACCAAGTCTTTCTACCGATTCTTCCGTTTGCCCCATGGCAATCTGCAGTAACGCTGACTTGATGTTTTTATGAGCATGGGGCCAGTTTGCAGGCAACTTGGTACAAAACTCACAGGAGTCGTTTGCTCGAATAGTCAAACATTCTCCATGATGCTACGCCATGGAAGAGTGTATCCATTGGTAATCCCCATCGGGCCCCCTTGCCTTTCGATAAGACCACTAACAATCGATTCGAGTGAACGTTCATTAGCGATCTTATCGCTTAGGCTAGTCCCAAAACACGTCTTCGTCTGTGGTGGTTTGCATGTCCTTCATAGCGCGCAATCGGGTCAGATGCCGCGCCTGGGCCAGCGAGAGCCGCTCGATGAAGTTGACATTGAACGACGGGATCTGCTTCCGCCTTCCGCCCGAAAGGAAGTTCCTTCCGTTCCCCACGATGGAGCCCATGCGGCCTTCGGACCTCCCAGACCGCCCGTTTCCCATGATGGAGCCCATGCGGCCTTCGGACCTCCCAGACGTGCCAGCTCTCCCAGATGTGCCACTCCTGCTCGTTAATGTCTCCAGTCGATCGCCGAGGCGTGCCTTAAGCACTGCAGCCTGAGCCACCGTCCGGAAGCTCAACTTCTTGGTCTTGAACATCTGCGTCGGTCGGCGGTTCATCTTGGACATCTTCTGGATGTTTTGGGCTGTCTGCATGCGCGATTCACTGATGCGTCGAACGGCTAAGAAGAAGGTGGGGAACCTGTCCACAATGGCCTCAAAATTGTCTTTGCTCAGATACATGAGCTCGCACATACGCTCGGCCTTGACTTCGGCCGTCGTCGGTTGGCCGGTCAGCAGCGAAGTCTCGCCGAAAAACGATCCCTCACCGAGATTACCAAGAGGAATGTTGTCCACCAGTCCTGGTACACACAACGAAACTTGGCCCGTCTTGATGAAGTAGAACTCGCTTGCAACCTCTCCGCACACAATGATGACTTCACCAGGCATGGCCACGACCGGAACGAGACACTGGACGATGGCCACGACACCCGAGTGGGATAACGCCCGGAACAGAGGGACCTTGCGCACGAACTCGGAGTGTAAATTCAGCTTGAGTAGCAATTTAAGGCGGTCGGGCAGGTCAGCAAACAAATTCTCGGTGGGGTCTTGAAGGCGGGTAGTCAACGCGTAGTCGTAGTACCGCCGGATTTTGTTCTGCAGCACGAGCGGCACCTTCTTGAATCGCAGGTAGTCGTTGATCGAGTCCATCTGGTTCTTACGGGCGATCTCCTCCTTGTCCAGATTCGCTAACAGGTTTGCGGCGCTACCAATAATGCTGGCGTTAATGACGATCCCCACGAAGAGCATCACAGAGGTGAACAGCTTCTCGATCGGAGTGGTCGGGTTGACGTCGTTCGCAGTCGTCACCATGATCGCGAAGTAAAAGGCGTCCACATACTGCTGGCCGAGGGAGTTGCTGTGACGTATTTCATGGTTTGGAGCCCAGGTGGTCTCAACGCTTTGGTTCAAGCTGATGTAGTAGTACGTGCACGCGATGAGATGCTGCGAAACGAGGAAGATCACCGTGAGTTTCAGCATCCGCAGCATGGACGGATTCATCGAGCGATCGATGTGACCAGACACGGTACGAACAAGCCCCGAGTCGGATACTTTCGCCACACGAGCCACCTTCAAAATCTTCGAGAGTGTAAGCAGTCCGTTCGTCGTGCCTATGAGCGATGAGGGGAAGCTGCTAACGGCGTCCACGAGAAACCAGCTCTGGATGTAGTTTCGTCGAATCTTGTCAAGGTCTTTGATTTCCTCGCCAGTCGCGTCGTCCTCGTAACTCGTGAAGAAGTTTAGCACCATTTCGATAAGGTAAATGATGTCCACCACTGCGTCGAGAGCGTAGCTGATCCCCGTAGATTGCACTTCAAACCCCACCTTAATAGGCGTTAGAATAATCACGTACGCGATGGACACGGTAATGACGAAATCCCACCAGTGGCGAAACGTTGAGTGAATCGAGATCGTGAGCTGGTTGGCTTTGCGTTTCTGGCTCTGTGCAAGCTGGGTAGCATTCAACACCATCACCTCGCTGTCGACGAGTTCCGCTACCCGCGCCGACCGCTCTTCATCTAGCTTGATCTGCGAGGCCTTCTCAAACATCCGAGACACCGTCTGCTTAAACTTCGACACGTCCTCCATGATCGATGCCGTAACAGTACTGCGCCGCCGGCTTTCAAAGTTGCTGGTACGGCCTGTTGCAGCACTGCTACGACGTCTACTTTCCGCACGGCTGTTCCTTCGCTGATGAACGCTTGAGGGCGCAACTGAGCGCCGCCCATCCGGTTCGTCTTGCACCAGGGAACTCAAGCGCTCTACCAACGACTTCCGCATCGATTTCCCGCGTATAGAAGCATCGGCAACCTTTGAGTCCATCACGTCAGTGAGGTCACCACTGCCGATGGTTTCCAGTTTGTTGTCCACGTGAGGGAATACTTTTCTGGAGTTGCCGTGAGGACCGGAAGAAGCAACTGAAGAAGCATCATCTGCAACACTTGCACCGTCAACATCCACGTCCGATGTCAGTGCTGTGCGTGCTTGTTTCTCCAGGTAGCCTAAAATCTGCTTCTGGCTGCGCGATGGGCGTCGTGTCGATGTCTTCACGGATTTCAGGGTAGCGCTTGCGTTAATAAGCGTGTCAAGTTGCTCCACGTGCCGAAGCACAGCCTCACCTGCTGCTTCAACTTCCTGGATACGGGCCGCCGACGGACCTCTCAGCAACGGGTGGGGCTGGATTGGTGTTGTGGACAAGTTTGTCCCGGGTTTCGATGCAGCTTCTGTTGCTCGTGTACCGGCTTCTTCTGTCGATAATCCCTCCTGTGTCGTCGAGGTCGGAGCTACCGCTGCCGGCGCAGTTGGTGATGATGCTGTCTCCGCCACTATGGCTACAGCAGGAGTTTGACCAACTGCCGTAGTAGGCTCTTCGCTACTTCCTTCCATTATCGCTTGCCAATCAACCCGTGGCTAGAGTCTTCGTGTCGATGGCTGCGCCGTTCCTGGTGCTGTCGTGGCTCGTGCTTAAACACCAAGAGGGATTAACTTGAAGAAGACTTGTGTTCACCACTGGGCATTATCCTTCACGGCGTTCTGTGATGCCTGTACAAGAAGTGTCTGGTACTAGAGCAATCCGTCTACCTCCGTGGAGCTCTTATCGCTGGAACCAGAACGAGTACAAAGTTAGTCTGCACGATGCTATATTGAGATAACCTGGCTGGGCCAATTTCGTAAAGACATCCGTTGTAACTGACACGAATCGTCCAGTGAATACGCCGTGGGCAATTCCACCACAGCACCAGCAAAGACATTTGCACACGAACTTTCACTCCCTACACCAATCGCACCATAACAAAAAAGCAGAAAACAACCTTGAGCTGGGTTATATGACATTACATGTACACTCGAGCGCCATAAGTTTCAGCTTCAAACCCTTCATCAGTCAGAATCAAAATCGGAGTCGGAATCATCGTATCTCTTCACTGGAGGTAACGGAAGCCCTCCGGCTGGCCGAATTGGTGGCGGCGGTAATCCCGGAGGAAGCGGTGGTTGAGCAGGATCCGCTGGTGGCGTCACTGGAGCAGACGGAGCTGCACCAGTCGCATTGGGAGACGGACCTTCCGGGTCCATGCTACAACAAGTAAAAATGCCATCAGCATTGTTCCGGCAAATAGGCAGAAATTGCCGCTAACGGCGTTCGGCCGAGAAACGTACTTGAGAATATCGAGCGTCACGCCGTCCATCATCAACTTGTGTTGAATCACGCCATCCGGCATACCCAGTTTCCGCATTTTAAAGTATCTAGCACAAAATAAACATAATGAGTATCTTCGTCAAACATGCCACCGCAATATAGCCAAAACGAAGTCTCTCACTTTTCAAAGGCCGGGTCGTCCTTCAGCTTCATCACTCCAGAGTCAGCAGCCGGAGGCGCAGGTGCATCAGCTTCAAACTCTTCAATATCATCATCACTGGAACTCTCGAACTCGCTAACTGGCGGCGCAGGTCGCCCAGTCGAAGACGGCGGAGGAGGTGGAGCCGGAGGTCCATCACCAAACAACGACGCCGGTCCACCAACAGAAGACTGCACCCAACACAACAACAACAACATCAATTGCGTCAGTTAAACCCCACGCTCATCACCACCACCAGAACAAAATGAAAAAGATTGCGCACGAACCGTGGGGGAGATCGGCGGCGGGGGCGGCGGGAATGGCATGCCGATGTTGCCTGACGGCCGACGTTCAGTCGTTCGCGGCTCCGAGAGCGATGGCGGAGGCGGTGGCAGCTCCATCCTCTCGTCGTTCTCCGAGTCGCTCTCACCCTCGGATCGTGGCGGAGGTGGCGGCATGATCGGCAAAATGGGTCCCGTGGGCTCCGCGTCCATCGAGGGCGCCAGTCCGCCGCTGGGGGAGGGTCCCTCCGGGTCCATGTTGAGGATGTTGGGGTCCATGCCGTCCATCATGAGCTTGTGCTCGATCACCTGATCGGGGATCCCCAGGCGGCGCATCGTAAAGTACTTGGCGTACACGGGGTCGTCCTTCAGCTTCAACACGGAGGGACCATCACTCTGCTGCTCTTCAACTTCGTCGTCGTCAAAGTCGCCCATGGACGAAGGTGGGGGTGGGGGTAGCGACGCACCGGGGGACGACGGTGGAGGGCGGGGCACTATTAGGGCGCTCTCCATTCCGTCCATGGACGGCGGTGGAGGGGGCGGAGGCAGGAAGCCCTCAATAGAAGCCCCCTCTTCCTCTGGAGGGGGTGGGGGTGGCGGCATCGGCGTCTCATTGGCTGCCGCGGCCTCCATCGACGGCAGGTCTTGGTCTGAGATGCCCAGATCCATCTGGTTCGCGGCTAAATTTAGACTCGCCGCGTCGCCGTCCGCCGCTGCTGCCGCGACCTCCGCATCTGAGACGTTCAGATCTGGAATGCTGTTGAGCTTGGCCTCCAGGATGGCCAATAGGATCTCGACCCGCGTCACGTTGTCCGACACGCGCGCGATCCGCTCCTCGCACTCGTGCGCAAAGTGGTTCAGGAAGCGCGTCGTGTTGGCCACGAAGTTGTTGATGAGCAGCAGCGACTTGGCCGCGGGAATCGGCGGCAGCTGCGACAGGTCCACGGGTAGCTCCGCGTCCTCCTCGGGCGGCGGCGCCGGCGCGGAGGAGGGGGCGGAGGCCGGGACGAGCGCCGACGATGACGGCGCCATGCTTCCGGTCAGGTGAATTGAAGAGTGAAGGAACAGCCAATCAGAGGCCGAGAATTTACTGAATGTTTTTTATCCGTCATTTTTATCCGGCTACTAATTTAGTGTCGGCTGCCAGTTACCCGGGTTTTCCAAGCGAGGTGGGTGGGTTGGAGCACCTCATGGGGTGGATGGGTTATGGCCCATAAAACCCATAACTTATGGGTTTTAGTTTACCTAGCCCCATATGGACGTTCTACAACACCAAACCCGTGATATCCGATCTCAAAACCTCTAACTTACCGGGAGTTCATCCAAGTGTATCACTGTGGCCCCACAGAACTAACCCAAGAATCAAAAGACCTACTCTTTCGTATTGACGATCGTTTGGAGCTGGTCGATGTGTGCTCGGACCTGACGCAGCGCGGCAAGATCACCCAGAGGATGGCCAACCGGTTCCGGAACTGGTGGATCAAACCACTGGCCATATACCATACCGACGTCCGCCACGTGATGCTCATGGATGTCGACGACATTTTCGTTAAGGACCCCGCTCTGCGCGATTTGGAGCCGTACAAGGAGACAGGCACGACTTTCTTCTACGACCGTATGCACTCCACTCCAACTGCGGGGTGTACGTCAACGGCAAAGACGGAGGAGTCCACTACCTGAAGAAGCTGTTCGCCAATTTCAAGTACGAGCAGTTCAATGTAACCGGAGGGAACTCTCCTTCACAGCAGGCGCTTAACTCCTTGCATATAATGGCAAAGCGTGCCACGAAATGGATTCGTCGCTGGTGTCACTGGACAAGGAACGTGCGGGACAGACCGTCATGGACATCATGCTCTGGTTCATCACCAAGGAGCGCTTCCGGTTCGAATACTCGTTTGGTGACAAGGTAAGCTGCATACTTGTTCTACTCACGTTTTGGCGTATCTAATAGTGCCACCATTGCTACTGATAGGAAACGTTCTGGTTGTCATTCGAGATGGCTCATGCGCCGTACGGGTTCTCTCCTTGGGGCGTCAGTGTGGTGTCTTCGTGGCCCAACAGGGACATGAAGACGCACCCGAACACGCTTTGTGGCAGCATTTTGCAGTATCTGCCGGACAGCAGCGCCGATCCTCAAGTGTTGTACGTGAATGGCAAGGCGCTGCTGGATCCGTATCCAGAAGGTGTCAACTCTGGGGCAAAGACGCAGAGGAACAACATGTTCAACTCTCTCCCGACGCACATGACCCCACGCCTTCCCCGGACACAACTCAACATGACTGATGCAGGTGCTGTTCGGAAGGAGAAAATGTACCAGGAATGCCTCGTCGGGTTAGGAGCAACGCCATTGCCCGAGTCGTTTGCTGGTCGACTGTTGCGTCGCCGTCTCCACTTCTTGGGGGCAATGACTGGTGTCCTCGGCTCGCTTGAGCTCTGCGGGACGTTCGAACTACCCAATTGATAGATAGTTTTCTAATCGAGCCAAGGGTCTAACTAGTGAAAGTAAATATCGCTATCGCTAATAGTTCGTCGTGTTGCTTCCCTCATCAGCAATGGTCGAGTTGACACCGAGAGGCCTCACTTGGTACTGGTACTTCTGCGACGCCTTGCGCGATGCATCTTGAGTCATGTTGGTCTCATTCTCGCTGGCATTCGTCAGGTTCGTGAGGTTTGTATTGTTGATCTTCGACATCGGGACCATGCTGTTCCTGCTCTTCATACTGTTCCCGGTGTTAGTACCAGTAGTAGAAGAATTGGTGACCTCCTTGAGTCGGAAGAGCTTGGGCACGAGCATCAGGCCCATGATCAGGATCGTGCAGATGATCAGCGCCAGCGCGAGGAACACGTAGAACGTCGACGCGCGCATGGTGACGAGGTACGTCATGGGCATGATCACGAGGCAGCCCACTAGCACCACCACGACCGAGCCGAAGATCCACGGAGACTCCTGGAAGTCCACTGACACGTTGCGGATGAGGAATGACAGGTAGAGCCCCAGCACGAGCAAGATGGCCTTCCAGAAGATGAGCAGCGCCGTGAAGATGAAGCTGGACGAGCTGCACGAGATGCGGTCGACGGTGCCCCGGAACTCGGTGGCCTCTTCCGTCGTGGCGGTGGGCTCCGGGAAGTCGGCTCCGAACCACGCGACGAAGATGACGATGTCGCCGACGTAGAAGATGGAGAGGATCTTGAGGATGCGGAACAGCGTCACCTTGACGCGCTTCATGGCCGAGCGCATGAACACGCGGTAGACGCGCAGAGACTTGATGACCAAAGAGCCGAAGATGGTGGTGAAGCCCATGCAGATGAGGACTGGGCGAACTCCGCAGAGGAACCGCGAGGGCCGACCAGCATACGCGATGGCTGCGCCCGTCGTGAAGAAGCCGCCGAAGATCATCAGGAGCAGCATTTCGAACTGCGAGCGGCGGATGATCGGCGCGTTGCGCTGCTTGAAGACGACGATGATGGCCACGAAGAGCAAGACGAACACAATCAGCGCGAGGACCGTCAGCGCCGCGAAAGTCGGGGACGACGTGGGCATGTACTCGCAGTCGATCACTACGGCGTCCGGCAAGGTGTCTCCGCCTGAACATTCAGCCGAGTACTGCGCGTTCGAGGCGTACGGGAGCTTCCAGAAGTAGGTCACCGTGCGGTGCGTGTCGGAGTCGCAGTCGGACACGTTGTAGTCGTAGAAGGTGGAGTCGCACGAGGGCTTCGTGTCGACCCAGCCCGACCAGATCCGCCGGTTCTCGAAGATCCAGTCGCACGATCGACTCGTCTCGATGGTCTCCGGTAGGACGTCCACGCCTCCGTCGCAATTGTTGGGCAACGCTGCATTCCCAGGGTTTGGCGACCTCCAAGCGAACTGAATTTCGCGGATGGTGCTGTCGTTCTCGCAGCCGGTGACGTGATCAACGATGTGGTCTTCAAATGTACACAGAGGAAGTCGGTCCATCCAGTCGCTCCAGATGTCGTAGTTCGCCTTCACCCAGTTGCATGCTGCGCGAAAGTATGGTTCAGGTTCAGCAGTGTCAGCCATCGCAGTGTTGTACTCAGCGAAGAGGTCGTTAATGCCTGTATCGGACAGTTGGCAGGTCTTTGACAATTGAAGCGGCAAACTTCGATAACTGCAAGCTCGGGTTGTCGACGTCGAGGGGATTATCCGTCTTCTCACCATAGCCATGCTCACCGTAGTCTCCTGTTGGCAGTTTCACGCGTGCAGGGTCTGTACGTGGCAGAAACACCCTGTCGAACTTCCCCTTGTGTGTTACGTGGAAGAGGGTCGGGCTCGTAGTGGTAGAACAGCACTGGAGCCCAGCTTGCAGCTGCGTCAGATGCGTACTTGTTGACGCCTCCGTACCCGATGAAGCAAAAGTAGGCTGGAATGTCCAGAAATCGGGGTAGAATGGCGGCGTTGCACTAGTCCCGTCCTGCACGAATTGGTGCGTGATGTAGACCCCAGAAAGCCCAAAATACCCAACTCCGCCAACTTCATAGCTTTCGTTCGAGAACACTTGCAGATCCGACATTGTACTGGAGGTCCATACTTCGATGTTCAAATGCGTTGGAGTGCAAACACCAGCCACAGACGACATCCGCTCGGTGATTTCCACTCCTAAACCGGCTTTGCTGATCGAAACCTTGTAGTCGCTCTGGAATCCACGTAGGAATCGGATCAGTCGAACATTGCTTATTCTAATACATCGATGCAAACATTTAAACTGCACGTACCACTAGTCTTCCGCGATGATCGCAACTACTAGCGTAGCGAGTGCGTGTGTGTCCCAGTCACACAGGTCGAGGGCAAGCGTGCCGTTTACCTCGCCACGGTCTCTGCCTTGTGCATCTTGGTCAGCGCCATAGAAAATGTTCTATGCGTTGCTCATGCAAGAATCCTTGAAAGCATTGCCCGACGCCGTTCGTGGATCGTCGACCTTGGCACAAAATCTGAGTATGATACGCTTAGATCAAGCATGCCAGAACTACAGCAACAAACAGAGACTCCGCACCGTGTATCGAGGGTACTTGAGCGCTGGTTGGAGAAAAGGGTAAACGAGTCGGCCACTGGAGTCGCGGTCTTTGCTGGAGATGCCGCGTTCGGATTCGACTTTCGCCACCCACGCTGAATCAAGGCACGTGCCGAGGAAGCGGTTAGGACCAAGGGGGTATGTTGCTGCGTTGACGAGCTCTGTGTAGCACTGACGGTAGCATAGCGTGTAAAACAGCGGCAATAGCAACGTTTTGGACGTGAACATGATCAGCGAAGATGAGGTGATTCGAGCCTTCCTCACACTGTTGATTTCCAGCTCAAGTTTTCTCAAGTGAGATTATAGGCACTGGAGTAGTGAGAACCAGCCAACTACTGTATAGGAAGAAACGGGGAAGGCCGACTGCGATGTTGCAGTCTGACTGAACACAGCTAAGGCCCAAGCACAAAACTGACGATGGCGTTGAAGTCCATGACTGAGAAATACATCGCGTGGGCGACGCTATTTCCGATGGCAAAACTACTGCAGTAGCAAAATAGTAGCACACCATCGCATCAAGCAGACCAAGTCCCACGATGAAATTAGAGCGAGCACGGGCCACAATGGTTTCGATCTCCGACTTCCTTTCTCTGACCAAAGACGGATTCACTCACGTGGTCCGAATGCGCCAACATTCGTGGGGTTCTCCAACGAGGCTGATTAGTGCTTCGTTGCAATGGAGACACGATACACACGGGCTTTCAGTCGGTTCGGCACACACTCGTGGTTGTTTCTTGAAGTGGAGGTGTCTAAAAATGAAGCATGTCCTTAGCATCATCCTCGCTGTTGAGTTGAGTCAAAAACAGCAAAAGGTCCCTCACACACGATGTGTCAGCTACGTTTTCAAAAGCTGGGTTTGGTCGCCACTTTCATAACGGTCGCCAATTGCTGCCTTCGTCGACACCTGGGAAAACGCACAGAGGTCAGACGCACACGAGTTCAAGACAATCCTACATATAATGTGCACTAACCTTACTACAAAATTTCCATTACAGATCACAACCTTTTGACGTTGCTGAAAGCACGTTTTGATAAGAAGAAAAAAATCATTTCCAGAAGCTCAAGAAAGCTAAGTCAGCGTTGCCGTTCACTGACCACCCACAATCCGCAGGTGGGCTCAACAAAATGATCCAATCTGTACGAGCACCAGAGTAGCGTGGTCGCTTCAGGGAAGCTACTTGGGAGGATGCAATATGCAGTGACTAAAATCTCAAAGATCGTTGCGTTAGCTCGTTGTCAATGCACGTATCAAGATACTCATGCAACTCAGAATGAGAGGGGGTCAGAAAACAAAGTTGCTCATCCGTTGCCAAGAAAGAAAGAGAGTCAGGAGCGTCGTGCAAGTGCAGGCTGGGCTATTCCTGCCTTGCGCTGTTTCGCAACCGACACTTCAAGCGAGTACATTCTGACCGCCCACTTTGGACACTCTTGAAGCCTGTTCCCCGCCCACATCCTCGGCGATGGTGTGGCTTTTGCTGCTCTTCGCGTCCATCGGATGTGTCACCACTAGGGCGTACCCCGTCGGACCCAACCGATTTCTCGGCACGTGTCTCGACGCAGCATGGGTGGCGAAAATGGAGACCGAGCTCGGCGTGTCCAGCAAAGCCCGCGACACCAGTGGAAGGCTCGTGTACCCTTTCCTCCAGACAGCACTCAAGTACCCTCGATACACGGTGCGCCACAGTCTCTCCATGCTATTCTTCGGCAGCGGCGGGTACTTATGACTCTTTTGGTACAGGTCGATGATCCTCGAACCGCTACAGGAGCCGCGTTTACCGACGGCTGCATGCCTGAAGGAAATGCGTTTTACGGCGCCGACCAGGATGCTGACGGCAAAACTCGCGGTGACGTGAACGGCACCCTCGTCTTGGACATCGGGGACTGGGACACGCATTGGCTTGCATCCTTGGTGGTGGCAATTCTCGCCGAAGAAGTGGTGCGCAAACCCCCACAACCTATTTTAGCGGAAGTGCCTATCTAAACCTTTTCTGTGAATCCTCTGTGTAGATCGGGTACAAGGTTTCTATCAGTGTGGGAGGAGAGAGCAGCGACGTCACGCAGCGCATGTCATCGGTGAAGACGGGCGTTTGCACCCCAACCCACGTGAATACCGAGGTCTGGACCTCCAGCTCCATGTCAACGTTGAAGATCTACTCGAACGAGAGCTACCTTGTCGGTGGAGTCGGGTACTACGGGCTTTCGGGGATCTACACAACGCACAAACTTGTCGAGGATGGCGCGGCAGCGAATCCGCAGTACTACCCAGGCTTCTGGATGCACTACAGGTCGAGTGACGCTCTCATCAACGCGCTGAGCGTGACGGCGTTCAAAAACAACGCAGCCTACTACCCTCCCGCTAAAACTTACTGTGCGGACAATACGTTGGGATGCAGAAATAATTGCTCTAAGTCAGAGGCATGTGAACAACGCGAAAGTGCAGGGGGGACTTGCTTGGTGCTGGCCATGATGACAACCGGTTTCGACAAAGGTTACTTCCAAGCGGTTCTCTCCAACCTCGAGATCCCTGCGTACTTCTGCTTTATCGGCTATGGAGGCGTGACCAAGTACGCGTCCGACGCAGCCGCAAGCGGGGATCCGATTTTGTTCTACCATTACGAACCCGATTTGTTCCACGTGACGCACAAAGGCAAATTCGACCGAGTGTTTCTGCCGCGTACAGACCCCGAACGAGTCAAATTATCCACGGGGGACTACGGTGAACACGGCTACGGTGGCAAGACCGACAACCCGGTCGACGTCGACTATCCCAGCTTGCCGCTCTCCAAGTTTGCCGCCTTGGTCATCAAAGACCAGCCTATTGGGTCAATATTCTTCAAATTTCTGCTCTCTGACTCGGACATCAACGACCTGCTCGGCAAGTACAGCAACGCTTTGAGTGCGAAGGAAGCCGAGCCGTACTTCAGTGGAGCATGCGACTGGGTGAAAGCGAACTACGACATCTGGAGCGACTGGATGGACCGACTTCCTCTGTGTACATTTGAAGACCACATCGTTGATCACGTCACCGGCTGCGAGAACGACAGCACCATCCGCGAAATTCAGTTCGCTTGGAGGTCGCCAAACCCTGGGAATGCAGCGTTGCCCAACAATTGCGACGGAGGCGTGGACGTCCTACCGGAGACCATCGAGACGAGTCGATCGTGCGACTGGATCTTCGAGAACCGGCGGATCTGGTCGGGCTGGGTCGACACGAAGCCCTCGTGCGACTCCACCTTCTACGACTACAACGTGTCCGACTGCGACTCCGACGCGCACCGCACGGTGACCTACTTCTGGAAGCTCCCGTACGCCTCGAACGCGCAGTACTCGGCTGAATGTTCAGGCGGAGACACCTTGCCGGACGCCGTAGTGATCGACTGCGAGTACATGCCCACGTCGTCCCCGACTTTCGCGGCGCTGACGGTCCTCGCGCTGATTGTGTTCGTCTTGCTCTTCGTGGCCATCATCGTCGTCTTCAAGCAGCGCAACGCGCCGATCATCCGCCGCTCGCAGTTCGAAATGCTGCTCCTGATGATCTTCGGCGGCTTCTTCACGACGGGCGCAGCCATCGCGTATGCTGGTCGGCCCTCGCGGTTCCTCTGCGGAGTTCGCCCAGTCCTCATCTGCATGGGCTTCACCACCATCTTCGGCTCTTTGGTCATCAAGTCTCTGCGCGTCTACCGCGTGTTCATGCGCTCGGCCATGAAGCGCGTCAAGGTGACGCTGTTCCGCATCCTCAAGATCCTCTCCATCTTCTACGTCGGCGACATCGTCATCTTCGTCGCGTGGTTCGGAGCCGACTTCCCGGAGCCCACCGCCACGACGGAAGAGGCCACCGAGTTCCGGGGCACCGTCGACCGCATCTCGTGCAGCTCGTCCAGCTTCATCTTCACGGCGCTGCTCATCTTCTGGAAGGCCATCTTGCTCGTGCTGGGGCTCTACCTGTCATTCCTCATCCGCAACGTGTCAGTGGACTTCCAGGAGTCTCCGTGGATCTTCGGCTCGGTCGTGGTGGTGCTAGTGGGCTGCCTCGTGATCATGCCCATGACGTACCTCGTCACCATGCGCGCGTCGACGTTCTACGTGTTCCTCGCGCTGGCGCTGATCATCTGCACGATCCTGATCATGGGCCTGATGCTCGTGCCCAAGCTCTTCCGACTCAAGGAGGTCACCAATTCTTCTACTACTGGTACTAACACCGGGAACAGTATGAAGAGCAGGAACAGCATGGTCCCGATGTCGAAGATCAACAATACAAACCTCACGAACCTGACGAATGCCAGCGAGAATGAGACCAACATGACTCAAGATGCATCGCGCAAGGCGTCGCAGAAGTACCAGTACCAAGTGAGGCCTCTCGGTGTCAACTCGACCATTGCTGATGAGGGAAGCAACACGACGAACTATTAGCGATAGCGATATTTACTTTCACTAGTTAGTCCCTTGGCTCGATTAGAAAACTATCTATCAATTGGGTAGTTCGAACGTCCCGCAGAGCTCAAGCGAGCCGAGGACACCAGTCATTGCCCCCAAGAAGTGGAGACGGCGACGCAACAGTCGACCAGCAAACGACTCGGGCAATGGCGTTGCTCCTAACCCGACGAGGCATTCCTGGTACATTTTCTCCTTCCGAACAGCACCTGCATCAGTCATGTTGAGTTGTGTCCGGGGAAGGCGTGGGGTCATGTGCGTCGGGAGAGAGTTGAACATGTTGTTCCTCTGCGTCTTTGCCCCAGAGTTGACACCTTCTGGATACGGATCCAGCAGCGCCTTGCCATTCACGTACAACACTTGAGGATCGGCGCTGCTGTCCGGCAGATACTGCAAAATGCTGCCACAAAGCGTGTTCGGGTGCGTCTTCATGTCCCTGTTGGGCCACGAAGACACCACACTGACGCCCCAAGGAGAGAACCCGTACGGCGCATGAGCCATCTCGAATGACAACCAGAACGTTTCCTATCAGTAGCAATGGTGGCACTATTAGATACGCCAAAACGTGAGTAGAACAAGTATGCAGCTTACCTTGTCACCAAACGAGTATTCGAACCGGAAGCGCTCCTTGGTGATGAACCAGAGCATGATGTCCATGACGGTCTGTCCCGCACGTTCCTTGTCCAGTGACACCAGCGACGAATCCATTTCGTGGCACGCTTTGCCATTATATGCAAGGAGTTAAGCGCCTGCTGTGAAGGAGAGTTCCCTCCGGTTACATTGAACTGCTCGTACTTGAAATTGGCGAACAGCTTCTTCAGGTAGTGGACTCCTCCGTCTTTGCCGTTGACGTACACCCCGCAGTTGGAGTGGAGTGCATACGGTCGTAGAAGAAAGTCGTGCCTGTCTCCTTGTACGGCTCCAAATCGCGCAGAGCGGGGTCCTTAACGAAAATGTCGTCGACATCCATGAGCATCACGTGGCGGACGTCGGTATGGTATATGGCCAGTGGTTTGATCCACCAGTTCCGGAACCGGTTGGCCATCCTCTGGGTGATCTTGCCGCGCTGCGTCAGGTCCGAGCACACATCGACCAGCTCCAAACGATCGTCAATACGAAAGAGTAGGTCTTTTGATTCTTGGGTTAGTTCAGTGGGGCCACAGTGATACACTTGGATGAGCTCCCGGTTACCGAGACACCGCAGCTCTCGGATGAGCGACACGCCCATGGCCAGCACTCCGTTGTGGATGCACATCAAGACCCCGCGGTCGCGAGGCACAGTCGAGTCAAACTGCTCCCCGCGCTGGTAGAATGGGGGCTCTGGATGAAGCACCTCGAAGTTGTCGCCATCGTTCCGAAGGAAGGACTTTTGGGGGCTTCTCGCTCGGCCGGAGCCGTCGTAGACGTCCATAATACTCACCATGAGCACGCTGTAGCCGACGATCAGGGGTAGAAGCAGCAAAAACCACCTTCGCTTGCCAATGACGGCTTTAGGCAAAGACAGCATCGTGCTCGTCTCAGCGGATGAATTCGGAGTGTGAGCTTGAAAAAATAATTTGGCTTGGGCGTTACCAAGTCATGGGATGATGGCGGCATGATGGTCGAGTCGAGGTGTTTCACTTTCACTGGTTCTTGCGACGATTGATCAAGCTACGCAATCGCAATCTCATGGGGACGGATGAAACTAGTTTCAGCGTGCCGCACTAACTTGTACTTGCAGATTTGATTTCGTGTGGATCTGTACACGTACAAAGCCAAGAGCTTCATATCCCTCTCTCCAACTTTATGAAAACGCAACAGCATGCTTGGAAGTAGAGATCATATCGCAGGTTTGCAAGGCAGCTAAGCACACTGCTAGCTGCGCTTACCGCCCGCCGCCATGTGCTTCATTTGTGCTTTGTTAGATTCTCACAGTGCCGCCAACTCAAAATGACGGCACACAAATTGTATATGCGGCTACAGAAGGCCCTACTCGCGCGACACAAACAGCGGGCCGAACACCAACACCGTCGTGGACAGCAACTTGATGACCACGTGCAGGGCCGGACCAGCAGTGTCCTTAAACGGATCACCCACCGTGTCACCAGTGACCGCGGCCTTGTGCGCTTCGCTTCCCTTGCCTCCGAAGTTGCCCAGCTCCACGTACTTCTTCGCGTTGTCCCAGGCTCCGCCCACGTTATCCAGGAACAGAGCCATCATGATGCCAGTAACCGTGCCGAACATGAGGTAGCCAGCCAGGGCCTCAGCTCCCAGCAGCGGCTTGCCCTGATACTCTCCAATCTACACATCAAAATTGTGCACAATAGTCAGCATCAAACACGATGTCACTCTAAAGCAAAGTTACGTACCACGCGGAAGACAATGCCAACAGATACTGGCATCAGCACCGCCAGCAGGCCCGGGAAACGCATTTGCTTCAATGCTGCCTTGGTGACCAGCGCAACGCACGTTCGGTAGTCGGGTTTGGCCTTGTACTCCATGATTCCCGGATAAATCTCGAACTGGTGGCGCACTTCATTGACAACCTCACCAGCGGTCTCACCCACAGCGGCAACAGCGAGGCCCGTGAAGAAGAACACCATCATCGTGCCCAAAAGGCCACCAACCAGGACCTCGACCGTCGCAATGTCCACCGTCTTGAACTCGCGACCAGCGAACTCGGAGAACTCGTCCATAAATGCACCGAACAGCACGAAGCAAGCCAGAGCAGCCGAGCCGATCGAGTAACCCTTCGTAATAGCCTTGGTAACATTGCCAGCAGCGTCCAACTTGTCCGTGGCGTCTCGCACATAGTCCGGCTGACGACTCATCTCAGCAATGCCACCAGCGTTATCCGCGATTGGCCCGTAGTTGTTCATAGCCAACACAAACACCGCAGAAGACAACATGCCCATAGTCGCCACGGCCGTTCCAAACAGTCCCGCGTGCCGGTTGCCCTGGCCACCGATGCCGGAGCCGGCACCCAAGTGATAAGCAGAAATCACGGCGAAGCTCACCATGAGCGTGGGCACAACAGTCGACTTCATGCCCACCGCCACGCCGGTAATTATGTTCGTGCCATGGCCCGTGGTGCTGGCCTTGGCGATACTGCGCACGGGCGGGTGCGCGTAGTCCGTGTAGTACTGCGTTGACTTGACGAACACGTAGGCCGTGAGCATGCCGACAACGCCACAGAGGAAAAAGTTCATCCACGCCGTGGGGTACTCGGGCGTGTACAGCAGCCAGCGCGTGGTGAAGGCAAAGCCCACCAACGCCAATGCCAGTGACACATTGTATCCCGTCTGCAGCGTAGCCATCGGGTTGTGATCGGGACGCGAAGCCTCAACGTCCGAGGGCGCTCTCACCATCAAAATGCCGGCGCTGCTCACTGCAATGTCGAACGCGTGCACAACCACAGGGAAGAACACAAAGGCGATCGGGTACGGCAGCTGAGCCTCACGGGCCAGAGTGCCGCCCAGGATCATGGCTCCAATGATCTCGGCCGCGACGGATTCAAACACATCGGCACTGCTGCCAACGCAGTCACCCACCATGTCTCCCACCAGGTCGGCGATCACCGCCGGGTTGCGCGGGTCGTCTTCGGGGATGCCCACCTCCACTTTGCCCACCAGATCTGCCCCCACATCGGCCGCCTTGGTGTAAATGCCGCCTCCCAGCTGCATGAACAGAGCCACAAAGGACGCGCCGAAGCCGTAGCCGACCATGAGCAGCGGGATCTCCGTCGGCCGGAGCAGCGAGCCGAACAGCATGTACAGCGTCAGGTACAGCGTGCTGACGCCGCCCACGCAGAGCGTGATGTCCAGCACGGCTGAGAACGCGCCGCCCCGGAAGCACACGAGCAGCGCCTCCCCGTAGCTGCCGCGCGCGGCGCTGGCAACGCGGATGTTGGACCTGGCCGAGACCCACATGCTGACGTAGCCCGCGGCCGCCGAGCAGACGGCGCCCACCAGGAAGGCGGCGGAGGCCACGAGCCCGAGCGTGAAGTTGCCGAGCTTCTCGACGCCCGAGCCGAGCGTGCTGCTGGGGCGCAGCGCGTAGCTGAAGAAGATGAGGCCGGCGATGGCCACGGCGATGCGCGCGATGGCCGAGTACTGGATGCGCAGGAAGCCCTCGGCGCCCTGGCGGATGGGCGTGGCCACCTCCTTCATCTCGGCCGAGCCCGCGTCCTTGGACAGCACCCAGTGCGACAGGTAGAGCGCGAAGGCGGCGCCGTAGCCGCAGATGGTGAACACGAGGAAGATGGGGCGGAAGCTGCCGCCGAACAGCAGCAGCAGCGCGCCCAGCGCCGAGATGCCGATGAGCGCCGGCTGCAGGTCCAGCGAGCGCGCGTAGGCCAGCGCGGCGGAGGCGCTGCCCGCCCCCATGTCCATGTCGTCCAGGTCCGGGTCGGAGGCGGCGCCGCCCGTCAGCGGGTCGGACGCGGCGTCCGGGAGGCCGAACTCGATGTCCACGGCGGTCGGCGGCTTCTCGAGCATCTTGTGGGCGCGGCAAAGCGCGGAGCGAGGCGCAGCGAGCGTGTACGGGGAGAGTAAGGGAAGGAGGAGACGCTGGGGGCAACAGCGAGCGCCGGAAGAGCTGCGCGCGGCGGCGAATGGAGCAGGTCCGACGTCCCTGCCTGGGGCTCGCAGCGAGTGACTGACACGCGGATACAGTCGGTTGATGTGCCGCATCAGATCGTACTTAGATCGCACTTAGTACATATAGCTTCAACCAGCTGGTTTATGTAGACCTTTGTAAAACCTAGCGGAATTTCCATAAATCAGTGATTTTCACTGAGATTTGACAAAATGATTGTGACAGTTTGCCTGACGCAGGTATAGTAGTATAGTACTGGCACGTCCATACAATTTCCAAGTCAAATTTGGAACTATAGTAATACTACAAATAGTACACGTGGGTAGCGTGTTACCTACAAAAATACTATATAAAATAGTAGTGCTTGGTGGTTTTACGTTTTGCACTATATTGTGCCTTTTACTAATTCTGCCGTGATAATTCTGGCATAATTCTAATCCCTTCTCGGCTCTAATTATGCCCTGAGTTAGCTAATTCCCATGTTAATTACGGGTCGTCCTACCGCGGTCGAATTAAGAGCGGCGATGGTGAGGCCGAGTTAAGGCGGAATAAGCTAATCCAGCCTGAGTTAGACGGAAACAGAGCGATTGGCGGTTTGCTACCCGCCAATCCATGCCATTCTGCTCGTACAGTCAAACCTGTTTATATGATCCTCTCTATTTGAGCCATGCCGTTAATTTGATGCAGGCTTTGTCGCTACCAAATATTTCACTTAGTTTTTGTATGATCTCTGTTTATATGCATACAAGGTATATGAGTCACATTTTTGGGGACCAAATTAGGTCTCACCTGTTTATTTGATTCACACCACACACTCTTCAAAGCATCACTGCTCAACACTCAACGCCTACCGCAAGCCTTCTTCGCTCGCCATGTCTCCTCGCACCTGTCTGACGCTAGAACAAAAGCTCCAAGTGCTTAAGCAGAATCCTGGCATGAACAACCCCATGCTCGCCGAGTGGATCAACGCAACTTTCAAGGCCTGGGTCAGCCGTGCCACACTCGCCCGACTGCGCAACCTGCCTTCTTCCTACTTCAGCCACGTCGACCTGAGTGCGACCAAGCGGCGCCGAGTGAAATTCCCTCAGTTCGAGCGGAAACTGAGGGAATTTTTCTTTCAGAACGAAGCTAAAACGGCGATGGCGGACGACGTGCTCCTGCTGAAGGCGCATGAGCTGGCGGAGCGCTTAGGAGGAAGAGGAGGAACAGGAACCCGCAGTTCAACCTGCCATTGCTCTGAGACACTGCATGGAGCTGGCTGCATTTCTGCTGCAATGCGGAGAGCAGACTGACAGAGAACGAAGAGCTTTACAGACCGTGACCGCTTTGGTTCGAGAGACTACGGTGAAGGCAAAGCGGCAGCGAACTATGCACGATTTCTTTACGTGCACCACATAATTTTTTAACTGAGTCCATTTTATATGAGTCATTGTAGTAGATGGTCACCAACAGGGCCTCATATAAACAGGTTTGACTGTATCTCCGCCGATTGGCTCGCAAATGCTGATCGCGTGGGTTAGGGGAAGCACTCACAATCATAGGCGGAATTAACACTAAATAAGCGTTGGTCGTCCTTTTATGGATCTAATTCCGCCTGATTTAACAGCTCACCCGCCAAAATAGGTGAAAGGCACAATACAAGTTGTCTGTTAATCTGCACTAATATTGAAGCAACTTTATTCGTTGGTCGTCTTGAGGACTTAACAAAATACAAGGGTCTAAGCTTCTCCACTATTGTTTTGCATCTGCCCTTCCGCCGACATAACCCAGCTTTTTCGCGATAGAACAAAGTGTATAAGCTCAACGGACCCAGGAGATGGTGCATTCCCTAAAATAAAATTGTCATTTGGTTTTCATGCATCCATAATAGCTTTAGATAAAATAGGTTATCTTCAATAGACCAAGGTTATGTGAAGCCAAGTACCCAGTCCTATTAAAGTGACAAAGTAGCAATAGGATAGCCTTGCGGAATACCAACCGCTCCAACCTCCTCTACAGGTCCTTCGTCCACGGATCCTGCAAACTCAGGAATGAGCCGCGTTCGAGTTGAGCGAGATTGGGCTTTTCGAGTTGATTAAGAGATTCTGATGTGAGATCTTCACCTTCATCAATTCATATCTTAATTTCTGAGTCTAGAACCTTCTAAATAGTTAAAACCCAACTTTAACGGGAGGCTTCATCTGATCGGCTTCAAACGATCGGATTTGGGCTGCGCTAGCAGCTTTACTGCTATCCCAGAATAAATGTAGTTTGGAAATAGAGACATCTTACCAAAACAAATAAATGCAGTTCGTGTGAACATCTCGTTGAGGATGACATTATACCGTGTTGCAGCAACTTGCGCATGCTTATAACAGCAAACACTGTTCGTACTGGTGCACGTATTTATTTCATATTGCGCAAAAAATGCGATGCTCAGTTAATTATTCCAGATAGAATACTCGGTATTTCCGGCGAAGACGGAAATTAAGTTTTCCTGGAAGAAGGAGAGGGCCACGTTTGTCAAGGCTTCGCGCTCCTGATCGCTGTGCAACTCGGCCAACACCTCAAGCCGTCAAGTCACAGGCGGGTCAGCTGGCAACCGGGTTTGACCCACGGTTCTGACCCGGTTGTTGTAGGATAGAAATAGCAGTCGTTCTTGGAGGAGTTGCCTGGCCATTCGCGGTCTCGCGTCGACGGGCACAAGCGACTCAGGCACGGCCAGGAACTCCAAGCACCGGCACGACGCCGCGTGCGCCATCAGATTTTTAGACCCACCACACCACTCCCTAGGCTGCCTCAGCTCGGCTCACTCATGAGCCTCGCCGAGGCTTGCCTTCGATAACCAAGGCCGTACTGCTTTGCCCCCCCCCAAACTGGTCCTCGCATGTAAAGGAAGGAAACAGTGGTTATTTGGGCTTTCTTAGCCCTGATCGTTAGCTAATAGCTTCGCGAACTACTTGGAAAAAGAGCTACGAAACAGCGGGTTACAGTTATGCAATTGTAAATATTGCGATATCCCCAGTCGGGCACTTTGCTAGGACAAACCGAAAAAATGCTACGATAAATCCGAAATTTACGGAAGTAAAGTATTGTGTACCATATTTTTTGTCCTAGCGGTCCGTCTAGGACAAAATTTGTGGTGTACTATACTGAAATCAAGTAAAAAACGATTTTGTCCTCCCGTTTGTCCTCGCAAGAGGGGCGACTGGGGTTATGGTGACTACTACTAGTATATTGACGACTCGTAGAGTAATGGATGCCCACCTGCAAACATTGTGTGCGCCGCAAGGTTTTCGGTTCATATTAGTTTAGTATGTTGGCTCCCAACGGTACTCAGTTCTCGCAAGTCTCTTACCGCGGCAACTCTGCTCAGTTGTGAAGGGGAGAATCATATCCACGCATACTTAAGTACTTAGGTAGACTATAGCCTTCGCCGTGGTGTCTTTCTCCTTCACATCGACTCGCGGCTTACGCAACGAGATATTGTCGGTTCACAACGGAATAACATAGCAATCTAAAGGCTGCACAAATACTACTATATTATTACTATTTACCAAAGCACTGAGTCAGTAGTTTCAAGCTATCACAATCATTTTGTCAAATCTCAGTGAAAATCACTGATTTATGGAAATTCCTCGTAAAACCTATGTAGGTTCGTCAAACGCTGCATCCAATCAAAAGCGCGTGATGAAGATAGTCCGCAACTTGAAGTTGCTGCGACCGTCGGGCGACACGCACTCTCGAATCCGCCGCCTCGTGCGCACTCCACTCCACTTTACCGCACCTCCTTCCTTACGTGCCTCTCGCCTCCGATGCTGCCGTCCGTCGCCCGCGCGCTGCGCCGCCCCTCGAGCTGCCACCGCCGCCCGCTCGGCGCCCTCAGCCGCCGGCTCGAGTCCACGCTGGCGCCCCTCACCCAGCTGTCCGAGGAGGAGACCATGTTCCAGGACACGGTGGCGCGCTTCGCCGCCGACGTGGTGGCGCCGCACGCGCGCGCCATGGACTCGGCCGGAGAGATGGACCACTCCATCACGCGCGGGCTGTTCGAGAACGGGCTGCTGTCCGTGGAGGTGCCGGCCGAGTACGGCGGCAGCGAGGCGTCCTTCATGAGCCTGTGCCTGACCATCGAGGAGCTGTCCAAGGTGGACCCCGTCGTGGGGCTGCTCTGCGACCTGCAGAACACGGTCGTCAACAACGTCTTCCTCGTGCACGGCTCGCAGGCGCAGAAGGAGAAGTACCTGCCGCGGCTCAGCTCCGACATGATCGGCAGCTTCTGCCTGAGCGAGGCCGGCTCCGGCAGCGACGCGTTCGCGCTCAAGACGCGCGCGGAGCCGTCGGCGGACGGCAGCTACTTCTCTCTCACGGGCCAGAAGATGTGGATCTCCAACGCCGAGTACGCGGGCGTGTACCTCGTCTTCGCCAACGCGGACCCGTCCAAGGGCTACAAGGGCATCACGTGCTTCATCGTGGACCGCGACGCGGAGGGGCTCGAGATCGGCAAGCCCGAGGAGAAGCTGGGCATCCGCGCGTCCTCCACGTGCACCGTCACGCTCACGGACGTCAAGGTGCCCAAGGAGAACATCCTCGGAGAGCTGGGCAAGGGCTACAAGATCGCCATCAGCACGCTTAACGAGGGACGCATCGGCATCGCGTCGCAGATGCTGGGGCTGGCCCAGGGCGTCTACGACCAGACCATGCCCTACTTGTTCGAGCGCCAGCAGTTCGGCTCGCCCATTGGGGAGTTCCAGGCGATGCAGCACCAGTACGCGGAAGCCGCACTGGACATCGAGACGGCGCGCTTGCTGGTGTACAATGCTGCGCGGCTTAAGGACGCCGGCGAGCCGTTCGTCAAGCAGGCCGCCATGGCCAAGCTCCACGCCTCGCGCGTGGCTGAGAGGACGGCGTCCAAGTGCATCGAGTGGCTGGGCGGCATCGGGTTTACCAAGTACCTGCTGGCGGAAAAGTTCTACCGCGACGCCAAGATCGGAGCCATCTATGAAGGCACCAGCAACATGCAGCTCACGACCATCGCGAAGCTCGTCTCGGAGGAGTACAAAAAGTAATTGACGGCGGCGTCTCGAGCGACTGCAGCACACAGAGGACCAAAACATACAAAATCAAGCTGTACTTTTGCCTACCTACCTACCTACCTACCTACCTATTCTGTCGCCAAGTTGTTGGTTGCGGCGGTGTCATTCATAGCTTGGAGGTTGCTCAAGACCATGAGGCTGCCGCCGCTGACCGGCTTCACTTGGTACTTCACTTGTGACATCGTGCGGCCGGCAGTGACGTTGGTGGCGGTGTCGCCACCGTTCGTCGTGTCGCCTGCTTGGCTGGGTCTGCCTCTGCTCTCCCTGCTCTTGGCTGTGCCGAAGATGCTCGAGGTGGCTTCCTCCCTCAAGCGGAAAATCTTGGGCACGAGCATCAAGGCCATGATCAGCACCGTGCAGAAGAGCAGCGCGCAGGCCAGGAAGACGTAGTAGGCCGCTGCTGGCATCTCGACGAGATACGACATGGGCATGATCACGAGGCAGCCCACGAGCACCACACAGACCGAGCCGAATATCCACGGGGTCTCCTGGAAGTCCACCGACACGTTGCGGATCAAGAAGGACAGGTACATCCCCACCATGAGCACGATGGCCTTCCAGAAGATGAGCAGCGCCGTGAAGATGAGCAGCGCCGTGAAGATGAAGCTCGAGGACTTGCAGGAGATCCGATCCACTGTGCCTCGGAACTCGGCGGCTTCTTCCGTTGTGACGGTGGGCTCGGGAAAGTCGGCGGCATACCACGCGATGAAGATCACAATGTCGATGACGTAGAAGATGGAGAGGAGCTTGAGGATGCGGAAGAGCGTCACGGTCACGCGCTTCATGGCGGATTTCAGGAGCACGCGGTACACGCGGAGGGATTTCATGATGAGAGCTCCGAAGATGGTCGTGAACCCGAACGACACCAGCACTGGACGAACTCCGCAGAGGAATTTTGAGGGACGGCCGGCGTACGCTACAGCCGCGCCGGTTGTGAAGAAGCCGCCACAGATCATCAACAACAGCATCTCGTACTGCGATCGACGGATGATCGGCGCGTCTCGCTGCTGGAACACAATGATGATGGCCACGACGAGAATCACGACCACGATCACTGCAAGCACCGCCATCGCCACGAATGTAGACGAAGAGGTCGGCATGTACTCGCAGTTGATCTTCACGTCCTTCGGCAGGCTCTCTCCGTCCTCGCATTCGCCTGATAGCTGGTCGTTTGAAGCATTTGGGAACTTCCAGAAGCACTCGACGGTACGATATGCCTCCGAGTCGCAGTCCGAGACGATGTAGTCGTAGAAAGAGGAGTCACACGTCGGCTTCCGGTCGATCCAACCGGTCCAAATGCGGTAGTTCTCTGCGATCCACGCACAGGAGCGGCTAGTGGTGATCGCGGCAGGTAAAGACGTCACGCCCCCATCGCAGTCGTTGGGGAGCGACTCGTTTCCAGGATTTGGGGCTCTCCACGCGAATTCAATCACACGCACCGCGCTGTCGTTGTCGCATCCAGTTACGTTGTTGACGATGTGAGTCTCGAGTGTGCATAGTGGCAGTCGGTCAAGCCACTCGCTCCAGACATCGTAGTTGGTTTTCACCCAGTCGCACGCCGCTCTAAAGTACGGCTGCGATTCCGTCTTATCGTTTACGACTTCGCTGTACTTGCTCAGGAGATCGTTGATATCGGTGTCCGAGAGCGTGAGCTTGGAGAACAACGAACCGACGGGAAGGTCTTTGACGAGTAGCGACGCGAATTTTGCGAGTTGCAAACTCGGAAAGTCGACATCCAGCGGATTATTCGTCTTGTTGCCATAGCCGTTCTCACCATAGTCCCCTGTTGAAAGTTTGACGCGTTCCGGGTCGGTGCGCGGCAGGAAAACTCGGTCAAAAAGCCCTTTGTGAGTCACGTGGAACATGTCGGGCTCGAAGTGGTAGAACATCACGGGAGTCCCAGCCTCTGCTGCATCCGAAGCGTACTGACTCACTTCGTAGTACCCGAGGAAGCAGAAGTACGCCGGGATGCCGATATTCGAGAGCACGGCCTGGAAGTAGCCTCGGTCGTAGCCAGGCTTCATCAACGCCACCACCAAGCACGTTCCTCCTGCTGCTTCTCGCTGTGTGCACGCCTCTGACTTTTCACAATTGTCCTTGCAGCCCATGTAGCCGTTTGGGCAGAGCGAAGTCGCTGGCGGGTAGTAGGCCGGGTTGGCTTTGAAGGGGACTACACTGAGCTTGTCAATAAGCACATCGCTCGACTTGTAGTGCTTCCAGAAGTCCGGGTAGAACGGCGGTGTCGCTTTCGTTCCTTCCTCCACCAAACTGTGCGAAGTGTACACCCCCGCGAGAGCAAAGTACCCCACCCCGCCAACCTTGTAGCTCTCGTTGAAGTAGACGCGCAGATTCGACATGGTACTGGACGTCCACGCCTCGATGTTCATGTGCGTTGGATTGCAGACCCCCGTCCCTGCGGATGACATGCGCTGGGTGATTTCCACGGTCGGACCGCCGTAGTTAATCGAGATCTTGTAGCCGCTCTGTTCACGCCAGAATGAACAGTTAGCCACAACAATTCTATTGCCTCCGCTGCATCAGACGCAGTGCGCGGGTCGTCAATCTGCATCAATTGAGTTGAGTTAATTTAGTCTTCAGATGTAGACACGTACGTGCGCACCGTGTATCGAGGATACTTACGCGCTGGCTGCAGGAACGGCCGCAGGAGTCGGCTACTAGCGTCGCGATCTTGGCTGGAGACGCCCAGCTCCGTTTCCATCGTCTTCACCCACACCGAGTCAAGGCACGTGCCCAAGAAGTGGTTAGGACCCAGCGGGTACTTGGCTGCGCCGACGCACCATTGCACGCAGATAACAACGACGAAGATCCGCAGCCATTCCATGCGAGCAATTCGTCACGGATGAGATGAGGCGAATCCTGAGTAAACCCAAAGGGACGTCCCCCAAGAGTCGTGAAAGCCTCTTGGTTGAGTCCACCCAAGTGGGCCAAGGTCCCGTGCACCACAGCTCTCGCAGCACGGGCAAGTACATGTATAGCAATACTTGACGAAAACACTTTCCATCCAGGGCTTTTCCCCTGGATACGCCATCCATAGATATTGGGCTTGTTATCAGGCCCCCCTTGAAATGCTGAAAGGGTAGCGATGGTTGTGGAGCTCTTCCAGGGATTCCTCGCGTTGGAAAGCTTCATTTGTCCAGGCCATCGCTGCGGTTTCTGGTGGAACTCGGGCATTCAGATCCGCCAGGAACCTGCGAGCAATCATTTGCGCGAGTTGGCGCAAGTCTCCCTTCAGTGGAACCTTCAGCACCCGGATAACATGGTGTACCCCTGTAAAAAGCTCCAGACTCAGGAAAAGAGCCACTCGCAATTGGTGACTGCCCGGTCTTGCGGGCTCAGATGACGCTGGGTTAAGCGCCATCACGAAGATCATAAACACCGATCTCTCCGCCACGCTAGCCTGTTCGTCGTCAAGGAAATGGCAACAGAATCCATCAGAGTGTACACGTTCACGAGCTGCAGCCGTCAAATTTTACCCGAACGAGCCGCAGGTCGTAGTCAACGAGGCTGCACTGTCGAAGTGGCTTGAACGTCTCCAAAAACTCGCCCAGAAATTGCTCCGCGTCGAAAAGATGCTGACAAATGCACTTGAAAAGTTGGCAAGAGCGTGCATACCGCTTGTTAGAATGCAAACAGGATACCACTTTACGCACTGCAGGTTTGGTGCTTACCTCGACGCCTGCTGTGCAAGATCTATCGGAAGCCACGTCATGAAGCCGATACTCGGTCGTCTTTCGAAATTTGATGGGAAAAACTGGAGGGTAGTACCAACCCTCTGCATCACAGTCACAGCGTCATGATAGCGCTCTGTTAGATAGGCTGTGTTACACTGATTGCACTCGAGCAGTACGTACTTTCAGAGAAATAGGAGATGCCTAAGCCCCTCGGCGCTGCAGCAGCAGCTGCTACCGGAGACCCGCGACGTCTTTTCCACACGTGAAACACCAGCACATGTATCGTCGCCCCCGCGTTAACGAGCAGGTGATAGACATTGCCTCCCGCTTTCACCAGTTGCATGAGCTGCCACTTCTCCATCACCTGCGAGAGCGCGTGCTGGCTAAACTCGAAGCTCAGACTCGTCACTTCGGCAGCCATTCCTCCGTCATCAACCATCGGAGACGGCGCCATCGCCAACCCACAAACTCTCGCGCCCTCTCTCTCCTCCGACACACCGTCACATGTGACAGCGAGCACCAGACGCTCGTCCGCACTCTGCCAGACCTCCAACGGCACGCTCACCCCATAGGTCGACAACGCTCCTCCCACCCGAAGCCTAAACACGGTCTCGGGGGCTTGTCCGTCCTCTCTCCAATGATGGAAGTCATGGAAGTTCACTCGTCTCCACTGCACCTCATACTGAGAGTTCAACACGACGCAATACACTGACAGAATGCTGCAAACGTTAGAGCTGCAGAGCTCGAAACTGAAGTTGTATCAATGAAGGCTCGGCTCACCGAGGAAGTTCCCGTCGCTGGAAAAGCCCAACAGCACGCCGCCTTCTTCCTGGCGCAAGACCTGCCGAAGACTGAGCACTCTGCGAGGTAATTGGGGCTGTAAGGCGCTTCCCCCGGTTCGCTCTCGCCCGGCTAGAGCCACGAAGACGTTCCGAGCAGCTTTATGCGGTTGAGTGGCCATGGTGTTCTTGTAGAGAGTATAGCGTGTAGCCATGCACCTCTATTCAAGGGCAGCGGTAATAGATGGATACATTTTGGTGGTCGTTACCTTTTTTTAGTTACCAAGAAAAGGGCCAAGTTTTTTGTTTGTGGCACATGTAGCAAGGATCTCGTGACTGCGACAATTTTTATTGCTACGATGCCTCCAAGTCGTTAGCGCGTAGATGCAGAATGATCTCCGACAATAACTTTTCAAGTGAAAAACGGTCGTTGAGCTCACTTACCACCGGTATTTTTACTCGCATCACTTTTCTAGTATTACGGCGGTGCCCCGTGTCAGCGAAAGAAAGCCACGAGGTATACGTTGCTCGCGCTCTTGGGGTAGGCTGCGGATCGAGACGATGGGTACGGAGGTCAAACCACAGCCGCAAGCTCAGCTCCAAGACGCCCATGAAAATGGGCAAGTGACTCAGAGCCGAGTTCGAAGCTCCCGACTATCTGGGCTCATTTTCCGTCGTCGAAATGCCATCTCCAGGAAGAAGGTACGGTGTTGCTGCGTCACTTTCCTCTAACTAGTCCCCTTTTCACCTTGGTGGAATTTATGTGATACAGAAAGTCGGTGCCGATTTTGCTTGTTTTAACCTTTTCCCGCGAGATCACTGGCTTCGACGGCGGATTATTCGGCTAGTGGCGCATCGCTACTTCGACCGCTTTATCGTGTTTACTATTATCTTAAACTCCATCATTCTAGCTCTCTCGGATTTTTCGGTTGTCGATAAGAGGTTGAATCCAGTCAGCGAGGGCTTCGCCTTTCACAACGGCGTCGTCGTACCAGCCACTTCACTGCTCAACACGGTCGTCAACCTGTCCGAGATCCCCTTCACCTCCATCTTCACAGTCGAATGCCTGCTGAAAATCCTTGCCATGGGGTTTATTCGGAACGAAGGTGCCTACCTACGAGATTCATGGAACGTCCTCGACTTCGTGGTCGTCATTTCAACGTAAGCCATATTTTTCACTGTCATTGTTGATGCATTAACCTTATTTACTTGTCCAGTTTGGTTGCGATCTTGCCTACCGTACCGAACGTATCAGCGATTCGAACGATTCGAGTGCTGCGTCCACTTCGATCTCTATCAATGATTCCTGGTATGCGTGCGCTTATATCCGCATTACTGAAAGCACTGCCTGTCCTCGGCAACGTCCTGGTGCTCCAAGTTTTTCTCTTTTTCATGTTTACCATCCTCGGAAATCAGCTCTTCGGGGACAATATAACGCGCCGTTGTCGTCTAACAGACTTCACCGTCCTGTTACCTGTCGATGAGCTCCACCCCTACGGCGTGTGGCCCGTCACGGACGAGTATTTAACTACTGTACTTGCTAATCCAGAGAAATATCGATGTATTGACGGCCCAGTTCTCGAAACGGATCCAGGAAATTTTGTAAAGGAAACATCGCCCTGGTTCGAGGCACAACCGTGCTATTGGCCCGTTGATCAGAACGATATGCAGGTTTGTGCGCGGCCTACGTACTCGGGCAACCACCAATGCAGCACCGGAGAAACGTGTGGTGGGAACTACGACGTGTACGGCAATCCGCGATTTCTCAATAATTTCGTTATGGATGATGCACGTTACCAGGATGCGCTAGACTATGGTTTGACGACCTTCGACGACATTGGACACGCAGTCGTGACCTTTTTTCAAGTGATAACGTCGGAAGGCTGGACGAACATCATGTATATGTGCATGGACTCGACGCAACCGGTCATTGCGGCGATGTTTTACATCGCGTTTGTCATCTTTGACTCGATTTTTGTCATGAACTTGACGCTAGCAGTTATCGCCGACGAGTTCAGCATCGATGAATGTGCCCCCAGTTTTACAGCTGCAGAGCAAAAATACTTCAACAACACACATCGGACGAGAGCTCACGATTCAAACCGCGCATCCCGTGGCTCTACTACGTGGCGACACACCCGTTGTTCTCTGCTTTTGTCATGGCGGTCATGGTCGCCAACACTGTTGTACTCTCATTGGATCATTACCCCATGTCTGACGTGATGAACGCCGATCTGGAGATGATCAACTTCGCCCTCTCCTGCGTGTACCTAGCCGAAATGGTCATTAAAATCATCGGTCTTGGGCCTCGACTGTACGCACGCGACCGCTTCAATCCGTTCGACGCGTTTGTCGTCCTGATGGGTATTCTCGAGCTGGCACTGTCTCCACCTTCATTCATGTCCGAAAACCCGCCAAAGAAGGGGTCAGTGTCGTCGCTGCGTTCATTTCGGCTCTTTCGTGTCTTTAAACTAGCTCGAAACTGGAAATCACTGCGCGATTTGCTTGAAATGATCGCGAGCGCCATCGCCAGTATCGCCAACTTTGGAGTGTTGCTGTTCATCTTCATCTACATCTACGCGCTCATCGGGATGCAGGTGCGTTAAATGCTCTGACTTTGGTGTTTGATATCAAGTGAAAATTACCTCACTGATGTCGAACAGTTTTTCGGGAATACTATGCGCTTTGATGAGAATGGGTACCCGACCCCATACAATATTAACGAGTATTGGTTTGGCACGGTAGGATCTAAATACCCAATTGTCACTGATACACACAAACTAACGTGGCGAGTTATATGTAGGCGCCTCGGCTCAACTTCGATACGTTTCTATGGTCAGTGATCACTGTCTTCAAAATCATCACAAGCGACAACTGGAACGAAAATATGTACGACATCATCCGAAGCAATGGCATGTTTGCGGCACTTTACCCTATCTCGTTGGTGAGTGATTCCTATGCTAGACATGTGCATCACTTCATGGCAAACAGCTCATTACTTTGCGCCTTTTGGTTGTCTCGACAGATTGTGTTTGGAAACTTCATTATGATGAACCTCTTCCTGGCGCTGTTGCTCGACAAATTCAGCTCTGGAGGTGATGATCAAGCGAATACTAAGGAAATGGACATGAAAATGCTGGCTCGGAAGATGTCCTCAATGAAAGTTGCCCCGTTGGCACTGCCAGCCCCGGAAAACAATCTCTCGCACCGCAGTGAGCTCGACATCAAGGGTGCTACGGTTTACGAACAGATTCAATCTCTACCGCCTGCTGGTGGTGGCGAGAACAGTGATAGGAAACCTACGACTATGGATGATACAACTAGTCGAGTGGAGAACGCCGGTGAGGGCCCTTCAATATCGGCAACGACGGACATGAAAAAGCCCGTGGAATTGAAGGAATTTACCTTAAACCACAGTAGCAAGTCGACGCGCGTTCTCAAGCGACTAATTGATGCGAAACAACGGATGGACAGCGAGATGACCCCGCGTGCCTCAGGTTCCCATCAAGAGAAAGATAAAAGCAAAGGGATTTTTCACCTACTGAAAGGCAACTCGCTCTTCATATTTCCTGCGGATTGTTGTATAAGGCAGTGGGCGCTCACTTTGATCGTGCATCCGTACTTCGATTCTGTCATTCTGGCGCTCGTTACGGTATCCAGCATAGCGTTGGCTATTGACAATCCTCTGATTGATCCAGAGTCAACCCTGGCCATCGGATTGAAGCGCTTGGATATGGCGTTCGCTATCATCTTCGCCTTTGAAATGACCGTGAAGATCGTCGCTCTGGGGCTCGTACTGCACAAAAGAGCGTATCTGCGCAGCGGTTGGAACGTACTAGACGGCGTGATCGTCATCACGTCTCTCGTGATGCTGGCCGAGTCGTCCAGCAGCCGACACTCGCTGAAATCTCTACGCTCTCTGCGAACTTTTCGCGCGTTCCGTCCACTGCGCGTCATCAGCCGCAGACCGGGGCTAAAGCTCGTTGTGAACGCGTTGATCGAAGCAATTCCAGCTGTACTCAACGTCCTCATCATCTGCGCGTTGTTCTACCTCGTCTTCAGCATCTTCGCCGTCACGTATCTCAAAGGCCGACTAAACGCTTGCAGTGGCGACGTATTTAACGCGCTTTCCGTGGATCAAGTTGACCTTCTTGTGAATCCCCAGCCGTGGTCAACTCTATCGTTCGGCCAGCAGCAGTGGTTCACTAACACAACTTGCATCGAGTTTCCAACAGACTCCCTCACGTCCAAATACCTGTGTGCGTGCTGGGGGGCTGACTGGGGGCCTGTGGTTCCTCAGAATTTCAACAATGTTGGCAACGCGATGATCACATTTTTCGAGATGTCGACAACCGAGAACTGGGGATTGCTCATGGTTGCGTGTATTGACGCTACGGGGATCGATATGCAGCCGATCCGCGACTACAATATGTGGTGGGCCGGGTTTTTCTTCGTCTTCATGATGTTCGGCAGCTTTTTCGTGGTCAATCTGTTCGTCGGGGTCATCATCGATAACTTCAACAAAATGACGGACGCTCTGGGCGGTACATTCATGCTTTCATCCGAGCAGAAAAAGTGGATAAAGGCTCAGAAGGCCGCAGCGCAGGTTGGTCCCCAGCTTATCCTTAAACATTTTCCCGATCCTCTTCGGCGCAAGATCTTCCACCTCGTCAGACGGAAGCGGTTCGAGTGGTTCATCATGATCTGCATCACTATCAACACGCTGCTCATGGCTGCGCAACACTACGGTCAAGCCACGCTACAGACCACAGTCGTGGGATTCCTCAACGACTTCTTTGCAGCCGTATTCACAGTCGAAGCTGCGTTGAAGATCACGGCTTACGGACTTGCATACTTTGAGGACAACTGGAACCGCTTCGACTTCTTCGTAGTGGTCGGAACACTTGCAAGCATCGTACTCGAGGCGTTTACTACAACCCGCCTTAGATTACTCGCTATGCTCGTTCGAGTCTTCCGCGTGACGCGTATCATCCGCTTGGTCAAAGCTTCCAAGGGGATTCGCCACATTCTGACGACGCTGTACTTGGCTCTGCCAGGACTCAGCAACGTCACGTCGATCCTGGTGCTCATGCTCTTCATCTACACGTGCAGATGTTCGCCAAGGTGGCGTTAAGCGACAACATCGACATGCATGCGAACTTCCAGACGTTCTGGACGGGCTTCCTCTTCATGATCCGAGCTGCGACTGGAGAGAGTTGGGACGACTGCATGCACGACTTTGCCGCTAGACCAGAGGGCTGCGTTGACGACCCGCCCTACGACCCCACCATGTGCGGCTTCAACAACTCTGAGACTTGTGTGCCTCTCAACGGATGCGGGAACCCGATTGCCTACTTGTTTTTCTGCTCCTTCACGCTGTTGGGGACGTATGTCATGCTCAATGTGACGGTGGCTGTGATCCTCGAGAGTTTTTCAGTCTCAAATGAGGATGAGGAGCCTCTTTTTGACCCCGAGTTGCTAGGCGAATTCCAGACCAAGTGGGCGGAAGTGGACCCGAAAGCCAAGGGGTTCATCCCAGTCGCCAAACTCTACGCGATTTTCACGATACTCGACCCACCGCTCGTCAAAACTGACGCTGTACGGAACAAAAAGGCTTTTTTGCACTTTGTGTGTAAGTTTTGAGGTGTGAATCGCTATACAGGAGATGTCGTTGCTGATATTTGTTGACTCGGATGTCCAGGTGGTCTGCGCTTGCCTATGTATGAGGGCGACACGATCTATTTTACCGATACGCTGCTCGCCATGACGCGTGAAATGGTCAAAGAGGTACGAAAGTTCATACTTTCCTAGGCTCAAGGAGCGTTCGGCATACTTATTTCTCGATGTTTTAAAGACTGTAGACGACGAGATCAACGCGATTGGAAACATTACGCCGCCCGTGGACGATATGCCGAGTCGCCGGCGTCTGCACTATCAAGCACACGAGTACTTCGCAGTACGGCAGATCCAGCGCGCGGTGGCTGCGTGGCTCCGATTTAAGCGGGAGATCGAGAAGAAGTACATGGAGGAGTACAAGAGCAAGATTAAGAAGGGAACCACCCGCCCGAAGAAGCACCGTGGCGCTCTTGTCCTCACAACTGGATAGGTCTCACAACAGAATAATGATAATCAATTCCAGTTACCCACAAGCAAAAAGAATGGAAGTTTGTAGTTATCATTTGTACGGCAACTACGTTTCAGAGAGCTTAGTTGTTGACTTTGAGTTGGGCCCTCGCTGGGTGAAGCTATTACGGAGAGAGAGGCACATGGTCGTCAGCGACGCTAGACTCTGTTGCCGGAAGGTAAAGCGAGCAGTGAGATCGGCCAGCGCGTAGTTGGGGAAGATGCACTCGGTCTCCTTCTTGACTCCCGACTCGCACATTTTGCACGTAATCGACGAAGGTATATCCACATTTCCACACTTGGCTAGGCACGCAGCGCAGTACGTGTGGCCGCAGGGAGCGAGCGTCATCGGCTGAGTGAAGAGCTGCATACACTGCAGACACGTGAAGGTGCTCTCGGACGCGTGCTCCGCTTCCAGAAGGGAGTTCACTGTCTGCTCCAGTGAGTCCTGCGTCTTACGGAGTAGGTAAATCGCTTCACGAGACAGAACTCGCTGTCTGAGATCATTCATCTCCAGCGTTTGGGCATCATTCAGCTGCTGCTCCTTGGTCAATTCCTTGCAGAGCGTCTCCATCTTCTCGCTCAGCTCGCCGTTTTCGTTCTGCAAGAGCCTCAGCTGACTCTGGAACGACTCGGACTTGTATCGCTCTCGTGAGACTGTCCGCTTGTACCCGAGCTCCATCTGGCCCTGATTCTCTTTTAGATCTTCGTTATTCTTTTGGAGTCCGTCGTACTTTTGTTGGAGTTCTTCCACTTGGCTCCGAAGATCTTCCAGCTCGCTGTTAGCTTCCTCTAACTCGGTTTTGGCTTCCTCTAACTCGGTTTTGGCTTCCTCTAACTCGGTTTTGGCTTGCTCTAATTCGGCTCGAGCTGCCTCTAACTCGTTTGGAGTATCAGCGTGAGTCTCGGGGCTGACTAGCTCTTCAACGGTCTGGGTACCGAACGCTGCTGTGTCCTTGGCAGCCATGTGTGTGATGTGAATCTGCTCCAACAACGCATTGTTCTCCTTCCGCAGCTCGTCGATTGTCAGGACATGGGCCTCCAGAACTGCGACCATGTGTTCCCTGGCATCTTTCTCTTCATGTAGCGCCACTCGTTCAGCTTCCAGTTGCTCTTGAACGAGTCGGAGCTGTTCTTCCAGTGCCTTCTTCTCCTCGTTCAGAAGCGTCAACGCCTCGTAGGTGGCAGCTTTTTGCCGTGCCATTTGCAAAGCTTGGACGGTCTCGTCATGAGAAAGTTGCTTGAGGTTTTGCAGCTCCGTGTTCACTTTGTGAAGTTCGTCTTGGAGCCCAGTGTACCGTTGATCTCGCTCCTCAACATCATCTTCGAGCTTGATAACTTTTTGCATTAAAGTTGCGATCTCTTCGTCTCGAGTTTGGAGCGTGTCGGTGAGTTCTTGCATTCCAGCGTTTCGCGCTTCTGCTTCTTGCGCCCGTTCTTCCGTCTCTTTCTGTCTCTGTATACAATTCTCGAGCTCTTGCTGTGTGTTAGCCAGCTCTACCTCAACGTCGTGTTTCTCCTTCTCCATCTTCCTCTTCACCTGCACCATAGCAAACAAAAATTTAGCTGATTAAGCACCTGTATTTCCTGCCATTGATCACCCACCTGCACGAACTCTTCCGATAAATTATCCAACTGCGCAACTCGAGTATGTAAATCTCCACAGCGAGAGTTTGACGCTTCGAGTTGAACTTCCAGCGCCTCTTTTTCTTTCATCAATGTCCTGATCTTCGTCTCCAAGGCGGTCACATTTCCGTTAGCAGTATCGTTGCGCTGGAGGTGCTGCTGAAAGCCTAGGATTTTGCTCATCATGGCCTCCTTCTCGTTGCTAGAGGTTACTTTGAATTTCGCGTATTCTTCTTGGAGCAGCCTTTCACGCTTTTTCACGGCATCCAAGTCACCTTGACAGCGCACCAAGTTCTTTCGAAAACTTTCGACAAGCTTCGCGTCGCTCTGAACAACGTTGCGGCAAACGCGCGGCTAGTTAGCACCTCTTTTTTCAATCAAATTGGCCCAGAACCACTTACATTCAGCCTTTGGACGGTGGATCGCAGCCCAATAATCAGCGAAGTCTGAGAGGTGATAGTGCTGTTCAGGTCTTCCGTTTCCGTCTCCAGTCGTGCATTATCCTGCTGCAAAACCTGCAATTGAGCGTGTGCCTCCGTCTGCGCGTTTTCCAGCTGCTGGATCTTGGTCAAGAGCTTTTTGTTGTTCTCCGTCATGTGGGAACAGCGATTCTCGAGCGATAGCACCTGCACCCCGCGATGTTAATCACTGCAAAAAAACATTGAGGAGCTCAAATTCTGGACCTTTCGTTGATACGACACCTCCATCTGCGTGTGCTGCTGCAAGGCTGCAGTCGCTGCTGCCAGCGTTGATGCCCCGTGTATATCTGGCAAAAAGCACGGATCTCCTTGCCGTTCTACCTTCTGGGTCGTCTGGAGAGCAGCATTTTTCTCATGCTCGACCTTCTCGGACTCCTGCTTCTCTACAAGAGTGTTAAGGAGAGAGAAACACTCATTAAACCACGTTCAAACCCTGGTCTTTTATGAGTACACACCCTTACCATTCAGCTTAGCGAGCGCCTCTGTGAGTCGACTCACTTCCTGCTTCAGTGAAGCCGAGAGCGCCTTCTCTCGCTGACTCAGAGCCGTGAGCGTCCTCAGATTTTCCTGCAGCACTGCAATCGTCACGCTCGACTCGAGCTGCCCGCGCCGCGGGTTCTGGAACGTGAAGAGCCGATCGCGCCGCGTTTCCTGGCGATTGGCTCTCCCTCGACCCGCATTATTGGCAGCCTCTTGGTTCGATGCGGAAGCCCCCGCAGCAGCTTTCGCCGACTCCCCGGACTTGATGGCAGACGTGCGTCGCAAGCGCACGGAGGCGACGCCGGTGTGGCCGTGCTCCCGTGTCGATGGCGGGGGGCCTGGGGCCGAAGCCATCGGGGCGGCAACACGTGAATAGTCGCGTAAGTTGAAGTGGGGAGAGAATGATGGTCACGGCAACATGTAGGGGTTCGGCTCAATACGACTGCAACACACACTGCAACACTACAAAAGACGAACAGGTACAGGTACAGGTACATTCGTCTACGAATCTGACGATATCAACAAGCCCATCTCCCTTTGCAAGGCGAGGTCCACATTAACTTGTCCATAGTCGCTTCAAGTCTTGCGCTCAGTCTTTGTGGGCTCCGGCACCACATTTCGCAGAGATTTGCTTGCCTGTCACAACGCGATTCCTCCTTCCTGAGGAGAGGAAGTTCCTCTGCTGGAGCTGAACCCGACAAATGCCCAAGCACGCGCTGATCGTCGGCGCCTCGGCGGGCATCGGCCTCGCCGTGGCGCGCAAGGTGGCGCCGTTGGTGGACAAGTTGACGCTGTGCTCGCGCAGGTGTCCTCCGGGCCTGGTGGCGTCCATCCAGGCGGACAATCCGAGCCTCGACGTGGTCTACGAGCGCCTGGACGTGTCTCTCTTGCACGAGGTGCGCCAGTTCACGCGCCGCCACCAGGACACCCAGTTCGACTGGATCGTGCTCACGGCCGGCATCTTGTCGCTCAATGGACGCACGGAGACCAAGGAGGGGCTGGACGTCAAGATGAGCACGCACTACTACGGACGGTAGGCTATCATGACTGCTCAGAGCCTTCGTGGGTGCAGCATCAACTGAGACTGAGTGACTTGACTTTGGACTGCAGGTTCATGCTGGTGCACGACCTGCTCGAAGGGCTCAACAGACCAGGAGTGCGTGTGCTCAACGTACTGGGCGCTGGCCGAGGCGGAGCTCCTCACCTCGATGACCTCGATCTGAAGAAAAACTACTCTATCAAGCACTGCGCAGACGCCACGACGCTTTACTCGTACGTGGTTGTAGAGGCTAGCAGTCGATGTTTTGGATGCTGAGTGTGACTTGGTATGATAGGGACTTGATGGCTCAGGCGCTGTCGGAGCACGCGCCGAACGCGTCCTTCATGCACATTTACCCGGGCTTCGTCAACACGGGGCTGTTCAACCGCTTCCCGTGGTACGTGCGTCTGCCGTCCAAAGCCTTCGCGGCTGTGGCAGCCCACTCGCCTGAACGCTGTGCCGATTACTTGGTGGCCACCCTGACCAAACCGCAGTTCGCCACGGGCTGGAAGCTGCTGGGCGAGCGCGGCGAGGTGCTGCCCAAGACGAAGTACCACACCGACAAGCTCAAAGTTGTCGTCTGGAAGCACACGCTCAAGACCATCGAGGCCGTGATGAAGCAATAAGGTTTTCGCTGCCCTGGAGTGAGTGAGCGACCGCTTCTTGGGTTCCAAGACCAATTCGTTGTTTATCGTCCCACATGTAGCGCTGCGACTGGCGAGTCAAACAGAAGTCTGTAAGTGTAATGCAGCAAGACGACGCGAAAGAACACACTTCAACGTTCATCGCATGACTTCACTTTGGTCATCAACCAGAGAAGAGAAGGAAGAGAAAAAGATAAAGTTGGAAAAAGAGCAAGGAAGCCTTTCTATTTTTCTGTGGTTATTCAAACTGCAAAGCTGCCGTCGCCCAATACACAAGTGCATCAAACTCCGACAAACTTACGGAGAAGAATGAATCGAGAAGAATCAGCGCCGACCGCACTAGACAAAGTCGTCGACATAATCACCGAGGCGAGATGTCGCTAACTTATTTCTTCTTGGCAGCGCCCTTGGCGGCCAGGTCCTTCTTGTTCACCGACTTGATGACACCAACGGCAACCGTCTGGCGCATGTCACGCACGGCGAAACGGCCCAGGGGCGGGTACTCCTGGAACGACTCGACGGTCATGGGCTTCGAGGGCTCGAGGATGACCATGCAGGCATCGCCCGACTTCACGAACTTGGGGGCAGTCTCGAGCACCTTGCCCGAACGACGGTCCATCTTCTCCGTGATCTCTTTGAACTTGCAGGCAACGTGGGCCGTGTGGCAGTCGAGCACGGGCGAGTAGCCGTTGCCGATCTGGCCGGGGTGGTTCAGCACGATAACCTGGGCGGTGAAGTCCTGGGTGCCCTTGGCCGGGTCGTTCTTAGAGTCCGAGGCGACGTAGCCACGACGCAGCTCCTTCACCGACACGTTCTTGACGTTGAAGCCAACGTTGTCACCGGGGACGGCCTCCGGCAGGGACTCGTGGTGCATCTCAACGGACTTGACTTCCGTCGACAGGCCAACGGGGCCGAACGTGGCGACCATGCCAGGCTTGATGACACCGGTCTCAACACGGCCGACCGGTACCGTGCCAATACCGCCGATCTTGTACACGTCCTGGAGGGGCAGACGGAGGGGCTTGTCAAGCGGGCGCTTGGGCGGGTTCAGGTTGTCGAGAGCCTCAAGGAGGTAGGGTCCCTTGTACCACGGCATGTTGCCCGACTTCTCGATCATGTTGTCACCCTCCCAGCCGGAGATGGGCACAAACGGGATCTTGGCGGGCTTGTAGCCGACCTTCTTCAGGTACGTGGACACCTCGTTCTTGATCTCCTCGTAACGGGCCTGGCCGTACATGACCGACGAGTCGTCCATCTTGTTGATGGCGACGATCATCTGCTTCACACCCAGGGTGAAGGCAAGCAGAGCGTGCTCGCGCGTCTGGCCCTCCTTGGAGATACCAGCCTCGAACTCGCCCACACCCGAGGCGACCACCAGGATGGCGCAGTCGGCCTGCGAGGTGCCCGTGATCATGTTCTTGATGAAGTCACGGTGGCCAGGGGCGTCAATGACCGTGAAGAAGAACTTGGGGGACTCGAACTTCCACAGGGCAATGTCGATCGTGATACCGCGCTCGCGCTCGGCCTTCAGGTTGTCCAGCACCCAGGCGTACTTGAACGAGGTCTTGCCGAGCTCGGCAGCCTCCTTCTCGAACTTCTCGATGGTACGCTTGTCGATACCGCCGCACTTGTAGATCAGGTGACCGGTGGTGGTCGACTTGCCGGCGTCGACGTGGCCGATCACGACCAGCGAGATGTGAGTCTTTTCCTTGCCCATGGTTTTGTTATCTCTCTTCTCCGCAGAATGGATAATGATCGCGTGCCTGAACAGGCGGGGGGGGGGCTTCCAGGCGCTTTGAATGGGTGGCGCAGGATCGTTTTTAGAATTACGCTTTTAGCACGAGGTTATACCAATTTTAGCGAATCATAATGCGTTTCGACGACGTGGATTTGAGACATTTACTTGGGATAAAACCTCTTGCGAACTGTATACGTCAAGAGGCTCTCACTAGCCCGTCCACTTCAACTTAGTGCGCCGTCCCACCGACTGCCATGCTGCATTGCCTTGCTTTGGCTTCTCACTACAGCGTGCATGCTCCCGAGGACAGCACCAAGAGGGAGTCTCCAATGTGGTAACAACTATATCTGTTTATATATACGCATTAGGTTCTGGTCTACCTATTTCCTGCATCAATCGGCTGCTCACGACGTCGCCGATGCGGCGTTCACCTGGATCTTGAAGCTGCCGGCGTAGCACTCGCTGCTGTCTGCTGCCAGCTCGAGCTGGAAGACGGGCTCAGAGCTGCACGTCTGGTCCGCGAACAGCTTGAACGTCGGGGCGTCGGCGTCGCTGTCCCAGTCCGCCTGGAAGCTGGTGCCGGCGTCCACCGTGGGGTGGCACTCACTGTCCACGCGGTAGGCGGTGACGCCCTCCAGCGTCTCGCAATTGGAGTCGGGCGCGTACAGCTCCACCAGAATGTAGGGCGCGTCGCCGAATGCCGTGGCGGCGAACGCGACGGGGTCGTCGGTGCAGTTGCCCGAGGCAAAAAGCCCCAGGTCTGTGGCCTCGAGCGAGCAGTCCGTGTCGTTGGTCAGGCTGCTGCAGTCGGCGGAGGCACTGAAGACGACCTGGAGCGGGGCGCCCGAGCACGAGTCGTCGTCGAAGATCTTGACAGCCGTGAAGGCTGACGCGGCAATAGTCGAGGGCAGAGCTGCCAGTGCCAGGGTGGCGAGCGTGGTCGGTTGGCTGAGCTTCATGATTGTGGTGATGGTGCTTCTGAGCTTAAGCTGGGCGAAACGCAGGGAACTTGGGAATGGAGGAGGAGGAGTCTGGCATGAGGTCGATACGAGGACGATGCCACCTCATCCTCCAGCCTTTGGTCCCTGGCTAATCCCATCGGCTATTCTTGTGCCTAGTCGATTTAGTCGCCACCGTCCCATTCGGCACGAGATGAAGCGTGGCGTGGCTGCGTGACTAAGGCTTGTACCGCTGAGGATCTGGAGAGCGGGTCGATTGATGTCGTGCGACCAACAGCAGTGCCTTGTATCCATGCAAGAGCAGTATTTTCGTCTTCGTCGACGATGAAGGGCCACCGACTTGTCATGAGTCGAGTCGAGAGGGCCCTAGAAAGCGTGTAGATTCCATCAAGGTAAATGGACGATCTAGAGGGCGACGACGGAGAGCTGGAAGAAGGAGTGGAGGCACCAGATGAAGACGAGGTCAATGACGACGAAGTGGCCGACGACCAAGTAGATCCAGGCGACGATGGCGAGGCTGATGCAGACGACCCCAACGACGACGGGGCCTACGAGATCGACTTGGGTGCTGGGGATGAAGCCGACGAAGAGGCTTCGGAAGATGAAGCCCAAAAGACTGGTCGAGTAGAAGAAGGCACACCAGAAGAAGGCGAGAACGAGGAGCCTGAGCACGAAGTGTCGGCTCTAGAGGCGGAAATCGCCCGCGTGCTGGACGAGGGGTGCGTTGTGGTGCAGCAAAAGCTCACAGCGCACTTGCTGGCTCAGAAGGGTCGACTCGATCAATGCGAGCAACGCGTGCAGCTCGCCATCAAGCAGCGGCTCGAAAGTATCGCAATGTACGAGCAGTTGTTCGCACAGGGCAAACGCGAGCGCGACAACCTGCAATCGCAGCTAGAGATACTTCAGGCGAGGCTGCAACGTGAACAGGAAGAGCGAGCGGAGGAGAGGAAGTGGCTCGCCGAGCTTTGGCCCGACAATGTGCCGCTCCCAACTCTCTTGAAGCCCATCAAGAAGGCAATCGACACTCGTCGAGGTGCAGTCGCGGCAGATCCGATCAAGTTCGTGAAAGATCTCAGCGACGACCAAGAGCGCCAACGCCTCGAAGCGTTGATGAGTCGGCGCGTAGAAGGAGAGCGCATTCGTCGACAGCTTGAAGAGGTCTCGCACTGGAAGCTCGTGCTGCCTGATACCCCGGAAGACGGCGAAGGGCGGGCGCCGTACTACACGAACACGCACACAGGCGTGAGTGTATGGGACGCCCCCGTTGCGATGCTGTTCGAAGCCCCTCCTGGCTGGAACATGATCACTATGGACTGGGAAGAGAGCTATGGGCTCGAGAACTTCTATCCTGGCGCTCGAAGAGAAGCATTACGGGCGAGTGAAGATGGCAATAGCGGAACAGATAGTGAAGACGAAGGGGCAGCGAAGGCAAACGATGATGATGATGAAGAAGAAAAAGAGGAGGAGGGGGAGGAAGACGACGCGCCGGTGGATCCAATGCCAGCTCGAGAGCGCTTTGAAGAGGAATGGAAGCGCTACGAGCAGTTGAAAGCCGAGGTCCAGCAGAGTGCCGCGAAGCAGAGGTCGCTAGCGATGGAGGTGCTGACGGCTAACCGAGAGCTCTTCGAACGGGAGCAAGAGACTCTGAAGGAGGAAGACGCTGCTGTCATCGCTGTGGAGCGTAAGCGACGAATCGCTGAGAAGGAGGAGCAGGCCGCCGCGAAAGCCAAAGCTGAGGCCGAAGCGCGCAAAGCGCAGCAACCCAGCACGGGGAAAGCCAGCGTCGTGCCGGTGTTCGCGCGTGACTCGGTGGCCAAGAAGGGTCTCACCCTTGCAGCGGACGACCAAGTGTTCGAGCAAGAGCTCCGAGATTTCGCCGTGGCGCAGCGAGTGGATCGCTTGTATCTGTCGATTCCATTGACAAGAGATCAAAGAGTCCGCGAGCGCCACCGACTTGAGCCCGAATTCGTGCACACGAAGCACGTGGAGTCGCGGGTGCTGGAAGCAGAGAAGATTGAGTTCGATCTCCTTGAGAAGAGTGCTCTGCGGCACGAGGAAGCTGCGACGAAAGCTGCGGAGCTTCGGGAACTGTGCGAACAGATCCGTGACCAGCAACGCAGCGTCGAGGACGAGTTGGTCATCGTTGAGGCTTCAATCGCCCGACTAGAGGCAGAGACCGCACCGCCTCCGGAACAACCAAGACCGACGGATGAAGAGCTGGAGCGAGCTGCCGGGAGGTATTTGACTGTGGAACCGCTCTCCAGTGACGAGGATGAAGGAGAAGGTGATAATGGCGAAGAGCAGCAGAAAGAGGTGGAGAATGAAGACGATCCCAATGCAGAAACAGTGTCTGCTGTAGCTGAAGACGCCGATACAACAGAAGACGGAGCGGAGTCCACACCTACGGTGGAGCAAATAGACCATTCGGCTAGTGCTGCATCTGAACACGAAAACGCAGTTGTCACTTCCCCTGCTCCTTCTCCAGCGGAAGCTCCTTCTGGTTATGTTGATGACGCACGCATGAAGATGGATGAATCCGAGCTGCGGGAGCTCAAGGCGTTCACCGACGCTGAGCTCGCCTGGCGTCGATGGGAGAAAGCTGAGAAGACTCGCTGCACCAAACTGAACAAACTCTCGGACCGACACTCGCTGTTGACGACGTCGCAGAAGCAGCTTGCCGTGGATTTGGCGCTTTACGAAGACGCGGACGCGCCGTTCTTCGAGCGTTTGCGAGACTTAGAGAAGGCCGCCAACACTCGGATGTGGGATCTCCAGGCCCAAACTCAAGTGGTGCGAGCTCGGTTCGTAGTGGAGCGTGCAGCGCGTGAAGAGTCTGTGTTCCAGATGCGTGACCGCCTGAAGGAGCTCCAGCAGCAGCTGGAAGACGCCTACGCGTTGCCAATGCAAGCCATTCATCCGTTGGAGCGAGTCCAACTCGAGGCGCAGTCTCAAAAACTGGTCGAGTCGCTCAAGAAGCAGGAGGCCGAACTGCAGGCTCGATACGCCAAAGAGGAGGAGGCGAAGGCGCTGCTGGTGTCCCTGGAGCTGCGATCGTGTGACTACACGGACGCGAAGCTGCAGGAGGAGACGAAGCTGTTCACTGAGAAGCAGGCGCTCTGGGACCTCAATTTCACGCTCGTGGACGAGCTGCAGAGCTGCCGTCAGACCATCGAGCGGCTTTACCTGTTCATGCAGGACGACGAGCCGAAGCCGAAGCTTGAGAGGAACGAGCAAGACCAAGGGTCTGAAGCCGTGGAAGACGAAAACGCTGATGGAGAAGCAGAGCCTTCACCACGAGAGTTGTACGAAGAGAACGCTCGCGTGTTCGAGACCAAACTTCAATACTTGCAGCAAGTTAGGCGGTTCTTGTTCATGTGCTATGACCGAGAGGACCGATGGCGTGCACTGGCCGCCACCACCTTCATCAAGGACACGACGTCGGACGAGTGGATGACGAGCATGCAGCTATCTCGACAGGAAGACACACTGGCGCTGCTGCAGACGCAGCACGAAGAGCAGCAGCAAGCTCTGCAGCGCCAAATCAAGCTGCTGACCAAGGTCAAGGCTTCCTTGCAAGCGCAGATCGAAGACCTGAACGCGAAGATGCAGCGCTTGCAGAGCGACTACCAGGCTGCTAGTGAAAAGGTCCGGTTGCAGACCCAGGAGGTCATCAGAGCTCTCCGTGCTGAGACTGAGGAGCACAAAGCGGCCCTCGAGAAGGAGCAGCTCAGGTTTCGTTCAGACCGTGAGCGGCTCATTCGCGAACACGATGCGATTCGAGAAGAGCTCGAGAAGCGACTGCAGGGCCTTGACGACGTGATTGACAAGCAAACGCACTGGCTTACGGCTGCCAAACGAGAGCTGCATGCGCAGCGAGTCGCCAACGAGGAGCTGCTGAAGGCGTACCAGTCGCTCGAGAAGCGCCGTGCAGCCGAGGTGAACGACATGCGCTTCCGCATCTCGGCGCAGATCAAGAAGATCAACAACATCGAGATGTGGAACCTGTCCATGAAGATCTCGGCCAAGGAAGCCCACACGGACTTCATCAACATGCAGAAGGACATGGCCAAGCAGCAGCAGCAACACAAGCAGCTGCAACGCGGGCTACGGCTGCTGAATTGGCGGCACCGCGTGACAGCGCAGACCATTCTCACGGACGTCAACTTGCTGTTCGCCTTCTTCGCCGACGGAATCGCGATCTTGGCTGGCACCACATCGGAGATCAACGACGCGCTTCGGGAGAACGCAGGCATCGAGGTGCTTGCTGCGCTCGCGCGACATTCAAGTCAACAGTCGGTACGAGCGATATGCGCTCGCGCTCTTGGGCAGTTGTCGTGGAATGCCAACGTCACGGCTCGATCGCTGGGGTGGAAGGCGAAGCAGAAGTGGTTCCAGTGGATGAAGACGCAGTCCACCGTCGTGCTGGACACGCTGTCAGCGTCTAACACAGCGTTTGATGCTGTCGCTGAGGAGGAAGCGACTGAGATGAACTGGCTGGCTGATCCTAGCGCCCCTATCGACGACATTTCTGGCGAGAGTGACCACGACTTGAGCTCCAAAGGAGGGAGAGACAAGGCCAAGAAGCTCTTGTTCACTCAGACGTGGCAGCAGTTCGATGGTAAGGCGTTCCCCGACACCAACGTGGCCAACCAGCAGTACATGGGGCTCTCGTCCAACGTGCTGCAGATCATTCTGGATCTGTGCAGGTCGCCTGAGACGGACAAGCTGGTCAAGCGCAATGCCTTGCACTCGCTAGCTCTGATCGTGCGAAGCTCGAGGAATACGTCGATCATTGGACGTCTAGACGGGAGCATCGCGCTGCTGATCAGCCTGCTGGAGCCCAAGTCGGACCTGATCAGTGACGAGGACCCTCACATCGTACGTCACGCAGTCCAAGCGCTCGCGAACCTGGCGTATCGAAACTCATTCAACCAGCAGCTCATTTACACACAAGGCGGTATTCCGCTGCTGCTTCGCCTCTGTGATCGAGCTGTCAACTCGAGCGACGCGCTGGATGCAGACGTTGACTTGACTCTGGCCACGACGCAGACGCTCTCTCACCTCTCACACGACCACGTCTTGTCCTGCCAGGCCATTGTTGAAGCTCGCGGCATCTCCATCCTCACCAGACTGTGCAACTCACCAAGGATCCACGACGCAATTGACTTGGAGGTCTACGAGCTCATCCAGACGTACGCGTCGCAAGTGATCGCCAACGTGATCACACTGCTAGACCAAGAAGACAGCGAGAGCGACAACCGGTCGTATCACGTCGCAGACTTCATCCTCGAGGAGCAAGCCGAACCTCCACGGTACTCAAGCGGTGTTGACCCTGCCATGAAAAAGCCCAACCACGACAACCAGACGCAGCACAACGACGAGCAGCTTGCTCAGCTATCTCCGAAGCACGCCGGCGTCTCCACGTTTGTATTGATGTGTGCATCGTGCAACCGCAACGTGGCATTCCATGGCGCAGTTGTGCTGGGCAGCATCGCTCAACATGACGCCATTCGAGGCGCGATAGGAGCAGCGAGCGGAATGGATGCGCTCTTCTTGCTTGCAGCGCGTACTGAGGACTTACCGATGGTAGCACAAGCCACTTGGGCGTTGGCCAACCTCACGTGGAATCGAGACAACCAGTATCGCGTCGCGCGGTATATCGATCAGCTCTACCAGATCTGCACATTGGGGTCCAGTCACACTGCGCCAGTCTCGCTCAATCAACAGGAAGCTAACCTGCAGCACGAAGAAAACCAAGACGGCGACGAGATGCAACCAGAGGACCCCGCTACCACGGCGCAACGCAAACAGCAGGACGACCTACTCATGCGGCAAATTCGCGAGCACGGCTTGTGCATCGTGGCCAACTCGCTATTCTACAACGACGCCAACCGCCAGCTAGTCGCGTCACACGCAGACTGGATGCAGCTTCTCGCTCGCAACGCTCTTGAAGCGGACGGCGCCACATTGGAGAACTCGGCTCGGGCGTTGTGTTCGCTGTCGTACAGCGACTCCATCGCTCTGAGGATGGGGGCGTCAGCTCTCGTTGATTCCCCGAGCAAGGCGAGGAATGCTAAGCCCACGCCGCAGTCGATGACTGGGCTGCACGTATTCATCCGACTGTGCGGTCGAGCGGGGCACGTGGGGGTGCAGCAGCACGGTCTCTTCGGCGTCATCAACTTGTGCCTCCACGACTCGAACAAGACGAGGATGCTCGAGATCCCACACGGCATCGACACACTCGTGAACCTCAGCGGCCACATGAACAAGGAGCTGAGCGAGCCGGCACTCGAGGCGCTGGAGCTGCTCGCCGACCTGCGTCAGCTGAAGCAAGACCACGGAATCTCCTCCGCGCAGTCGTTCGAGTCCGTCGACATGAAGAAGCTCATCGCGTTGCTGTCGGACGCAACGAATCCGTCCCTCGTGGCGATGATAAGCGACGCCATCGCCAACGAAGTCTGGAAGCGACCCAGCGCCCAAGTGCGACTCCGCAACGAGCACGGCCTCGAGAAGCTGCTGGAGATCTGTGCCAAGCCGTCGCCTCTGTTCCCCTCTGCTACGTCCGGGAGTTCTCCTGCTGCCGCCGCTGAGATCGAGCGGCGAGTGCGGATTTCTTGCCTGTGGGCGCTGCGGAATACGGTGGCGAGCAACGTGCGCAACCAGAACCTTGTTGGAGCATTGGGAGGCGTCCAGCAACTTGTAAGTGCTTATGATCGGGAGCGACAGAGCGAAGAAGTGGTGGAGGCTCTGCTGGCTGCACTGGTGGCTGTGGTCATGAAGCACCCGCGGAACAGTCAGCAGCTCGTGCAATTCGGACTCGACATGCTCATCGCGCTGGCCGACGGCACCGAGGACGGCGACAGACTCGAAGACGAAGATCGACGCAGCAGAGGAGTTTTTCTACCGCCGTTGAACCCGTCAGCAGCAGCTCGTTCGACGGCATCGTCTCCTTCCAAGAGGGTGGACGCGGGGAACTTCAAGTTCGTCACCACCAAGACGGAGGAGAAGCAGCTCGAGAACGCAACACTCGCTCGAGAGCTCCTGCATCTGGTCGCCCCCTACAACACCCGGCAGGACGCACCTGTTTCTCCTGATGCAAAGGTGAGAAGGAGGCAACAACTGCAGTCGTCGTCGGCTGCTTCACCCGTGCACAGACGCTAGAGATCTTCAGAGCAATCTTCAGCTCTCTGAAGATTTGTTAAACGCACCGGCCACGCATGAGCGAGATTCAGCAGATGCTTGGGCACCAAGCAGAATTTTGGCGATCTTCCATCCTTGGTTGTGGTTTGCGATCACCACCATCGATCGATTGTCAGTCGACAATGGAAATCCTGGCAATGAAGATATTGATCTACACGTCGTGTTACGCATATTCGGCTGTACAAACACTGCTTAGGTAGTCTTGCTGCGGATGCCTCAACAGCTCTCTGCGTATCCGTAACAACGAACGGCTCCTGCTGCTGCGATGAAGAATACTTAGTTGTGCATGGTCTCCAGGTACTCCTTGCACTCGGCCAGCTCCTGGTCCCGGCGGGCCTTCGACCAGCCGAGCAGCTCGCCCATCATGTGGACCACGCGCGGGGCCAGCTCCATGCCCACACCGCTATCGATGAAGGCCAGACGCATGCGGCGGCCCAGAATGTCCGTCGCCTTCATGGCGTACTCCTGACGAACGGCGAACACGACCTCAGCCTCAAGGTACGGGTACTTGGGGTGCAGACGGCGCGGGTGGTCGCTGCGCTTACGGTCCAGGAAGCCGTCCTGCTCGATCTCGGCGACCTGCAGAGCGCGCGTGCCGTAGTTGCGCATCAGGTGCTCGGCGATGTCCTTGTCCAGGTTGAAGTTCTCACGCAGGGTCACGGTGATCTTGTCGAACTTCTTGTTGCACACCTCGCCGATGCGGTCAGCGCCGATGATGCCCACCTCCTTGGTCTTGCACGGCGAAGCCTTGGCCTTGATCTCCGGCACCGTCTCCACGAGCTTGTCGATCGCGTCCTGCGCCATGCGACGGTACGTGGTCCACTTGCCGCCGGCAATCGTCACCATGTTCGACTCAGACACCTCCACGACGTGCTCGCGCGAGATCTTGGCCGTCGAGCCGTCGGCGTGACGCGGGTCCTTCACGAGCGGACGGATGCCCGACCAGGCCGACTTGATGTCGTTGCGCGTGACGTCCTTGGCCAGGTAGCGGTTGGCCTCGTCGATGATGAAGTCGACCTCCTCCTTGGTGGGGGACGGCAGCATCGTGATCTCGGACTGCGAGTCGGTCGTGCCGGCCAGCGTTCCGTTCTCCCACGGCAGGAAGAACAGGACGCGGCCGTCGCTGGTCTTGGGCACGATCAGACCCATACGGTTGGGGCTGAAGTGGTCGGGCAGCACCGTGTGCACGCCGGCAGCGGGCACGCAGATCTTCTCCTTCTTGGGGTCGTCCATCTGACGCAGCGCGTCCGTGAAGGGGCCCGTGGCGTTCACGACGGCGTGCGCCTTGACGTCCCACTCCTCGCCGGTGATGGAGTCCTTGACGTGGGCGCCGCGCACCTTGCCCTCGTCGTCCTTGAGCAGGTGCATGACCTTGACGTAGTTGGCGACCGTAGCGCCGTTCTGCGTGGCCGTGAGCGCGATGGACACGTTCATGCGCGTGTCGTTCATCTGGCCGTCGTAGTAGACGATGGCGCCCTTGAGGCCCTCCTTACGCAGCATGGGGAACTGGAACATGGCCTCCTCGGCGTTGATGTAGTAGCTGCCGGGCACGAAGCGCTTGCTGCCGGCCACGACGTCGTAGGCCTTGGCGCCCACCCACATGTAGGGCACCTCCCACCACTTGTAGATGGGGATCATGATGGGCAGCGGCCGGTTCATGTAGGGCGCGGCCGAGAGGAAGAACGAGCGCTCCTCGAGCGCCTCGTTCACGAGCTTGAAGGCCGCGTAGTCGAGCTTCATGAAGGCCGTCTCCAGGTAGCGGATGCCGCCGTGGATGAGCTTCGTGGAGCGGCCCGACGTGCCGGCCGCGAAGTCGGCGGCCTCCACGACGGCCGTGTTGAGGCCGCGCGTGGCCGCGTCCAGCGCGCAGCCGGAGCCCGTGGCGCCGCCGCCGATCACCAGCACGTCGAAGTGCTCCTTCTTGAGGCGCTCCAGCTGCGCGGCGCGCGACGGCGTCTCGTACGGGATGATGGTGGAGCCGTCCTCGCACTTGATGGGCGCCACGAGGCGCTGCGGCTCCTTGGCCGACACGATGGCGGCGCCCGAGAGGCCACTCACGCCGACGACGCCCGCGCCCAGGCCGAGCGCCACGCGCTTCGAGGCGCGGCGGAACGCGAAGGACGCCATGCTATGTAGGAGCTGGGGAGGGAGTGAAGAGTGAAGGTCGCTGCTGACGCACGTGGGCTCGAGCCGGCAAAATGCGAAGTGAAGTGCGACCACCGGCACCGACGTGCGGCCGAAAATGCTGCAACCTGATTGGGCGATGGGTACCTGTTTCTGTCAGAATCTTGCTGGATATGTACCAGTTTATGGCGAATGATGCTACAAGTGTATCAACTTTGGGATAATACCAGCATACAAACTTGGAGTCAAATGGTGATTGACTTGGTTATGTCGACTTTTGCTGCTTGGGGCGCGTGAGCAAGCAATGTGTCGCCGTGCGCGCGTGCGTAGACGCCGTCGCGGTTGATGGCACTCGCGGGCCAGCGCGCGGATTGGGCCGAGGCGCGCTGGCGTCCACACGTCGCGGGTCGGCCCAGCGCCGCTCGTCGCCACTCGACGGAGCCTGTTGAAGGTATCGTTGCCGCGGCATACATTTTCCAAGATAAAACGCCGCGACCGCTGCGTGTCTACGCGGACAAGTTGAAGAGGACCACTGTACTAGTTGCAGAATCGGCAACAGATCGCCGGAGACACATTGGCGATGTGCGTGGTAGCAGCTCGAGCTCAAGCTGGCCCCATGCACACATGCAAACTTGACGTTGGTGGCTGCTGCGACGGCCGGCGAGATCATGGCGCCGGATTGCTGCCGCCGGCGCAAAGCCCCGAGGATAGACAGAGGAGCGTCGCGCTGGACTCGCTCGACTTGACATCCCGACCAAAGGAGCAGCTGGGTGCAATAATGCGGGGAATAGGCCGCCGTGACTTCATGCAGAGTGTGGCTGCATTGGAGCGCTCGCACCAGCTATCAGGGGGAGCCAGGGCCAAAATGGGGGAGGGGGCGCATGCCCCCCCATTTTTCGGCGAAGGCGTTTCGATTTTTTTTAGATTTTTTTTATTTTTTTTATTTAGACGGCACATGCATGAAGTTCACACTGTTCCTCCGCTTAGTTGATAATAACATGGAAGGAAAGAGGAAGCAGCCGGCAATCACGACCTTCTTTGTGAAGAAGCCCCGTCAAGAGCCCGAAGACTTTGACAAGGCCCGCAGTATTGAATCAGATCCTGGGCCACGACCCCAACGCTGCGCGATAAACAAGAGCAAGCAGCGTTGGAATGGTGTTCGCTCAACAAAATTCCTGATAGAGCCGAACAATGTTCCGCTGGAGACTTTGTTAGGCGGGATCCTGCTCACAGACCACCAAATTTATTTTTCGTTAAGCAACTGATTGCCGATCCTCAGCTACTGCGTGACGTTATACAATCCTACGTTTGCCTCGGTCCTTACCAACCGCAACTCAAGCAATATCCGGCCCGTGACATCGGTGGATGCATGCGTGCTTTTCGGGCCCAGTGGTTTGAAAAAAATCATGGCTCGAATACTCTCCTTCGACGGACGCGGTGTATTGCTTATGCTGCTACCTCAGCCGAGAAGTAATGACGCAGCAAAGCGAGCTCACAGTGTATGCACAACCTACAACGGGCTATAGGAACTGGAAAAAGGCCACTACAAAAGACGGATTTGCAAAACATGTTGGGACAAAAACCAGCTCGAAGCACCACTCAGCTCTGATCGATTTCGACAATCGGAGATCCTGTCAGAATGACATTGGTGTGGCTCTGAATTCTCAAAAGATTGGTGAACGACAACAAAACCGGGAGCGCCTGACTTTTATTCTGGAGATCTGCCTTCTCCTAGCAAAACAGGAAATTGCATTTCGGGGCAGCGACGAAAAGATATACGAGCGATTTAATTTTTATGTAAGAAATGACATCACTGGACTAACGTTTTTTTACAATGCACAGGATACGTCACAAAATAAAGGCAATTTTCTTGAGATTGTTCAGTTCATGACACAGCACGCGCCATCGTTTTCTCGCGCAATGTCCTTAGCTGGGGAAAACGCTGTGTACACATCGCCACAAATTCAACGTGAACTGATCAAATGTGCGGCTGATGTTGTTCGAAAGCATATTATGGAGGTCGAGATTGCAGATGGATATTTTTCTGTTCTGGTGGATGAAGCAAGCTGCATGGCGAAGAAAGAGCACATGACTATCGTAATTCGTTTTGTGTGCGCTGCAACGGGGACTATTAGAGAAAGATTTTTTGGAACTGTCCATGTTCGCGATACGAATGCGGAGACACTGTACGATGGTTTGATAACGCAGTTAGCGAAGTGGGGATTGCTTTTGGCGAACTGTAGAGGCCAGGGATATGATGGTGCGTCCAACATGTCGGGTGATATTACTGGTCTTCAGCGGCGTCTACGCTCCCAGTGTCCTTACGCCTACTATGTTCACTGTTTCGCGCATCGACTTAATCTCGTCCTAGTTGCAGTGACTATGAACACGGTCTCGGTGGTGCAATGCTTCGACACCGTGCAAGGGATTCACACTACTGTAAGTGCTTCGTGTAAAAGGAAAAGATCAACTTCTTGGCGAAGCCGCTGTGGAATTGGAAAAAATCCTTGATCAAGGACATCTAGAATCTGGTAGAGGTTTAAATCAACCAACTTCTACCGAGGGTCTTAGCAAAACAAGGTGGAATTGCCACATTTGCGCGTTAAGAAAAGTCAAGATGCTTTGGGCCCCAATTACAAGTGTGTTAGAGCGTGTAGTGGTCGATGGTGTGAACCCCCACAAACGCGCTGAGGCGTCAGGAATTTTAGAGAAGATGTGGACTTTCGACTTCGTAGTTCATATGGATAAATATCGTGACGGTGCCGACACAATTTTTTTTACTTGATTAAAGTATAGGCAGACTGACCGCAACGCACGTATATTGACCAATGACATCTAGATTCACCCAATATCGGCCAATGAGATTGATTAGGTGTAGGGTAAAACGATGCCGACGCCGTGCCGACGTATAATGTAGGCACGGGGGCGAAAATATGCAGGGCGTCAATACGAGCCACCAGTCTACTGCTCATCACTCGAATATCTGCCCTCTTGCCGACAGAACGCTCGGAACCAGTATGAGCCTCCAAGACCTCGCCCCCGTCAACTCCCAGCGCGCTCTACAAACCGCAATCAACTTCGGGCGCTTCGTCGCGGCCCAAGGCGTCTCCATGGACTTCATCGCTGCCTCTCTCGCAGATGATGAGAGTGGGGCTGTGTTTGTGAAGCTCATGGACCGCTTTGGCGTTCACCTCGCCTTCGTTGAAGGCCGAGGAGGGAAGCCGCTGGCCAAGAACTCGGTCATGAGCTACTACCGCCATGTCAAGAACTGGCTGCTCGACACCTACCCTACGAATTCTCATGGACGGACTGTACTATGATGCCGCCAGCCCCAAGGACTACCAAGATGCCGCGTTACTGGCGCTGATGTGGTACGCGTTTGACCGAGCCTCGGACCTGGGGTTCGTGGTGAAGGGAAACCTGTCTGTGAGTGCGGATGGCGTTGTGTTCGTCCGGCTCATCCGCGTGAAGACTTCAGACGAGCAGGGCATCTCTCTCTTTTCCGACAAGAACAGCTTCATCACGTGCCCCCTGCATGCGATTGCGATGGCCCTGGTGATGCAGGACGCTCCGTGCACACAGCTGCTGGATCATCCGCACCTTGCCGCAAGCAGCGACGAGAGTATGACAGCCCCTTGTTGACGTGCCACTAGCTGAAGCTCTTGTTGCCTGCGAGAACGACGACACGCCAAGTGAACCGCCTCAGAAAAAGCGTAAACGGCCTGAAGAAAACATGAAGATCCACGCCTACGTGAACCGCGTTGTCAAGACAGCGTCTGCCGCTCAAGCTAAAGCGGTGCCAACTGCAAACTTGACGTCTCACTCGTTTCGACGTGGTGGGGCTCAGCATGCAAACGGTGATCCACTGCTTAGTGCTCAGTGGATTTTCGATCGTGGTTCGTGGAACATGACGGCTACCAACAAGGCTTTCGCTTACGTGTTCAACACTACCATTGAAGACCAGAAAGTAGCGCGTGTTCTCAGCGGGTGGGACTCGAGCAAGAAGACACCGGTTCCAACCCTCTCCTGGTTCGACTCCGCCAGCCGGCAGCAGGCACTGAGCTTGGGTAATCTTCTTTTCCAGCCAAACGTGTGCATCCAAGACCCCGAGAAGAAGCTCAACGCCCGCGTCGTTGAAGTTGTAACTGCCGCGCTGATCCAGCATTTTCCCGAGGTACTCGAGCGCTTCCCGATGTGCCCGTACGCTACCCGGATGCGCGAATGCCTGATGGCGTTGGGTTTACCAAAAGCTCAAGTTCTCGCGTGGAGCTCTGAACTACAGGCGAAGGTGGCACAAAAGGATCTGGAGGAATCTCAAGACGACGCGGAGGCATTCACAAGAGAAGAGAAGCTGATCGATCACCAGAACTGCATCATCGGCGAGCTGATAGCCATGAATCGAGCCTTGACCGAGCGGGTCACCCAACTGGAGAGTCAGCGCGACGTTGGTCAGGATGACTCCTCCACAAGTTTGCCTGCACCGGTGGTGGCACCACAATCGCATTGCGAAGATTCCGCTACTGTATCGAAGTCGTGTGGAAGCAAGGCTCTCCCGAAAGGCCCAGCGGCTATTTGGTTTGAGTGGTACGCAAAAACACCACGTATGTGGGACGTGTGTGCGGATCGGCAGAAAAAATCAGCGTACAAGCACACCGTGAACTACATGAAGCTCTTCTTACCAAACGGCTTTGAGCTGGACCCGTCGGCCCCTGACTACACCGACCAAGTTGTCCGTACCGGAATTGAGGCCGAAGCCGGGATGTACAGATTTTTCGAAGAGCACGGAGTCAAGAGCAAACGTAGATCAGCTGTACTCAAGCAACTGCGCTAGTTTTTCCGGGAAAGCAAGCTCAACTCTCTAGTAGACGCGTACCGTGCTCGCGTTGCTGTCGCTGGCGTAACGGACCCAGCGCCCAAGGAAACGCAAGAGCTGTTTACACGGAAGTAGTTGGGTTATAGTTTCTAACGTGGGGCTATAATAAATGTTCTGCACCGCTACACATTACACTTCGATAAATGTATAGCGTACAGCATGTAGTGTGCGTTTGACTTTCGTACGCAACTGCTGGAACGCCACAGAGCTTCATAATATCGATCTACTCTTAAACAGCTCATGCATTTGACAACATCTTGCACTGCAGCCGAGGCGGTGTGCTACCACTCTGAATCTTTACTGTAGCCATTTTAATTGTAAAAAATAAGAGTGCTCCTGTCTTAAAGGTTATTTTATGATTACCCAGATGTTACAGACTAAACAACGGTTTTGTTTAAAAGAAGGATTTTATTGTTGGTAGTTAATCGGCTCGACCGCGTAAACACAGCCCAGATCAGCAAAGAAGTGGCGTAATCCGTCTTCGGTACTTGGCTTGTAGACGAGCTCGTCCGAGCCGATGAAGTAGTGCTTGTCGCCAACCGCCGCGCGAGCGATGCAGTGCCAGGTACCCTCTTCTTGGCCCAAGGGCCTACCGATGATCACAAGGTGCCTAAAACTAGACCTAGGAATCTTCTTGAACCATCTTTGCGAACTGCAGTTGAACGTGTTGGTACTGTTCAGGTACCGCAGCTGATAGTCCTTGGCGCGAAGCGCTTCATGCAGTGCTTGCATAGAATACGCCCCGTACTTCTCATCGCCGTGGGGGGTTGGCCCTTCTTCCTCGGGTGCAGCCGCGTTAAGACGACGCACGATTGGCACCAAATCCTCCACGGTTAAAAAACCCCGGGTTTGCACCGCATTGTTGATCGAGTACAATCCACAGAGAGAATATCTCTCGGATGTACCGCTCTGATTCTCACACATTGGGCCGCCCCTAGTCCGTCTACCCACAATGATTGCATCTCTGTCCGTGGAAGGTCTAGCAAATCGCCGGACGTGAAGAGAGACGCGCACAAAAAAAAAGACTCCCCACTCTTACTTAACACTGACGTGAAATCGCTAGCAAATCGCCGGTGGGGTGAGCGCAAAAGCAAAAGTGAGTAGGACTGCATCGCTGCATCGATGGCGACGAGCGCTAACTAACTGTGTAAATTTCAATGCTTTTAATACAGTACAGCCAGATGAACTCTCGAAAAATGAGAAATGTATTGCGTTTTTGTATGTTACGCAGCGCTAATGCTGCTGTTTTAATAACCAACATGCAAACTCTTAAGTTGGTAACAGCGGCAGAATTGCAGGTGTCAGGCAGTAACAGCCTGACACCTGCAATCCAGGATTTGCTCTGGCACGGCAGGAGGAGTGGTTGTTTGATTGCTAACCGCCTGGGCACCATGCCCGATGTGCATGATGTGCCTGCTTTTTTTAGCCAATCCCAGCTTGTAGGCACTCTGTCGGCCGATGTCGGCACCGTCATGGTATGGAGATTCTCACTGCAGTTTTGGGAAAAACAAATTGGCTGTCCCAATTTTTGCAGAAAGATGACGTCGATATCGTGTCAGCCGTGAATATGACGAAGCAGGTATCCAAAGAACTAAAAGAAATGCTCGATCATAGTTCTATGACTGGGAACTCGCCAAGTTTTGAATCGATTTGGAACTCATCGGTCAACTTTTGCAAATCAATACAAGTTGACGACACCCCTCTCATTCCTGACAAAAATGACGTGTGGAAACGACGCGTAATGAGAAGTCGGGTGTGTGGCAGGGCTGGAATTCCAGGAGCGGACTCCTCCAGGGATGGTGTCCAGCCTACACAAGAAGCTCACTATCGTGACGAAGTATACAACTGTATCCTTCGTGACCTGATTTCTGAAATGGATTCACGATTTAGTGGAGAAGTTTTTAGTCTCATGGAATTGTGCGGATCGCTCAGTCCACGTGATAATTTCAAGAATTGGAGCGCTACTAAAATTGTTGAGCTGGCTAAAACATTTTATCCCGATGATTTCACCGATGAGCTGGACGACCTTCGAGAAGAGGCCACTCGGTTTCGCAATTTGGCAAAGATCGACAAAAGGTTCCAAAAATTGAAGACAACGCAACAACTATGCATCCAACTCATCGGGACCGATAACAACGAGCTGTTCCCGACCTTGCACCGAATTATTAACTTGGTGTGTGTGCTGCCTGTAACAACTGCCGCTACGGAGAGGTCTTTCTCAGCCATGAAAAGAATTAAGACGCGGCTCAGAACAACAATGGGAGATCTTTGGATGTCAAACCTGATGGTTTTGGCTATCGAGCGTGATCTTACAAACAGCATCGACAAGACTCGGCCCTCGAAAAGTTTAAAGCGATGACAAAAAGAAGAATCGTAATGTAGGTTGTGGATTTTACTTTAAAAAATCTATGCCCCCCCATTTTTTAAGGCTGGCTCAGTTATTACTGGCCAAGGTTGGCGCGACCATTCGCTAGCCGCGTCTCTACAAAAGGAATGGCCCGACGCCGGAATGGCCTTCTGCTTGCGGCATTGGCGCTCTGTTGCTGCTTGCTAGCGAGCGTGCGGGGTGCGTGTCCGTCCAAGTGCAATCGTCATGGCACCTGCGGAAGCGACAACACGTGAGAGACCCCGTGGAGTTTCCGATGCCATCCCCATTGCGTTCGTACATACTGACTTGCCAACGCCTGTATACTGTAGCTGCACGTGCTTCCCGGGCTACACAGGCTACGACTGCAATGAGCGAGCGTGTCCGAAGGCCTCCCCCTGGGTGGACTTCGCCACGGGCGACAACTCGGTTCGATCCATGGCGGAGGAGTGCTCCAATCGCGGCCGCTGCAACCACGGCAACGGGCGGTGCGAGTGCGATGCAGGCTTCGCTGGCGTCGCCTGCGAGCGCCTGCAGATCTGCCGGACCAACTGCAACGGCCACGGCAAGTGCATGTCCATGCGAGCGATGGCCGCTGCCAAGAACGACTACAACCTGCTCTACTCGGCCACGTACGACTCGCCCTGGGACGCCGACCGGATCTTCGGCTGCGTGTGCGACCACGGCTACACGGGCGTGGACTGCTCGCTCCGACAGTGTCCGTATGGGGACGACCCCATTTCCTCCGGTCAGGTGGACGAGATGCAGGCTGTCTCCTGCCTCTGCGATGGCTGCACCGGAACGTTCACGCTGAGCTTTCGTGGCGAGACGACGCGGCCTCTGGACGGGAGTGTGGACACGGCGGCGACGCTGAAGGCTGCGCTGGAAGACCTGCTCACGATCCGAGGGGTGTCCGTCACGTTGAACGGAGGAACGACCCTCTGCGACTCGGACGGCGTCTCGGCATTGATCACTTTCACGTACGAACATGGAGACGTCCCAGCGCTCGTTGCTACGCCGAGTTTTGTAGGGGGTACCAGCTCGCTTACGGTGGAAACAGGCGTGTCACTTTGTTCTTAGTGGATATCGTAAATAATGGAGCTCTGACTGGGTATCGATCGCACAGACGGAACACAAGCCATGTATGGATCCACTCCACCGCTGACTGTGACGGGAACCAAAGAGGTACGAGCGATATAATGTAGCTCAGCTTTTGGTGATGATGTAGCTAACACACGCCTTGCTCGTCATGAATAGTGGCTCGAATGCTCAGGTAGAGGGACCTGCAACACGCTCATTGGCGTCTGTGCATGCGCGGCAGGCTTCGGGCCCAGCGATGGTAAGTCTCCGCTTATTATCGCTGTCTCGCATGACTACACTAACATTCCTGAGCAGGACTGGGAAACTCGGGGAGCATTGTAGACTGCGGATATTATAGCGGCAGCGGCTTGGTGACCTGCGCAGGTATAGTGGTGCTGCAGATTTCTCAGCAAGAATCTCCTCGGACTAACTAAACCTCCTGTCGGTAGGGATTTCGGGCTCGGTAACTCGCTGTTACAGTCATGGACGATGTTTGGGCGGGCCGCTGTACCGATGTCTCTGCGATGAGGGGTACGGGGGTTATGACTGTTCTCAACCAAAATGCCCCACCGGGCGTGCGTGGGTAGAGGAAGCGATGACGAACAACGTGGCGCACAACTCCATTGTGCAATGCTCGAATGCGGTACGCACTTGATGCTCCGTTGCTTGCCCATGGTCGTGCAGCTATTGATAACTGAGTGATGAAATGCCGTCCTACCAGGGTCTTTGCACCAATGCAGGTACGTGCAGATGTCTTCCCGGGTTCGAAGGAGCTGCATGCAATCGAAGTACGTTATAACGCTGGGGTCTTTCAGTCCTCTGCTCTAGCTAACGTTTCGGTGAAGTGTCATGCCCCACCAGTAACGGAGCTGTCTGCAACAACCGCGGGACTTGTCGGTCGCTGCGAGAGCTGGCAGCGCTCACCCCGACGGCGTTGTATACCGCCGCTGGCTTCATCTACGGCTCCGACCCGAACGCATTGGCAACTTGGGATGCCGATATGGTTCAGGGCTGCTACTGCGACAAAGTCCCGCTGGACCGCGGCAAGAGTGTCCGCTACTCAGGATATAGCTGCTCCAAAAGTACGTACAAATTGTTGTTGGGAGTTATTAAGGTCTTTGTTTGACGCCTTTGTTCATTTTGACCCTCGGCAGTTCCGTGTCCGAGCGGCGATGATCCGTGGACGCCCAACCAAGTTGACGAGGTACAAACCATCAGCTGTACAGCTGATGGAGGGACCTTCACACTGGCATTTCGTGGCGAAACTACGCTTCCTCTACCCTTTTCAGCAGCTCCTGCATCCGTGAAGTCTGCACTAGAGAATCTACTGACGTAAGTTTGACCATCTCTTGCATAGAATCTCGACCATTTCAACAATTGACGCACTGTGTATCCATCGTAGAATCACAAGTGTTGGAGTTACCTTTTCATCGGGCACGTTAGCTTGTACTAGCGCTGGCAACGGTACGGCAAACGATGTTGTTTTGCGAGGTTTTTGGATGGACTACAATCTTACAATTTGTTGTGCATTGCAGCGATCATCGTCACATTCTACTCTCCATCGGGAGACCTTCCGGCCCTCGCCATTTCTGCAACAGGGCTCACCCACTCAACAGCAACTGTGGCTACCAACGTTGCCCAGACTATTCAGGGGACCAAGGAGGACGCTGTGTGCAACAACCGCGGAAGATGTGGTAAGGCTGCTGCATGTCAGCATACTGTACACTCAACTAAACTAACCCTACTATCCCAATGTTGCTTTTAGACGAAGACACAGGGACATGCGTGTGCTCCTTGTATCATGCCAGCAGCAACGCGCTTGGCGACTTTGGCGTTTTGAACGACTGCGGCGCTGCCGACGCTTTCATGACACATGGCGAGCTTTAAAACGACATTCAAGCAGGGTATATTAGAGAAATGGAGAGGTATCAAAGCACGCACATTATTAAGGTAAACAGATCTCATCAAGTTGTGCTGCTGCATCAATTATCGTCCCGAAGGTCAATCGCTTCCTTCGCAAAACGTCGCAGGCCCGTTTCGATACCAGCGAAGCTGAGATTGGCGAAGTCCTGCAAGTAGAAGACCCCGCTATATCCCACCTCTCGATGGCCAAAGCATAGTTGCCCCTCTGCCCAGTAGTCCTCAATCGTGTAGTTTTTGAGGTCGACACTTGAGTTGAACGACAGCAAGTGCGACCAGATGACCGGGTCAGGGTAGCCGTCCGCCTCGAATCGACCATCACGCGTCCCAGTTAGCTTGTTCATGTTCCTATGTAGGAACAGCACCTCCCCCCTGCATCGTGCTGCACCATCGTCATACCGCAGAACGACCCGTTGATCACCCAGCCCGCCGAAGCCGGTGGGCTTTGAATCATGTGAAACGAAGCGTCAGCTTCATCCACGCAAAGCGGAAGAGGTCCTTATCTCCATAGAAAATGTCGAGTTTCCTGAGGTAATTGGGTTCGTGGAATGCGTAAAAGTTCACGAGCTCAAGCGCCGCACTATGCCGGACACGATCGATAAGAACCTGGCCGCTTTCCTGTTCAAACATGTCGACAAACGGCGTGTCGAGGAGCTCCCATAGCATCGCCGTCTCGGAAGATGTTGAAAAGGGTCTGTGAAGGGTGCCAAAAGTCTGGCCAGAAGATGGCACCAGTTGTCACGAACTCTGGCGACTCGAACAGAAAAGTCGGGTCTCTCACAGGCGCGTTGTCGGCATCTAGGAAGAGCACGCGGTCGAAGAGGCTGTTGTGAATGGCGTAAATTTTGGAGTATAAAAGCCCTTGGCCTGTGAGCTGCGAATTGGGTGGAATGAAATGTCGCCGGCGGAGACGGTGAGCTGCTGGAGCGACGCGAACAAGCCGTGGAAGTCTCCGAGTTCATCCACGTGGAACCAGATCTCAATGGGCAGACTGAATGGTAGCGTAGGCGCTAGCAACCAGTCTCGGGCATACGACCATGGCAATTCCGTCACGCGGAGACGCGCCGTTGTTCGTTAGGGAGACGTTGGAAGCAATCCAGTTGTTTACAGCTTGAACGCCCTCCACGGGGTAATTGACGAAGCCTGGAGCGTCTGAGCAGCGGAATTCGACGTGGGGTAAGGTTTTAAACAGATCTTATGCAGGTCTGGTCCTGTTTTGGGTCCTACGGCATCTAAACGAGACCGAACAGAAAATCAGTATGATTTCGCTAGCGGTCCCGTTTGGATGGCGAGACCCAAATGATATCACTACGAAACAAGCCATTTTTAGACCCCCTTCACCCTGATATAAAATATCGTGATAGATTATAGAGGGCAGCCACTATTGAAGTAGAGCTGGAGATTATAATATGAAACCCAAATGTCTGAATTTGCGAGCGAGTGTCTTGCTGGTGTCGATCCCTGGACCGTCGACGCTGCTCGGACTGTACGCTATTGCTAGACTTTCTTAATGAGCTTTAACTAACTGGGTTGCTCAGACGTCCTCGTGCCTGAATCTACTGCTATCTTCGTCCATGTAGTCTTGTATGCATGTACCGCTGATCCTTGGTACTTGGTACTTGAAGTACTTGCTTGTACTTTGCCTCTGCAGGAAGCTAGATAGTGATCCAGTGATCGACATCCAGCAGGGCGCTAGCTCGCAGCTCGCCCTCCGCATCCCACGTACGCAAAATGAACTTCTCGATTGTCCCTAAGACCGCAATTTAAGGAAAACTACAATTGGTCTAGCCTTAGTGCATACTTAAGTATAGCGGTAGCTGGTGGGCCGAAGATCGGCGTGGACTTCTTCTCATATGCTTTGGTTGCTGTTGGCTCGCTGACGTTCGGCCCGATTAGACTGAATGATATCCTGTGAAGCTTGCTGGTCCGAGAGTTGGCACCGTTTGGACGCTTTGCTTGCGTTGGGTGCGCTGGTTGGGCCCATGGTGATTGCGTTGCGACCTCGTGAGTTGCCTGTATGACAGTGTTGGTACCATGGAGAGACTATTGGTGCTGACGGATCCACCGAGTGTGTACTCTATCGTTTGGCTGAGTTATTAACTCGCGGGGGCAGGGGTGTTCATCAAGTCGGATGGCCCGGGCAGCTAGAGTACAAGCCGGATTAGCATGACTGACAGTTAACCTGACAGCAGGGTTGAAGTTTTTGTCCAGTATGGTTTTTCATTTGCAATATCCCCTGTAATACAAAATACATTTATTTTCCGTTTGAATATTTAATTGTAGAGTTTTTCTAAAACCTTGTTTTCTGTAGGGTCTTTTAGGTCCCATTTGGAGGCTGATTTTATTTCGGTCCTGTTTTGGTCCTACGGACCAAAAAAGACCAGACCTGCATAAGACCTGTTTAAAAATCTTCCCGACGTGGCCCTTCAGTCCGTTGCAGTGTTTGCGCATGACTTGAAAGCGTTCGCCCGAATCCAGATCCTCCACTTCGCAGTACCCTGACATTCTCCTGGTGATGGCTGCGTTGCAGTCTTTGTCGTTCTCGGGTTCGAGTGGGCCGCTAGGAGTGCACTCGCTAGTGGATCTCCAAGAGATGCACTGCAAGCGTCGTGCCTTCCGCTCACCTGGTGGCAAAAGCTTCGCACGACCGGAGCTTCCGACTAAATTCCCGATGAGAAAAGAGCTCGTGTTACTCGACGACCAAAGCAGAAATGACGACACGAACACAAGGCTGCCTAGTACGAGCAGCCTGCGTGGCAACCGTCGCCAGCGCCATGCATGTGTGAACGAAACAGCTCAGTGCTTGATAACGGTGTAAACGTAGATCTAAGTAAACTACGCCATCATCAATCGCTCTGCGTTTCAGCACTCCTCCCGCCATCGTAGTACGAGGCAGCCGTGTCACCCGCATTCTGGTATCTAGCAACTAACTATCCAAAAACGAGGGCGTGTTGAGGAGAAAGACTCATGGAGTCATTCCTTCCCGCAACAAAGAGCCGTCTCCATCTAATTATGGCGATCAGGCATCCTTGGGGAGACGCGAGGAGCGCACTGAGCCCTTTACGAAGTGTGTATCCCATGATTACAGCCAGGTGAGCGGTTTTGAGAGCGCAACGAACGAGGAAAAGGTTAGAATAAAAATACGGATCACTGATATCAGTTACACGGCCATAATGCCCGAAAATGCAAGCGCCTCCCGGAGGGAGGCTGGCGCACTGGGGGCGGGCGGTGGCTTGGGTGCTTGCTTGCTGCGGAGAGCGTTGGATAGTGAGAGACCGAAGGGCAAAGCTTCTGGCGCCGTGAATGCCGCGAAGAGCGCGGTTGACGGAGCCCCCCCCTCACTGCCTCTAACTACGATGGTGGGGTGGGGGACGTGCTAAAGGTTATTGTTAACACTGCCGGCAGTTGAGGTTGTCCGTTGCACGCAGGGTTTCAGGCCGGAGACCAGATCCGTAACGGATGATGCGACGAACCGAAGAAACCCAGGAATGAAAACTACCACGATGCGTCCGTTACATTGTCAACGGCAAGGCCAGAGTTTGCGGAAAGCATGGTATAGAACACACCCAGAACAAACCAAACCAAACCAAACCTCGGCCAGCTCAAACCAAACCAAAATTACCGGCAAACCAGGTTTGAATCGGTTTCATGGTTTGAACACGTTTCATTTTGTAACTCCAAACCAAGCATGCGGTTTTTGCGAACCAGCGCGCTGGTCTGAACCGCGGCTGCACATTCGCAGACAGAGTGCGGCTTTTACAGAATGGATCGCTGTTAGAATCACTTCACTGTTATCGTGCTCTTCGGCAAACAATTATCGCGATTGAGAAACCGCTTCGATCAGTGCGACCACGGGAACGCCCAAAGATAAAGTAGTTGCAAGCAAGCTTGCTGTCAGCTTGAGCCAGTCTCCGGCTCATGATAATATGGCCAAACTTTCTTTTGCGGTAAATAAAATATACACAGGCAGACACGACGTCAGAGAGTATATAAGTCCAGATATTCAACAAGTTTACTCGATAAATCAAGGGGGATAATTTGCCCGTTTATTAAGATGCCACGGGCTCAAACCTTGGAACGGTCCCCTTATTCCAACTTGGAGCTCCGGAATTCAGGACGAAGGAGCGAATGGAGGATTTAGTTAGGTCGTTCGAGCGCTGGACGGGAATATGTGTTTACAGGTAGGCAAGATCGCGTCACAGCACTAGCCGTGGCCAGTGGAAATGGCGAATTTGATGCGAAGTCTCTCAAGAAAGATCAAAAGAGGCTGATGTTCGTCTGAGTGAACAACTAAGTTTGTGCGCACACCAATGGCTTGCTTCTGTTCGCACTTTCAAGACGAAGTGGTTCCGTCTCTAAAGCTCCCTTAAGTTCCGCTGATACGTAGGTCGCGTTCACAATTTGGCTACTGCAAGCTCGGGATAGATAGGCTATCTACATAAGTGGTTTCCTTAACATACAGTGCATTATCTTACTTAGTATTGATCAGTAGAAATTATCCCTGATTGCAACGAGCTCAAGTGCTTCTTGCACCTGCAGTGCGTGCGTGCATGCATAGTATTGGAGTGTGTTGTGGTTACCGATCCGGACTGTGGTCGAAGGAGCTGTGCTCCCGACGACCGCTTCACCTGTCACGAGTCCCCGATACAAGTGCCGTCATACGTCATAGGTAGTTGGGCTAGTAGTGACGCGAGTCGTAGTACCGCCATGGCGGCGGTGTAAGGCGCGACTGTGTCCTGCGGACTGGTTTGATGGTTCAATGGCTCTCTCTCGTTACACCAGAGGTCGGAAAACAATATTGCAATACAGTAAATAATTGGTTTTTCCAATAAAAATCTTTATTATTGAGCGCCCCGGTTTCCAATACAATTTCATATTGACTCAATTATTGACAATAAATATGAAAAAAACCACTTTCATAGAATTTTTGACTGATGATGTCAAATTCTAGCTGCTAAGGGCTCAACGCCACATCCAAGCAAGTATTCCATACCATAATGACTATTATATAGGTATGCATTAGCATATATATGTCCGTTTTACCAAGCTCGCCGGTAGAAAACAGCTTTGAGCGTCCGATAAGACACCGACCGCTATCATAATACTGTGAGCATACAACATGTAACTACGCGTAGACTAAGCCTCAGGTAGCCTTCACAGTGAAAGCTTCACTACTAAAATTTTGAATATCAATGCAAAGTATGATACTGAACTGCTGCTGCTTACCTTCTCCCCCCTCTAAATCGATAAAACAGTATGTTTTATGCGCCAATACAATATAAATTACGGCAATATTTATTATTGTTTGTCAAAGAATTGTAATATTTATTGGGCTTCGCAATGATCCCAATACAATATAATACGGTATTGGCGGACCTCTGCATTACACCGACGCTCTCTGGGGGGGGAGGGATATCGCCGCCGAAGTTGCCTGGCCGGCGTTGCTCTAGCCAGTCAGAGGGGCGTGCGAGTAAGTACTCAGGCCGTGGCAACCAAATGTGAACGGCATCGTTGCCTTTGCTATTGAGAGCTATCGCTAGCGTCAAACTGTTAATGCAGGCGCGAATTTAGATCAATAAGCAGCGCTACATCGTCGGCGAAAAAACGAGAATATTCAGCCGGACCCTCCTTCACCTATGACGGTGAAGCGTAGGTAGACTCGAACGCCTAAAACGCCGACACGGCTGCGCTGCATATAGAGAACATTGACCCGAATGACACTTAATACATCTCATTTGTTCACCTACGTGGCCTACGCATTTAGGTCACGTGACCTAGTCACAACATTTGGCCGTGACCAAATATGCCATTTGACCTAATATATCGGTTACCATCCCCAGTGGTGAACTCGCTGACAAGTTTAAACTCGACGAGCTGTTATTACCATCACCGCTGCCGCTCTCTGGGTTCTCCGGCACGGTGATCCCTGTACGACCCAAGCCATCGTTTAGCGCCGAGTTGAAGTCTGTCGTCGAGAAGAGGTCCCACGAAGAACCGAACTCTGGAGCGGACCCATTGGAGTCGCTGGTGGACCACCCCGCAGGGATATTCAGATCCACCTCGGACCTCTTCACTGCCGCGATCAGCAGGATGCAGAGCAGCGGGCCGAGTACTTCAACAAGCGTCACGAGCGGGTGACGTCTCTTAACCGTCCAGTTCTTGGCCACCAGTGCGCGCAGTACAGGCCACGAGCGACGTCCACTCGCCTCCTTCATACTTTGTACCCTGTTTACACGATGACCAGTGTATGAAAAGCTGAAATGAGTTTCGTTGGGGAAAAGCAAGTAAAACGGACGCCGTTCATGCTAACCCGATCCGTTACCACCTCGTTCATTAACTAGTTGCCGGGAGGGTCGCCTGGTTGATAATAGTTAATCGAAGGACAACGCGATAAAGAATCACTCCCACTTTGCAAGCTCTATAATGCAAACCCTGAGAAGCATGAGTCTGTTGGAGTGTAGTGGACACAGTTTACAGGGTCGTCGCACCAAGCAGGAGACCAGCCGCGACCGCGAGATGCTACATGACTTCAGTCGAAGCGTGTGAACCTTGGTGTCCGTGACGTTCAGCAACGGATAGCAGGCCTCGCAGCAGTGTGTCAATTCTGGGCCCGTCCGCCATGCTGGGCTCGTCGTTTTGTAGAGCGTACAACGGACAGACGGAGAATGCAAACGGGAAAGCGTAGGGGGCGTCTTCAACTGCCAAACGGTTAACTACCACGGATCAAGAGCTAGGTAGCCCGTCCCTCTATCACCGCAGCAAGAGGCAGGAGCTCACTCTTGGGCGCCGTCAGCCCCGCCACAGAAGCGTTAGCTGCGGGACTATCATTACGCAAAGCTCCTCGCAGCACGCACCCAAGCCTCCGTCCCCTGTGTGGCCGCCTCCCCCTCCCTGCCCCGTGTCGCCGGAAGCGTGCAACGTGCCGACCGATTGCAGCTACCAGTGCACGGCTTCCCCACAGCACTTTGTCGACCAACTTACTTGGCCACTCAAGGGAACACCATGAAGTCACTGGGGCGTCTTTGGGGAACCGGTCTGGTTTTGGCGTCGGTATTGGTTTCCGCCAAGGCTGATATCGAGCTGACGAGTGTCGTTTACTTCAACGCGGAAGATTCGTGCCAAGATGCTGTGGGTCCGCCTCCACTGGTTTCAGCTACGGTTGCGAGCTCGTGTGAAGATTTAACGACGTGCGAGTTGACGGATGGGGCGTACCACAACACGATATGTGTCACCACGGACGGATCCACTTCAGGGGAGTTCTACTCGATGTTCCTGTCGGTCCTGTTTGGCGCTGGCTGTAGAGAGCTACCAGGACAGTTCAAGCTGCGATGACCCTGACAAACTTGGGAGTGTGGTCGTTTTCCTGCCAACGGCAAGTGCAACACGGACGGCGCTACAAGCTTCGTGGCCACCATTGCAGGCACTGGCGATGCAACGCTGATGTTTTACGCCGACACGGAGTGTACACCTGGTCAAGAGAACGGAGGCCTTAAGCAGTTGTCCTTGGACCAGGATACCAGCAAGAGCGCGTGTCTTGACGATTCGAATGGTGCTTACTCAATGGCATATGGAAGCGGCGTGACTGTGATCGATAGCAGCGGCTCGACTTCCAGCAGTGGGCCCACGAATGCCAACAGCGGTGGGGAGGGCTCAACGACTGGAAAGTACACAGTTGGTGCTTTCTTCGAGGATTCCGAATGTAATCAGCCGACGTCTGTTTCAATCGGCACCAGAGACTGCAGCGCAGATTTCACTGCAAGTTGCATGAAAGTAACCGAGCATTATATTCAGACCTCCTGCACCGAGGACTACCTCGAGTACGCATCTGCGGCTTTTGATGGCACTCCTTATTTGGTGGAGAAGCATTACGACAAGGAGAGCTGCACAACCGAAGACCATGCCATGGTGTACAAGGCAGACAACGCGTGCCATACTCTCTCTATGACGGGGGCCCCCCAGCTTCACAGCAACACTTAACACCGATGGGTCGGGTGTTTTGGTGAAATACTCGGATGCTGAATGCAAAGAGGATAGGAAGGAAACTGCGCTGAAAAAGGAGCAGCTTACCAGTCACGCGTGTATTGATCAAGCCAAGTACTATGCCTTCAATACTGCAACCACCCCGGCGGCAACCACAGCCACCCCGAGTGCAACTTCAACCGCGACGTCTGCTGCGACCTCAGTGATCCTGGTCTCTTCTCTTCTGGTTGGACCCCTGGCTTTCCTCGGAGGTCGTGCGCTGTTGCTTCTATGAGAATGGTCGTGCGCTTCGGCAACGGAAAGCGAGGTGGCCGACGTGGGCTTTCGGCTTTACATTTGAGCTCAGCAGCTTGCTCATCCGAGCCCCTGCATGCATTCTTTCTTTCAGTCTAATCGATGACCCACAACTCGTAGGTTAGCGCTAAGACTTTCATATCATAGCCACAAAATCCAACTTGCATTTTACCATCAATCGTCTTTATACACAAGAACGAACCAACAAAGAGCTCAAGTCTCCCTGTCATGGTTCAACCAGAACCTCGACTGTCAGCGTGAGCACACGCTCTCGATACGCAGCTGCAACTACCCATTCGTGGATCAGCCTACAAGACGCCACAAACAACGGAATCTAGCGGATAGTTCACATGTAGCTAGCTATCACAGGATATGAGCTCTCACTGCTTTCATTTCAATCTCATTCTCAATTTTCACGCCTACTACTCAAGCTCCAGCTCTATTCAAGCTCAGCTACAACTCAAGGCTATTGGGTGTCACACTCCCTCCTCAGCGAAATCAACTCTTCCAGCACGAAGGCTCGACCAATCCTGTGGAAGCTCTGAGCAGAGCTTGCTGCACGACAGCAAAGGGCATACTCGAGTCTTGAGTACGCTCATTCCTCTCGACAACCAGACGCATCGCGGGGTACTACATTTCAAACACACGCCTTCCTTCGAAGCGTTCGCGGCCATCATGACCAAAGCTTGGTATCCCTACATAAGTTATAGCTCATTCCGGAAGCTGCACTTGAGATTATGCGGACGAGGCTTGGTAGTCGAGTGTTGGTTAGGAAGGAAATCCGAAAGTGAATTAGAATGAGTTAGGCCAAACTAACTATCATATCCTAGTCTCCTATGCTTAAACATGAATCGTACCAACGCATACCTCCGATCGTATCCAGAAAGGCAACTTCAACTTGCCTTTCTCTCAGCCAATCAGAAGTGTCAAAGCTAGGGGCTCCGTCAATCAGATCCCAGTATTCCACCATGTGTACCACAATTGCCTACCTTTGGCAACAACTTCACAGCAAGCACGTGCCTCGATACGGAGACACACAACTAGACTGCGAAGTGTACAATCGCAACACCCCCACTCAATTTGCAGTCTACCCGAGCATCTCAGTGATGTTACTGCGCTCGAGCAGATAGCGAAGAGTCTTCGTCGAGAGTCCCTTGGTCAGGAAATCAGCGAGTTGGTTCTTGGACTCAACGTAGTCGAGCTCCACAACACCACTCGTGATCTTCTCGCGGATGAAGTGATAGCGGATGTCGATGTGCTTGGTGCGAGCTTGGTAACCGACATTCTTCGCCAACACCATGGCGCCTTGGTTGTCCTCGTAGATCACCGTAGGTCCAACTTGCTCCGCACCCAAATCCTTGAGCAGCAGTCGCATCCACACCACCTCCTTCACACATTCGCTGAGAGCCATGTACTCCGCCTCAGTCGAACTCAGCGCGACCGTCTTCTGAAAAGTCGATCGCCAAACCACGGGAGCACCACACATCATCAGCATCATTCCGCGTACAGAGCGTCTGTCGTCGCGGTTGCCAGCCCAGTCGGCGTCCGAATACGCGACGAGCTCCGTGCCAAGCAATCCATCGTAAACGATTCTGAGATTCGTGGTCTTCAACAGGTACCGTACCACACGGATACCAGCATCCCAGTGCTTCTCACCGGGGTTCTCCAGAAAACGGCTCAGCTTGGCCACTGCAGCTGAAATGTCCGGTCGAGTTCCACACGCCAGGTACATCAAACTTCCCACGAGAGAGCGATACGGCTTCGACTTCATCTTGGCCTTGTCCTCCTCGGTTTGGGGTTCGTCCGCCTTGATCAACTGCACACTTGGGTCGAGTGGAGTCAGACACGGCTTCGCATTCTCCTGGCCGAACTTCTTGACGATCGACGCGGTGTACGCCCACTGGCAGATGCCCAACGTCTTGGCCTCCATGTCGTAGTCGATCTCGATGCCAAGGATGAATCGAGCGCGTCCGATGTCCTTGATGCGATACTTGTCCGCGATGCCTGCCTTCGCCGAGTCAATGATAGTCCGCTGGCGAGATGCAATCAGCATGTCGTCGACGTAGAGACACACAATGCACTCGTTGTCACCAGCACCTCTCGTGTAGCCACACGGGTCGGCATCGGCAGCTCGAAATCCCATGCTCTTGAGATGCGCGTCGATCGTCCCGTTCCATACGCGAGACGCTTGCTTGAGTCCATACAAACTCTGCAGTAGCAGGCAGACGACGCCATCTTCACCTTGAGCTTCAGCCAAATCCAGCAGTTCTCGAAGTCCTTCAGGCAACACCATGTAGGTCTCCTCTTCGAGCTTTCCATACAAAAACGCAGTGTCGATGTCACACTGGTCAATCTCCATTCCGTCGGCGCAGCACTTCGCGAGTTTCGCACGAATGGAGTTCAGGTACACCACCGGCGAGTAGGTCTCCTCGCAGTCGATTCCATGGCGCTGCGAGTACCCCTTGGCCACGAGACGAGCCTTGTACCGAACGACTCTCCCCGTCTGATCGCGCTTCAACGCGAACACCCAGCGGCAGCCAATCGCGCGCTGGTGTTTGGGCTTGGGCATCAACTTCCATGTCTTATTCGTCATCAGCGACTTAGCTCACTTGCAATCGCTGCCTTCCATTGGGCACGATCCTCACTCGTAATCGCCTCTTGATACCTTGGCACCTCCTCCGTTGCAGCCATCAGCATTCCGCCGTGAATGGCTAGCTGGGTGTCGTCCGACTTGGCACGACCTTGGTCCACCTTCTGACGCTTCGTCCTGATCTCGGATGACGCAACGACTTGTTTCTTGCGAGTTCCGGGCTCCTCAGGATCGTTGGTCTCTTCAATGTGACGAGCACGCGACCGAGTAATCATCGGATGGGTAGTGTACGGAACGATTGCTCCACCTGTCGTCACGTCATTCGGCGACATAGTCGGGCCGCCAACTTCAACTTCAGTCGAAACGTCGCGAACAGGCACCAGTGCAGGTACGCCGCCCGAGCTTGGTGCCGCTGGAGTCGAATCTTCATCGTCGTCAATCTCCAGGCGCGTCATCAGGTGATCGGGTTCCGTCATCTCCATGAACCTCACAGTGCGCACGATTTGCACCTTTCCCGTCGCCACGTTGAGAACGCGGTACCCCTTCACACCATCCTCGTAGCCCAGGAATCGACACTTGAACACCTTCGCATCCAGCTTCCGACGCTTTTCATCGGCGATGTGGGCGTAGCCGAGTGCACCAAACACCTTCATGTTCTTGAGTTGAGGCTTGGCTCGGTGCACGATCTCGTGGGGTGTCTTGACGGTCACCGATTTCGGGATCCGATTCATGATCCAGGCCGCCGTGTTGATAGATTCCGCCCACCATTTCTTGTCGATTCCTTCATGGTAGAGCATGCAGCGCGCCATCTCCACCAAACTTCGGTTCATCCGCTCAGCCAGTCCATTCTGCTGAGGCGTGTACGGCACCGTCTTCTCATGCTTGATGCCGTTGCGGCCGAGGTAGGCTTTGAACTCCTTGCCTGTGTACTCGCCGCCATTGTCCGAACGCAGGCGCTTGATCGTCTTGCCCGTTGCGTTCTCCATTGCTGCCTTGAAGATCTTGAACTTCGACAGCACCTCCGATTTCGCCTTCATGAAGTGCACCGTCACGTGCCTCGAGTAGTCGTCGATGAAGGTCACTGCGTATGTGCAGCCTCCAGGTGTCTTGGTCTGCATCGGACCCATGACGTCCGTGTGCACCAAGTCGAGTACACCTGCACTCTTGACCAAGTTGTCAGGGTGACGTGGGAAGTCGTCAGCGCGCATCTTCCCCAGGCAACATCCGGCGCACACGTTATCCATCGACACGTCGCCCGCGATGCGCGGTACCCCATCGGCCATGCTCAACAGCTGTTCGTAGCGCTTGTACGGGATGTGGCCGAGACGGGCGTGCACGACGGCCCATGGCTCCTTACGAGATGTCGTCGCCGCACGACACACCTCGTCCCCCACTGTCTTCAGCTTGTAGACGTTTCCACAGCGCTTGGCCTCCATCACCGCCACGCCGCCAAAGCGAAAGACACACTTGTCCTTGCTGAATTGCGCGTCCACGTCCTTCTCGGCCAGCTTCGACACCGAGATGAGGCTCCCATCAACTTCCGGAATGTACAGAACATCCGACAATGTGACGGACGTCCCGTCCATCAGCTTCAATCCGACGGTGCCCTTTGCAACTGCGTCGATCTTCGTGCCATCCGCGATCGTAATGCGGACTGGCGTCTTCAGCTCCTTCATGGACATGAACTTGTCCCGGACGCTGGTCATGTGCGAGCTAGCACCGGAGTCCACAAGTCACTCCGACTTCGCCATTGCACCCGTAGCCGTGAACGCGAAGTCCGACGCCTCCTGCGCGACTTGTCCACGTCCCTCATTGGCCTTCTTCTTGCGGCACTCTTGCTCCTTGTGCCCGAGCTTCTTGCAGTAGAAGCACTTCCCGGAGAACCCGCGCTTGCGGAACACCTTCTTCGTTGCGAATGCCTTCTCCCGAGCCGATTTCGAATCCTCCGAGACTTCAACACCAGACAGAGCTTGGATCGCGTACGCCAACGTCATGTTCGACGTACGGTGCTGATCATCTGGTACTCGTCCGTCAAACTACCCAGCAGCAGCACGAGTTGGCGAGTCTCGTCCAGAGCTTCACCAATCGTCTCCATCTGCAGCACCAGCTCCTTGAAGCGGTCCACATGTGCCGCGAACCGCGTCCCGGGCTTCATCTTGAAGGTGTGCAACTTCTTGGTCACGACGAGCCGATTCTTGAGAGTGTTCCGGTTGAACTGCTCCTCAAGCAGGCACCACGATTCAGCAGCGGTTGTCGCTCCACGGATGTAGACTTGGTGTGTGAGACTCACGTCCCCAGCGATCACACCAAGGGCCTTCAGATCGTCAGTCTTCCATTGTACCGTGGAGCGGTCACTCAGCTGGTCGAACTCTGGCTTGACGATGTGGGCCAGCAGTCCCTTGCGCGACAGCTTCATCCGCAAGTTGAACTCCCAGTGGAATTAGTTGTCTTCCACGAGCTTCACGGTGTCTGCGTAGCTTGGGCTCATAACCACTTGAGATTATGCGGGCGAGGCTTGGTAGTCGAGTGTTGGTTAGGAAGGAAATCCGAAAGTGAATTAGAATGAGTTAGACCAAACTAACTATCATATCCTAGACTCCTATGCTTAAACATGAATCGTACCAACGCATACCTCCTACTTCGTCGTAGGAGAGGCGGGGGAGCAAAAAGTAAATGTTGCAGATCGTATCCAGAAAGGCAACTTCAACTTGCCTTTCTCTCAGCCAATCAGAAGTGTCAAAGCTAGGGGCTCCGCTAATCAGATCCCAGTATTCCACCATGTGTACCACAATTGCCTACCTTTGGCAACAACTTCACAGCAAGCACGTGCCTCGATACGGAGACACACAACTAGACTGCGAAGTGTACAATCGCAACAGCTGCTGGCTCGTCCGTTGCTGCTCTGTCCCAGGTGAGAGCGCTGACCCGTATAACGGGCAGCGTAAGTGCCACTTACGCCAATACAGTATTATATTGTATTGAAGCATAAAGATACTGTTTTATCGATTTAGAAAGGGAAGAAGGTCACCCTTACAGCAAGCAGCGCGTAGTTCTGTATCATAGTTTGCGTTGACTAGGTCGTCTTCGACTTGGCTGGGAACACCAGTGGTATAAACGCTGGTGATAGTACCGGTGCTAATTGCTATGATAAGGGAAAACTGTGGCCCGCGTGATTCTAGGGCGTGGCCCCTGCGGGGCCACACCCATGAATATCGCGCGTGCCGCAGTTCACTTTCTGAAGCTGGTGCATGGGTCTGTTGACGTGCATTTCCTGCCTCAGTCTGTAGTTGCCGGTGAACCTGTTCGGTCGACATCCTTCTGGCTGGTGTAGCACGAAGGTTGCGCCAGGTTACGCTTACGCGTCCAATTAATCCGTTGGGAGCTGTCCACTCCCTCATTCTCCGGGTGTTCCCAGTATAATGTTTTTTTTAGTAGCGTTGGCTTCACTATGAAGCCCAACTGAATTTCAATCTTTGCGCAGGTGTACTTACGTGTTGCGTGTTCACAGTGCATGTATTTAGTGCTGGTTGCGAACAAGTTCTGAACGATACCAACAATTGGAACTTGTTCGTAACCTTTCTGAAAGTGTTCCATTTACAAGAGGCACCAAAGCGACACTATAGAGAACTGGAGAGCTTGTCAATTCCGCACTTGGCGAGAAGCCGTGACATCGTACTTAATCGCGAATACGAACCACCCGAACAACACCGAACAATTGGATCAAAGCGAACAATTGGAACAATAGGAACACGCCTGTTCGCAACCAGCACTACATGTATTATGATAGCGATCGGTGTTCTGTCAGTTCACTCAAACCTGCTTTCTCTCAGCGAGTTTCACCATTGATAAAGCGGACATGTATCGCTGACACAAAAACTTGTCGTTAAGGGTATGGATGAATATAGTGGTCTTTCCGACTGATAAGCGAGCAGGATTGTTTCATTCACCTGAATTACAGCCTATCATATCGCCTGGTGTGGATATTTTGGCCAATGGACTGCATTAGGGTTAGATGAACGCCTCCGACACTTTCCGACAAATATTTGTCGGAAGACTGGCCTAAATATGTATATGCGAATACAAAATTCAAGTACAGATAATACTTTTCAAATAGTTTCGCCGTTCTAACAACTAGGATTATGTCCTAGAATAGGACGGAGTGGAGTTTTGATTGGTGTTCATTTCAAGATGGCGATCAAGTCCGAGAGATAAAGCCCCCACACGCATCGGTGGCGACGCAGGTGCGGCGAAGGGCAAGGCAAGATGGCCATGACGGCGAGCGCGTTGATCGTTCCAGCTAGCTCCACACGCATGAAGCATCCGCCGACGTGGCGTCACACGCAGCCGTCGGAGGACGGGCGAGCTTGCTGCAGTGCGCCGATGTTGGCTGAGGTGGTGCTGCGCGGGGGCAGCTACGCGAGTGCGGAGGAGACGGTGAGCGAGATGATCAAGCGCAGGAAGGAGCTGCAGAAGGCTTTCGCGGCTGGCGACGTGATGAAGCTCGTGGACGCGCGCCGCCGCGTGGAGGGTCACGAACGCGGTCACACACGCGGAGGACCGCGAGGCTCCTTGCCAACGGCGCGCACGGAACAACAGCGCATCGCCGCTGTGCGCGCATGATCGATGCCTTGGAGCTCGGCACGCCGGCGCTGCAGCTGTCTGTGCTCGTTCGAGCAGGGGGATGTTGAGGGCATGCTCCGCGTCACGGACGACCTCCTCGTGACCACCCAGACGCTGGACGGACCGGTTGTCGCACACGTTCCTGCCGCACCAGGCTAACGATCTGGACGAGAAGCTGTCGAAGGAGGTGATCTGGATTGTACCCACCCAGAGAGATGCGAGAAGTGAGATGTCAGTGTGTATCTAGGTTGTAAGTTGTCTGGTCGAACTAGGTTGTGGGTTCACTAGGCGTGCATGTGCATGTGGGGGCTGCTAAGGCGGTCTCCGAGAAGACGAGAGACAAACGATCAGTTTCCATTTTCTTCACAACCCGTCAAGTTGTTGGGATTTGCCGCCGCAGTGTGGCGGCAGTCGAGGAAGACAGATCAAAGTACACTTTAGTTCCTTTCGGAATTGACTGGAACCATGTCGGAGGGAGACCAGTTCGTCGAGACGTTTCGGCGGCTAAGTCTTCGCGGGAGTCGGGCAGCAGCGACGGCCGCAAGTGCGGCTGCAGCGACAGCAAGAGCGGAAGGGTTAGGTGGCGAGAGACGACGCCATTCCTCAACACCAATCGTGAACCCATTCGACACTTGCCCGGATCAAGGCAGTGCCCCGCAGGCTTCTCCGGCCGAGAGCTATGAAACCATGGAGAACGTGAGCGGCGACGTCGGGCAGATAATGAATGCGCCGGCGCAAGCCTCCTCGCTACAAAGGCAGCTCAATGCAGGAACGTCGTGATTTCCTGGGAGCTTATCACACGTATTTTGCGGCGCTGAGTGCTTTTCGAACTGAGCACAATCGCCCGTTCGTGCAACCCGTCGGCTCATGTATTGAGCAGGGGACCAAGGAGATTATTGCGAGGTTCACATTTGCAAAGCATTGGCAGGACGTGACCGAGGACGAATGGGTTCAATATTTTCTCCAGGCTAAACACACAGCATTTGAGGACTATGTAGCGCTGGACGTCGCTATGCAGAAGCTGAGTATAGACACAAAGTTGGCGGAGGCTGAATCGCGCGTCAACAGGCTGCAGGCGAACATGTACAAGGTTCTCGAGGACCACACCATGGTGGACGTGATGTTTGATCGAGAACAGAAGAAGTTGGGGAAATACTTGGTCGCAAGTCTCGAGCCTATCAGTTTCAAGAAGGAGATCCAGCGCCGCATCGAGCAGGAACAGAACAAGCGGTACACGTCGAATGTAATCGAGTTCTCTCGCTGGCTCACGGAATTGCTGGCTTCTTTCATGGTTCGGGAGAAGTCTATCGTGCCGCAGGTGGATGACACTAAGTCTGGGCCAGGAAAGCCCAGCAGTTCCCCAGCTACGGGTAATCAGCAGGGCCAAGGTGCAGCGAGATCCGTCGCTGCCGGCCAATCGAATGCTGCGGCAGCAACAAACCCTAGGAAGCCAAAGCGTCGCTGGCCGGGTTTGATGTGTAAGTCAACAGAACACTTGGTGAAGAATTGCCCGCAAGCCCAACCTGGGGAGGCAAAACGATTGGTGGAAGAATTTTGGGCTTCGCGGAAAAACAAGTCGGCGCCGCCAAGTGAGGCACCAGTGCAGATGAAGCGACTAGTCTAAGAGCCAGAACAGGCCGAGTCAGCGACAGCCACAAACGGAAGCGATGATGGCACGGTGAGCGCGACGGTGTTCGATTTGACGGTGAAGGCGTCGTTATTGGACTCCGGAGCGGATGCCTTAAGCGTTTCTCGCGGCTGCATCACCGAATTGCACAAGAGAGGTTGCTTTGTGTCAGTGATCAAGCGGGAGCAGCCACGAGAATTCGATCCATTTAAGACTTTGAATGGCCACACTACGAAGAAGTTGTTCGCGTACAGAAGGAAGTGTTGACAAGACCAGTGCTGAGCAGTATTCGTTGGGATGAGGAGCTCAATGTCTTCACTAATCGGGATCGTTTCCTGAAAGCGCAGTCGATTTGCAGCAGAGGCTCTGTGTCATTGCTCATGCAGGAGCAAGTGGCCATCGGGGCGTCGATCCGACCGCGAAGTCGCTGAGTGTAGTGTTGGTGTGGGAGACGCTATCTCAAGATGTATCAGCGTTTGTCTCTGGGGGTATCCACTGTTTGAGCATTCAAGGCAAGAGGGTGCCTCGACCGTATGGCGAGACCTTACGAGCGACCAAGCCGAGCGAAATTCTGCATTTTGATTTTCTTTCGATGCCGCGCAGCACCTCAGGAACGCTGTATGCGCTCGTGTTAAAGGATAATATGAGCGGCTACGTGGAATTGGTGGAGTGTGATCGGCCGACGTCGGAAGCCGCTTATCACGGGCTAATTGACTGGTTCAAAAGATTCGGGGTAGTGCACGCCTGGGTGTCCGACCAAGGTTCGCATTTCACCAGTGATGTGGTGGAGCTCGTTCGTCATCTCTTTGGCGCACAGCATCACTTTGTTACTTGACACGAGGCGGTCCCCAGAAAATTGCCGACGATGTGCAGTCACCTCTGTGACCTGGAGTTTGTATCGGATGCTGATTGGTGGATGACTTGGATACGGCGCGGCTGTACCCGTGTGACATGGATGGCGACTGTGGGAGAGAAGTGATTTCTCGGGATGAATCCAGCGTCTGACCGCAGATGGGCCCAACTGGCTGGAAGTGTGAATCCTGGGAGTGCACGCCCAGAATTTCAGAGAACACTCAGTCCAGCCGCGGACTTTCCCTTACGATGAGTGCCTAAAGTCTGGCGGAAAGTGTCTCTGGCGAATGTATCCCAGAGTACACCTCATCTTGCTGTGGCTCAGAGTGCCCCAGAGGATCAAATTACCCTGAGAATCAACCCACTACCACCATGATCATGCGCAGGAGGCCGCTAAACCCGCTAAAGGTGTGGCTTTGTGGAGATACACGCGAGCCTGCAATGCAGCAGACTTGTTACCCAGAGTGCCGCACGATGACCCAGAGTTCACCTCCCTGAGTGCAGGTGACCCAGAGTTCCAAAGATGATTCTCTGGGTTTGGACCATAAATCCAGACTCTCTATACTGAACTTAAGTGTTTCCCGAGCCAACACCCAAGAATCCCCACAGTTCCCCAAGATTCCTCAGATTTCCCAGGATTTCAGAAGATGACCCTGAGTGTCACCTGATTTTCAGGGATTCGAGTCAGTTCGCAGTCAGTCTGCAATCAAAGTGATGCGTGACCTTGAAGAACCGTTGTGGATGCGCAGACTGGATACTTTCGAGGAGTCGAGAGGGAGTCCTGCACCATACTAAACCAAGTCTAAGGACCCACAATTGGCACTTCCGACGCCGTGCGACAATGGATTCGCAAGCCGATCGCAAGTTTGGACCGCTGAACCCAAAGCATACTCAAGACAAGACATTTGACCCCAAACATAGTAAACAGAAGATATTTGCCCGAAGAAGAGAGAGAGAAAGAGAGAGAAGTAGCTGATAAAAACCAAACAGAGTTCCTTTTACCCTGTGACTTCGGCCAAGCCTGCCGACGGAAATCCGGAGGACCCGAGACTACCACCGCGGGACGCTTAGGGCACATCAACGGCGAAGGACAGCCGTCTGTGTGGGCTCCATCAAACTCAAGTCCAGTTAGGTGGTGACCAGCGACGGCCTTGAGCTTCCTGGGGTGATCCATCTATTCCATATCCTAGTTGGGTCACTTGCTGTGCTCGTGGTAGCCCATTTCATATTATTCCAGAGGGTATTCTGGGGTGCTAGGTAGTCGCCTCCAGGATTTTGTATTGACTGCTTGTGTGAAGGGAAGGTAACTGATAGTGATTGTATTTTCCTCCTTTATTGGAGGTGGTGCGCGTTTGTGTGAGTCTCAGGGGAGCTAGGCCCCTGAATTTCAGACTCGAGTGGGCCTAGTGTGTGTGTGACCCACCGTCCAAGGGTCCAAAAGAATAAGTGACGGCTAGTTGTAGTGTTTGTATACTCTGTATTTGTTGGTTTTATCGAGCTAGGAGAACATTTGGGTAAGGTGTCTTCTGAGTTCCAAGTCCCAGAGTTGACTGAAATCCTGGACCCTGAATTCGTGATATTCTGGGTTTCGGGGGATCTGATTCTCTGAGTTTGCCTTTTGGTGTGGAGGTGCGTTCTGAAGTAGACGTGCGCTCCCGCACTTCTTCGAGGCTACATTTTCAACCGGTGGAGTGCCGTTCCGTCGAAGACAAACGAGCCGACAGGGATTACACAAGGTACCCACGCCAACCAAGGAGTGTGATTCTCAGGGTTTAAAGCTTTGCGGCTGCGAATCTCTGGGTCTATCTTCTTGCTGTTGACTCTCAAGTCGATTCTCTGGGTCTACCCCTGGGGAACAGTCTTGGGCTGCGCTATACGAACCCCCCTGGGCGACAAAGGTTTCATCGGCCTCGCCTCATACTGCTTATTCGCCTTTGGCGAATGGCACAGTGGAGGTTGTGAATCGGCTGGTGCTTCGCTGTATGAAAGCGCTTACTAGCGAGCTGAAATTGCAACTCGACCAGTGGCGAGAGATTTTACCGTTGGTGCAAGCGGCTTTGAATGGTATGGCGTAGGATTGTTTGGGAGACATTCCACCCGTGACGGCATTTACAGGGCTGCCTGGGTCATCGCAGTTGACGACTATCCTCTCTGAGCCTTTCGCAGAGGGCTTTACACTGTCGTGGATTGAGGAACAGCAGAAGCAGTATCTGACGGACGTTCGCGCAGCGCTGGATACGATCCACCAACAGGCTATAACGATAAGCGAGCGCCGAAATGTTCAAGCGCGAGGGTGTCGGACGGCTAAACCAGGGGTGCGCATGGCCACGTTTCCAATTGGGGATTTCGTCCTTGCAGCTACGGCGATCAAAGGTGGAAGCAAGCTTTCTCTGTATTGGCGGGGTCCAAAACGTGTGGTGCGCCCACTCAACGATTATACGTTTGAGGTACAGGACATCTGCGCTCCGTATACAGTCACTGTTCGACATGCTTCGCGGCTCAAGTTTTACCGTGAGGCTGGCCGAGGCTTCACCGAGGATCTGGTTGCGCACGCTCTTCATGGCGAAGGGGGCCACCTCGTTGCCAAGCTCCTAGATTGTAGGTTGGGGCAACAAGCCCAGCAATAGGAGATTTTTGTGCAGTGGATTGGACTCGATGCCGGAGAAGCATCATGGGAACCCGCATCTGTCATCTTTGAAGATGTTCCGCAGCTTGTTCGTAAGTTTGTGGCCGAGTCCCGACCGGATCATCTGACGCGTCGCATGTGGACGAAGTTATCACCGGATGACCCCATTGAAGACATCGAGCGACGCCAGCCTGATCGCGGTCGTCGAAAAAGGAGGATTTGATCTGAGTTGTACCCACCCAGTGAGATGCGAGAAGTGAGATGTCAGTGTGTATCTAGGTTGTAAGTTGTCTGGTCGAACTAGGTTGTGGGTTCACTAGGCGTGCATGTGCATGTGGGGGCTGCTAAGGCGGTCTCCGAGAAGACGAGAGACAAACGATCAGTTTCCATTTTCTTCACAACCCGTCAAGTTGTTGGGATTTGCCGCCACACGACGGCGGCAGTCGAGGAAGACAGATCAAGGTGAAAGTGATGAAGGCGACGGTGACGTCGTTCCCGGCCGACTAAGCTGCAGGAGGCGAACCCTATCTGCACAGCTGCCGTGTGGGCACTGTACATCACGGAGGTGGCCAAGGAGGACAGCCTCGGTGCTCCTGTACATCATGACACCGCTACTCGAATCGTTCAAGGTGCTGCACCGGCAGGTCAAGCTGGTGAAGTCTGCCCCGCAGGATCGGATCGCCAACAATGTGTGGAGAAGTGCTGAATAAGAATTGTTCTCCGAGAAAGGTGGCAGGGCCGATCGACTGGAAGTATGGGGGATCAGCGATCGAGAGACAGGCAGCAAGGATCTGTGGATCAGAGGGAGTTCTTGGGGAGATCTCAAGTGGCCCGATGACGCCGGCGCGTAAGGCAGGACATGTGGCAAGCCGGATTGTGGATGATCGTGCTCGAACCGTGGCGTGATTCGGGGTCGACCCAAGCCCCGATCGACGACAGATCTCGCAGATCTAGGACGGCAGAGGACGGAAGATGATGGATCGGCGGCGCACGGCAACCGGCACAAGTCATCGATCGGGAGTTGATCGCCGATCGCCGATCGAGATCGATCGTGGATCGGGAGTCGATCGCAGATCAGGAGTCGATCGTGGATCGGAAGTCGATCGCGGGTTGACCGTGGATTGGGGATCGACCACGATGGGATGCACATGGAGGACGAAGCCAGGACAAGAATCCAGTACTTGTTTAGTTGTAGGATGGTAGGTGAGATGGTAGCGGTCATCAGCTAAACATAAATCAGAGTCGAATTTGCACCGTGGAGCGCAAGTGGTCTGGAATCACGAGGAGGAAGAGCACATTGGCCTCGATCGACTTGCGTTGTGGAGAACAGATTTGACCCCACGCGTGATCCAAGACCACCAAGCCCCGGCAAGTCGCTCTCGAGCAGAATTTGCACCAAAGACCACAAGCCCCCTCAAGTCACCATGTCCCGGGAACTACATTGGCCTCGGCAACTTCGACACTTTGGGTAGTGAACTAGCGGTACGGTTAAGACTGGATTAATACATTGGCCAGCTTGACCTACTCTAGCGATCAATTTCTTGTGTGCGAACCCTCGATCGACCGGATACTGCTTGGCCGGCGATCGTTTCTCTTCTCGATCAACCTCGATCCCGCTATAGGAAGCGGCAAGCAGCTCAGGAAAGGAAGGAACACACCCGGAAAGGCAACTACAGGCCTTGGATCTACTCCAGACCGACCGATCGAAGCGAACAACCCTCGATCGGAGCGAATACTCGGACGCAGAGCGAAGATTACCGCGCTGCTCCACAAACAATCCCCGCGTCTCGCCAATACACTCGATCTCCACCAAGTGCTGCATGTTCGGAGCCCTGAGAGAGCAGATCCAGCCCACCGACGGGTACACAAGGTGAGAACAAGTTCAGCCGATCACGGATCGTTGGGGGACCCCCTCCGTTAGTCGGTGTCTGGGCGCTGGTGGGAAGCTCGATCAGGCCTTAACAAGATTTTGGCCGATCCCGGTACACCACAATGGTGCGCGTGCCTGGATCTCTTGGGGGCTCCGGATTTCACCGTGAGTCCGTAGAAGATGCGCAAGTGAAGAAAGAACCGGGAAGAGGCGTCGTCGGATATCGGATCGGCGAAGACGCTGCTGAACAAAACGAGATCCGCGGATCGACAGAGTGCTCGGAGGACTTCTGTCGACGGAATCGAGGGCGATCTGGAGACAGATCTAGAAGACAAACCTCAACATCCTCCTAAGGCCCTTCGGGGACCCCGGTGCATCTTGGTGCGAACCGAGATTCACTAACAAAACAAGCTAAGGCGGGATCGGACCGATACGCGTTCGCTGACTCGCCGATCAGGCTCGATCCGGACTACCTGGACGCGATCGCGGACAAGGCCCAGATCGTAAGGAAGAAGCTGAGAGCGCCAGGCTTGGACGACGAAGATCCCAGACCGTCGGCGCTCGACTGGTCCGAGGCTAACCTGGATCGTCAGTATCACTTGAAGGAACTGCGAGACTTCTTGCGTCAAGATCCTGTCATGGTGATCGTGCGGCCAGAGCAGATCGACGACCAGAAGGACCCGATCTCGGCCCCCCCGAGTGACGGATAACAAGCTGATGGCGGTGAAAAATCTGCTCGGGCTGTTGAAGGAAACCGGCTTCGTAGCTGGCGCCTTTGAAGCGAACGATCTTTTCGATCAAGATCTCGATGTGATCCAGACAGTGATCCAGACATTGGTCGACGAGTTGAGACCTTTGGTCGACGTGATCGCGGACAGTCCGGACCCGAAGGTGCCAGATCTAGTGTCGCCAGATCCCGCGTCGTCGCCGCGGATGGAGTCCACTGGGTACCGATCGTCGTCTCCTTATGTCTCCGCAGCGGAACATGTATCGGATACGTCATCCGAACCTCAACGGATGTCCCTCGACCCTTCAGGATCTGCGATGTTGGACGCACGATCTCGGAGTCAACGTCAGGAACGCATGCGATCAGGACCGCGGAAGCATAAACCCAAGTCGACCGATCGGACCACCAGTGCTACCGAATCAGATGAGTCGAATGGCAGACTGGATTCTTACTTTCAGGCTGCGATGGCTCGATTTCTGAAGGAACAACAGGCCACGGTGGTAACACCTACTCCAGTGGTCGACGACAACGTTGGATCGCGGGACGTGGAGATGGAATCAGCCGGATCGCCGGATCAAGATCTCTCTCAGTGGGAATACGATCCGGACGACATTGATCTACCGAGTTCGGCCCCTGCTGCGGTGGCCCCTGCTGCGGTGGCCACCGCTGCCTCAGGATCCACTGGGTCCTCCTTGATCCAGCGTGTGCGGATTTCGGCGATGTCCGATCTTAAGGAGTTCAGTGGCAAGGATCAGGACGAAGACCGCGCCCGATCGTGGATCAGCAAGGTGAAGTCGGCGTTCCTGCGAGATCAGGCTACGGACGAAGAGAAGTGCCTGACCTTCGCTGATCTACTGACGGGCCCGGCGAAGAACTGGTACCGCCAGCTGGGCCGATCGACGCGGAACAAGTGGAGCGATCTACTCCGGAGTTTCCAGATCCAGTATTGTGGCCTGGGAGTATCGGTCGCTTGGCAGTATTACCATTCTCTCAAGAGATCAGATGAATCGCCGTTGGAGTACCTCTATCGACTGAATGTGGCGGCTCTGCGTGCGAGATTGAAGATCAAGGACGGAGATTCTAAGGCCCGCCGAGAACATGTCGAACACTTTATCGAGACGCTGGGCGATCCGGAACTGGCCGATCGGCTCTGTAATGGGCCCCAGTTACATAAGTAGGTAGATTGACAGTACATAAAGTAGTTAAGTCAGTACACGGCTAGCGTGTACTGACGGTCATTGTGATTGGCTGAATTGGGGGAGCCAGACCCCATTTCAGCCAATCAGGCGTTGACCTGCATTTGAGTGGCTCACATGAGACCAGGGGTAGCCGCCCTGGTCCTAACATAAAACAGAGTTGATTTTACCCAAGACTGACTGCTTGGTCTCACTAAATCCGGGTCTTAACTAGGCTTCCTCACCGCTACGTGTAAGCTAGTAACGGACACACACCTGGCCCGTTACACCTGGTAGCACTTTGTAGTCCTTCCAACGACCAAGACCAAGATGAGCCAAGTCCTGACGTCCGGACCTTCAGGGGCAACCCTGGAGCATGGTGCCTTCCCCCATCTCACGCGGATTGAGTGGGAAGCTCTCCACCGCCTCGCGGCGGTGTCCGGAGAGGCTGTTGTCACCTCGCTGCTGAGCTCAGCGATGCCGGAACAACAGCGCCAAGCTGCCCAAGAATTCATGGAACGCGAGCTCGCCGACGCGAATCGGCGGGTCACAACTCCCTCGCGCTCCTCGAGGAACGACGTCGTCAAACTGGAGACATCGACATAGTCCGGTGTGGGTGACGACCGGCTTCCGCTGAACCGCTGGTTCCGCGAGATCGACATCGCTATCGCCTCGCGCATGATTGAAGAGCCGGCGGCCAAGGTCAACTTCCTACTCTCCCGGCTGTCCGGGACGGCCAAGGAGTGGGCCCTCGGCAAGCTCGTCGTCGACCAGCACGCGTTCCCCACCTTGGATGCGCTCCAGAGTGACCTCTGGCTCGCGTTCGAGCCGCCCCAAGACGAGTCGCGCGTTCGTGCTGAGTTCTTCGCCCTCAAACAAGGCAAGATGTCCATGCGTGACTACGTCAAGAAGACACGACACCTTGGGTCGTGCATTGTCACCCACCCCATTGACATGGCATCTCAGGTGCATGTCTTTGTGTTCGGGATGCGCGAAGGTACTGTCTCGCGAGAGCCGAACCCTCCTCGCTCGAGGAGGCATTCGCCCTCGCGCTCCGCGAGGACTACGTGGTGGCGGCATCGTACGCGCGCTATGCCGGACGTCTCTCGGGTATCCGCACCCGAGCCCATGGAGATCGACGCAATTGAGGCGTCGGGTGATCGACGGCGCTCGGCTCATGGTGGGGGAGGAGGTCGGAGCGCTCGTCCTCTGACTTGCTTCCGCTGCCGGAAGATTGGACAACGCGCAGCAGAGTGCCGCGCGCCAGCCCTAGTTCTCGCGCACGTCGATGCCGACGCTAGCTCGGCCGCCCAACCAAAAAACGGCCGGGGCCAGTAGGTGCGGGGCGCCCTACTGGTTGGAACGAAGGTCCGGGTCCTCCGGTGGCAACCCGGCCTTCTAGCCCTCCCGTGCTATATGCACGTTTTAATGCCAACACTACGAGTGGCGACTCAAGGCTGATCATCGTCAGCCTCCATGTCGCCGGCGCCCGACGTCCACTGCGCGCGCTCCTCGACTCAGGAGCGACAAACAACTTCTTCCGCGCGTCGTGTCTGTCGGTGCTTCCTGCGAGCGTTCGCGTCCGGAAGGGTCCGGGCGAGGTGGAAGTCAAGCTTACGGATGGCAAGGCCCACCGCGTCGCGCGACGCGAGGTGTCCCTGCCGTACACGTTCGACGGCTTCCGCAGCAACGGCGACTTCCTGGTGATCGAGATGAATTACGCGTTCGACTGCATTCTGGGGATCCCGTGGCTTGCACGGTATCAGCCAGAGATTGACCGGCTGGCTCGGTCAGTCAAGCGTCGACGTGGCTTCGACTTACGCGAAGTGTTCACGCATCTCTTGGTGGCTCCAAGAGACTGGCCTCACGTTACCGTCGTGGACAAGACAGCCACGACGCAAGTTGTGCACAGAGCGAGCGATGGCCCTCTCTGCATGGCATGTGCCGTGCTGTTGGATGATGATGATGTCCGGATGACATCGCGTGGGCGCGATGACGGAGCGACGTGCGCTCCCACACAGTGAGAACAAGTCGGCGGTCGAGCATGGGTTCCCGTCGAGCTACAAGTCGGCGGTCGAGCATGGGTTCCCGTCGAGCTACAAGTCGGCGGTCGAGCATGGGTTCCCGTCGAGCAACGAGTCGACGGTCGAGCATGGGTTCCCGTCGAGCAACGAGTCGACGGTCGAGCATGGGTTCCCGTCGAGCAACGAGTCGACGGTCGAGCGTGGGTTCCCGTCGCACAATGAGACGGCGGTCGAGCGTGGGTTCCCGTCGAGCAACGAGTCGACGGTCGAGCGTGGGTTCCCGTCGCACAATGAGACGGCGGTCGAGCGTGGGTTCCCGTCGAGCACGATGTCGACGGTCGAGCGTGGGTTCCCGTCGCACAATGAGACGGCGGTCGAGCGTGGATTCCCGTCACAAGTTGAGCAGGCGGTCGAGCATGAGTCGCTCCCGCATAACGATGTTGCGGCTGGGAGCGTGGTGCAGCCGCGTACCGCCGGTGTGATCGAGCGTGGCCTCTCACACCTAGAGAACGTGAATCATCGTCGAGCGAGAGAGATGCGTCTTCTTCGAGCACCCGCTCGAAGCGAAAGAAGAAGTCCAAGCGACGCCGCCTGAAGCCCCGTCGAGAACCGTCAGCGACTGAGAACCCACCGAAGGAGTCGGTGTGCGCTCTCGAGTACGTGGAGGGCGTCCCACGACGATCGCGCGTCATCGAAGTCGCGAGCCCGCCTCGCGATGCCAACACAATCACGCGTCTCCCAGGACTCTCCTGGAAGAACTTCCTGCGAGACCTGAAGGCAGGCGAGATCGAGCAAGTGTGTTGGATCACCGAGGCGGTCTCGGTGGATACGCTGCACGCGGTCAAGGTTGAGGATGCGCTGTCGAGGCCCAAGCACGCCGAGCCCAAGTCAGCGCGCGAGGAGCGCTTCGCGGCGCAGTCCTGGGAAGCTCTGCGTGAGTCCGGTAACCCCGTGTACAAAACTGCCCGCGAGTACGCGGACATCTTCCCCGACAAGATCCCCGCTGAGCTCCCGGTGGACCGAGGCGTGCACCACGAGATCGACCTCGCGCCTGGGACGAAGTACTGCGTGACGCGGCAGTGGCCACTTCTACGTGACCAGGTGAAGGCCATCGACGACTTCTTCGAGAGCCGCCGCCGGGCAGGCCACGTGCGTGAAAGCATCTCGCCACACTCCAGCCCGACCTTTTGCGTCAAGAAGACAACGGGCGGGTGACGCATTGTTCACGCGTTCAACAAGTTGAACGATGCCACCATACCCGCGCAGACGCCAATCCCGCGCAAGGACATGGTGCTGGACTCTATGGCGGGAAGTGTGATCTACAGCGCCATCGATCTGACCGATGGGTTCTACCAGATACTCATGCGAGAGTGTGACATACCTCTCACAGCGGTAAGCACTCCGAGCGGCATGCGGGGAGTGGCTGGAGATGCCCCAAGGTCTGAAGAACGCGCCGGCCACGTTTAACCGCATGGTCTCCCATGTGCTACGCCCGCTCCGTGACTTCGCACCGAGCTACTTCGATGATATCTTCGTGCACAGTCGCGCCGAAGGTGACCTCAGCGCTGTCGAAGTCCACCTGAAGCACCTGCGGGAAGTCTTCCAGGTGATGAGGGAGAACAAGCTCTCCGCCAACTTGAAGAAGTGCGTGTTCTGTGCACCAGGAGATCCCGGTGTTGGGCTGCTACGTGAGCAAGGACGGAGTCCGCGCCGACCCTGAGAAGGTTGAGTCAATCTGCTCTTGGCCGGCCCCCACGAGTCCCACTGAGCTCCGTCAGTGGCTGGGCATGGCGAACTACTTGCACAAGTACACCAAGGACTACGGGAAGTTAATCCAGCCACTGTCGTCGCTGCTGAAGAAGGACACCACGTGGTCGTGGCAACAAGAGCACCAAGCCGCATTTGGCTCGGTGAAGAGGAGTCTGTCATCCGCCCCTGTTTTGATGCTCGCGGACGATTCGAAGCCATTCCACGTCGTCTGCGACGCGAGCGACTTTGCCATCGGGTGTGCCCTGATGCAGTTCGACGACGAGGGTCGTGAGCGGGTGATCAGCTACCAGTCCCGCCAGCTCAAGCCGGCGGAGAGGAACTACCCAGTGCACGACAAGGAGCTCCTCGCCATGCGCTACGCATTGGTCAAGTTCAGGGTCTACCTGCTCGGAGAGCAGACGTTTGCGGTCTACACCGACCACGCATCGCTGCGGACTGCGATGAAATCCCCGCATCTGTCCCACCGCATGGCCCGCTGGCTGTCTTTCTTCTCCGAGTACAACTTCGTGGTGCACAACAAGCGTGGCAAGAACAATATCCTCGCCGACGCGCTGTCTCGGCGTCCAGACTACGACCCACGTGAAGGCCTCGAGCGCCAGGCAGCTGACGAAGATGATGAAGACGCGTGTGCGACGTGTGTGACGTCGGGGTTGAACCTGATGAGCGTCGCCCCCAAGATGCCGCTTCGGGACGAGATCGCCGCAGCGTACGAGCGTGACGCGCAGTACGCCAGCATCCTGGCTCACCTCCGCTCTCCAAGCGAGGCGACATTGAAGGCTCTGTCGCGCTCGACCCGCAGCCACGTCGAGCGATATCGGCTTGATGGCTCCCTGCTGACGTACACTGTCGACCAGTTCGATGCCGCGAGAGTGGTGGTGCCGAATGACGAAGACCTTCGCGCCCGGATCATCCATGAGTACAACGATGCTCCGATCGGGGGTCACTTGCGACGCGAAAAGACCTTCGCGGCTGTGGCGCGAGACTTCTTCTGGCCTCACTTGTACAAGTGGGTGCGCAAGTGGGTGCGCACTTGCGAGATCTGCCAGCGAGTAAAGCCCTCGCCGTCGTCACAGGCTCCGCTGCGTCCCCTTCCGGTCCCCACGGAGGCCTGGCGCTCCGTCTCGATGGACTTTGTCTTCGGTCTTCCACCCGACTCGAACGGGCGCACGGGAGTCCTCATTTTCGTCGACAGGTTCAGCAAGATGGTGC